TATCCTGGCGCTTTGCAGGAAATTGAGAAACTGGGCTCAATGTGGAGAAGTTTCCTAAGCATTTCCGATGTGGGAAGTCCAACGTTCCAGAAGCACGTAGAACCAGGACAGAAGCACATGGGAAGATCATTACGGAAACGCAAAAACCAGACTTTCTCCTGGTTGACCCGAAAAGGAAAACATACAAAGTTTTCTGGGGGAGATATGAATGATGTTATCGTAAATATTATTTTCAACTAATCGTTCTTTTTGTATTTATTCCAATCAGCTAGTTTGGACAAGTTTTGTAAGGATCAAAACTCTAGTTACTTTCCCTTACAAATGGCAGTTATAACTTTCTTTCTCAACGAGGAAGATGTGAATAGAGAAATAGAGAGGTCATGACGAACAACAGAAGCTATTTTTGGGGATATTATTTCACTTGATCCAAAGTCTATAAAATAGCAACATTTAGCTTTGTCCTAAGGTTATTTTATAAACCATAAGCTTTCGTTTGATGTATGATTCACGGCCATACCGTTTTCTGATTCAAAGCTATTGTAATTTAAGCGTAACCTTTTGTACTCCATTTTTCTACTTTAACGGTTAGTTTGGACATACTTTATTTTTTAAATGTCTGTGGTCGTGTTAGTCATCCAATTTTTGTGTCATTTTATACTAATCGAAATCAGGGATAAATCGAGTAGTGTTCCAGCTGACTCGTCTCCTCCCTCTCTCGCTAGCCAACCAATCAGATGACAGAATAATTTTCGTCTATGTGCCCAAGGTCATCAGTCTCAATTCGAACTCGCGCATTTCTAGCCTCAAAGCTGAACTAGTTGGCCTATCGAGACAAGCTCTCTTCTGTATATTGTTGGGTATAAGAGGTTGGACGTGTTATTTTTGCGTTCCGAGTTCGAGCTTGGATTGATCGATCGCCAACAACTCAGAAATCCATCCGTTTTTGACTCGAGTTCCGTGATAAAGAAAAAACATTATGTAATCTAATCATATTCCACTTCATTGATGAGTAACAGGACTGTAACGAAGACAATAAAATATATTTCTAAATTATTCAAGTATACAATTATATTGTGCTATTTGTGATCAGCTACTATTTCACTAATATGTAGCTGATTATTGAATAAAAAGACACTTTCGCTTAATCCAAAGAACGCTTTCGAATTGGTTGATTGACTCTTACCCTTAGATCAGTAAAAATTTCAAAATGATGGAGCCACTCGTTAGAAAATAAAAGAAACAATGATTTTCTTGAATATAGAAATCATACATGATGGTAAGTGACAGAGATTCGGTGAATCTCTCGCTGGCTCTAAGATTTTATCTAGTTTTCAAGTATAAACTGTTGACTTGCTAAAAACAGGAGGCACAACGAAATCTTGTAGGTGATTGCTTAGATTCGTGATCAGGAGAATTTCAGGACTATTACTGAAGTTTATAATGCATAATTATAGTACAACTTACTTAGAATTAAATAGATTAGTGAGGACAGCTTTGTATCTGAAGTACATTTTATCTTAAAACTGATCCATTTTAACATGTGATTATGTACTGTGAAATCAATGTAACAGGAATTATTTCATTTACTAAAAAATAAAATGTACTTTTTAATAAATCATATTAATTAAAAAGCTTTGTATCTAAAGTGCATTTTATATTTCAATTAACATCACGTTTTTCAAATTAATCTAACTAGAGTTGCCTTGATATAAACTAGTCATATGCTAATTAACATATGAATTACATAATTAATAACGAATAACAATTGTGTTATCTATACCTTTAATAATTGCGTTTCATTAAATAAAACAGATCAACAATCAGTTATAATAGTTCTGTTATGAAACGATTTCTGAAGCGAAATCTTGTAACCTATTTCAAAACATGAGTGATAAATCTTCATTGAACACGTTTTAAAGCATTTGACCGACATCAATAATATTTACATTTCTACTTTATTAAGAGAATAAACGTTTCCGATTCTTAATAATAAGCTTGTAGACGTTTTCTGATAGTTTTAGTATTCATATTCTCATGTCTGTTTAACGTGGACCAACTGGCTGCATCACATTAGCAACCGTCCAGCAATTCACGAGTACTATATTTTATGCTCCGACAAGTGTACATTGCATAATCAACCTAATTAGATTGAGGAACACGATAAATCACGAATAAAGCTCCACTATCAAATTTATAGGCTTTTAAAATTATTTTCTTCTTCAGGACAATGTAAATGTCCATTAATATGAAATTCTTACTGGATGTTTAAAAGACTGTAGTTTATAATTAAGTCTCTATATACTACTAAATTTGTTCATCATTTACGTTGATCCACTCGAATAATCGTAGAGATAAATGCGGGCATAGCAACTCTATTATGTTTACCATTCGTTGCTTTAAACAAATAATTATCAAAAACATTAATTGGCTTTATCTCTAGCAAGAGAATAAGTAAATTGTATAGCCAGGTGTTTAATATTTTTAAAAGGAATATAATAGAATTAAACAACAATAAATATTTTAACTCGATGAATAACGATGACTGATCAGTATAGAGGGAAAAACGAAAAGAACGTAAGTTATTCCTCAAATTTTATTTAATTAACTATTATATTCTTAAGTCAACTAATGTCTTACTGCAGTTAAAAATCTATTGAATATTTTCTTAATGATGCATTTAGCTGATTTATCTAATTTATCAGTAATGAGTTTTAATTGTACAACCGTTGATAACTGACGTTAAGTTCGAGGGTGTATTAAGAGGATTAAAAAAGTAGATATTTCTACTTGGAAAATGTAAAACAATGTGAAATTTCTTTACCATTATGAATCTTTTCAAACTCATTTTGGCATAGTCGTTCTATGATTGATCATACACGAAACCATCACAGCAGTAGTTTATGAAAGTAATTTTGAAATTTAACTATTTTTGTAATACTCTGGATGTAAAAATAGTGTGATAGGAAGATTCTTTAACAGGAATTTTTTTTCTGAAGGCCAATTAGAATTAAAATTATTTCAGTAACACATCCATGTAAGATTTTTAATTTACACACTGATTTATTTGTGTTATTTATTTGTGGTTAATCTAAGAAATGAAGATGCAAATATCATCCGATTTACAACTCGTCAATCAGATGTAAGTGTATCTCTTTAAGATTAAAAACTAGCAATTAATATCTCAGTCACCACGAAGCTGTATCAATTCATCCTGAAATTTGACATTTGAATCTTAAAAACATTTTTCTAACCAACATTGTTTTCTCAGAAAGTTAAATTAAATGCTGACCAATAGCATACGCCTGTCAGCTTCTCTCATTTATCATTCGGCGTTTGTCTGATTAGACTAGCATATTACATTTCCTTCCTGGAAAATATATCCGGCCATTTGGATTCAGCGTTAGGGACTGGGTTGAAGGGACATCAATAATGAGTAAGTTATTCCTGCTTATCAAATGATCCTCATGACTTAGGTAACAAATGAGTGTTACAGTTCTCAAGTGTTTACTTATTTCTTTCTAACGATTACTTTTGGATTATATTCTTAATATTTCTTTTAAAAGTTGATTTGATAATAATGTTCAAGACTGTGCGTTCATTAAGATTTTGAAACGTATAACAAAGAGTTGGAGCGTTCAAATAGTTAAAAACACAATTGTATGAACGAAGAATATTCTCTTCAATAATTTCTCATCAGCTTCTACAATTATCTCATATCCAAATTAATAATCCATAAAATTGACCAGATTTAAGGCAGAGTAAATGATTTGGAAATTGTAATATGTGAATTAAGAATTGTTGTTTGTTATATAAAATCAATTCAGATCGTTAATGTTGGGGCTGTTTAATATAAAGTGTTAACTTGAATCAGTTTATAAGTGAAATGAAATTGTGCGATAAATGATTAGAATAAATATGGTCAACATGGGGTAAGAGAGAGAGAGAGAGAGAGAATATTGTGATTACAAATCGGAAATTGCGTAATATGTACAATAATTAGGTCAAATATAGTAGATTCTGGGGTGGATATTGAATAAATTCCTCAAAAAGGGGTTATCAAGTGTAAAGACAATAATAATAATAATAACAGTAATAACAATAATAATAATAATAAGTTTGGGACATAAAATAAGCATTAATCAAATTACGTCACCATATTATGGAATTGATTAATAACTAGTTGGCCAGGGTAAAACGAGTGGCTGAACATACTTCTTTTGGATACAAAGCTCTGGCCTTTTGATCCGAATAGCAATTGCTTCAGCCGTCTGTAGGATTCGCAGTCTGACAGAATTAGGTACACTGTTGTTAACACAATAGATTATTGCAAAAGATTGCTTCATGTTGGCTGTATGTCCTGTTTGGACTAAATGGTCTAAGATGGAGCTTCTATCTCTGTCAGATGTTCTCTGGCAGATGTTCTAGGAATTTGTGCATTCGGGCTCGTGAGCACCTACCCGTGTGGTTAAGCAAAGGTGTTGTCAAAATTGTTAACAGCTCCATCTTAGACCATTTAGTCCAAACAGGACATACAGCCAACATGAAGCAATCTTTTGCAATAGTTTATCGTGTCAACAGCAGTCTACCTAATTCCATCAGACTGCGAATCCTACAGACGGCTGAAGCAATTGCTATTCGGATCAAAAGGCCAGAGCTTTGTATCCAAAAGAAGTATGTTCAGCCACTCGTTTTACCCTGGCCAACTAGTTATTAATCAATTCCATAATATGGTGACGTAATTTGATTAATGCTTATTTTATGTCCCAAACTTATTATTATTATTATTGTTATTACTGTTATTATTATTATTATTGTCTTTACACTTGATAACCCCTTTTTGAGGAATTTATTCAATATCCACCCCAGAATCTACTATATTTGACCTAATTATTGTACATATTACGCAATTTCCGATTTGTAATCACAATATTCTCTCTCTCTCTCTCTCTCTCTTACCCCATGTTGACCATATTTATTCTAATCATTTATCGCACAATTTCATTTCACTTATAAACTGATTCAAGTTAACACTTTATATTAAACAGCCCCAACATTAACGATCTGAATTGATTTTATATAACAAACAACAATTCTTAATTCACATATTACAATTTCCAAATCATTTACTCTGCCTTAAATCTGGTCAATTTTATGGATTATTAATTTGGATATGAGATAATTGTAGAACCTGATGAGAAATTATTGAAAAGAATATTCTTCGTTCATACAATTGTGTTTTTAATATAATGGGAATTTTTCAGCGATTAAAATCTTGTGTTCAAATAGTTGTAAGCAATTCTATCCAATTTTGACGTCAACGCTACAATGTGAAATTTGATGAATTATTTTACTTTACTTTCCAAATTACAGTTTTTCATACATTTTACAATTAACTTCTCTAATTTAAAGTCATTTCATTTATTTTAGTCAGACATCATGGATGAAAGCTATTTTTCATCAGGACAGAGACCTCACTCAGTTGAAATAATGAGGACTTTAGATTTAGATGAATCGTTCATTGATCCTTTTCTGGAGCTAGCTCCGTTTTCTGCACGCTCTGAAAAAACTTATGATGAAGGACGCACAAAAGTAGAACACAGACAGATAATTGGGAATTTACCAATACCAATAGATAATTTAAAAGCTCATCTACCATTTTTAGCCACTCATCTACAAGAAGCTCTAGCTGAATCAGTTTCTGCAGGAAATCCGAATCAAGTAAGTCATTAGATTAAAATACAAACAAAGCCCTTTGATTAATACAGTTTTTCTGGAGATTTTGTGCACGTTAGATGTTTCCCTCATTAAAACTAATGGTTTGAAAAATATACTTTAACAAACTTTATACACTTAATTGTTAAATCATCGTAAAGTATATATCTGATAGTTTACAGTGATAGTGAATAATGTAAGAGACCTGTTTGATAATTACGCTTCACCGGAATAGCCCCCTCCATTGAATTCATGTAGCTGTAAATAAACTTTTGGTCACATGTGTCCTAATAACACTGAAACAAAATATTATTCATTATGTATTCGGACAACTAGTATTATTTTGAGTAGAATTACTTACTGGACTTCTGTAAAATTTGGGATGAATACTTTCTATTCAAGTGGCAGGCTTGTAGAATACTTAGTAATTATAAATCTCATAGCTCGGCTCATAGGAACTTAGGTTAGTAAGCGGAAGAGTTTTGTCACAAATTAAATGATAACTTAGAGATTTTCAGCTTATATGATCCACATAAATCCAATATACAGTACAGAACTTTATTAGTTGATATGAATTTGTCAAGCAAATAGAAAAGTGAAAATTCCCATTTTAACATTTGGTAAATAAAGAATAACGAATCGAACGAAGAAATTTCTTTTCGTCTTCGCTTGATTGAAACTTGCGCTATAAGTTGTGAGCGGAAAATTATTTCATTTTTCTTCAAACACTTAAAATTATAAACCTTAGCTTATATAAGTAGAATAGAATAATAATTTTTAATTTGCTTTCCCAATGCAACTCGAAATCAAGTTAGTTATTTTACTCCTTTAACACGTATTGAATTGTAGCTAAATAGCCTAACCTACTTTTCTGTATCTGCAAAAAGAGGAGTCATTGCTATACACGTCTGAAGTAAATGAGACTTCATTCACAGATGTAATGAATAAGTAGCTCGATAACAGTCAAAAGTTTATGATACATTTAACGTGAAACATTCAACGATGGATAAACTATTGAGTGCTTTAGTGACAGAATGAACATAATGTTGTACATCCATACTGTTATGAAGTTTACTGAAAATAAGGTTTCCCTGAGAAAATAGTGAAGGAAGTAAACAAAATTTAATTAAAAAGTTATTTGGCGAAAATATCTAATTATAACATTTTATTACTCAATGATCTCAAAGATTAATGACAGTTCTGGTTAATATTAGCTATTGACTTCCATATTTAAAGTAGAACTGTGTGGTCTGTACGATTTATAAGGTTTTCAGAAAAAAATTACCATAGACATCATTCATAATCATGAAAATTTGATCGTCCGAATTAAAGTAATTCTAATGCTTTTTCCGCAATCCTGGTCTGACAGTCTTCAGAGAAATAGTGAGAAGCATCAAAATAGCAAATAAATAAAAACAAACCAATTTAGCAACCCAAAATAATTGTTTCAGGTTAAGAATTTCCCTTTAAATATGAGTACAAGTCATTTATTTTGAACTACAATCATGTTCCAAGATATAATCTGATGTGATATGCATGTTTTTCGTCAGTGAATATGGAAAGTTGGTATTTGTTCTGGAGCACCAGGTCAAGTTTCATGAGTGCAGATAATTGACACAATGACTGACTTGACCGTGTTAATTTACTTTGGCCTCGTATGTCTAGTGGAGAGAAATGAAAACAGTTCAAATTTACGTCTGGTTATCCTGACCATTCCTTTGACTAAGGTTGTGTTAGACTAAAGGATGGAATTTCATTCCCATCACTGAGATTTTGATCAATACGATTTAAGTGTACTTACATCTTTATCCTCAGCTCTCTATATTTCCAACATTTTTCAGTCAAATCTGAATGGAATTTTAGTAAACGCTAAGTGATTTTTTTAATAAACTCCTTAGACATGTCTACCTGGGTAGTTCTAAGTTTATTTAGCTATTTTAAGTGTGTGGAGTCTATAATAATTACATATATAGTAATTACGAGTCTCATATTAATTTACGTTAGTAATCCAATCATTTTTATGATTATTTAAATTGTTATATAACAAAAAGCAGTGACCAGAATAACACTCTTGACAGGTCACAATACAACTAAACAATTACATAAATACACCTTGATTTCACAAAGGTACTCTGTTGCGTTTATCGGTTCACTATTGTTAATTATTTTTAACAATGCAATTGTTAGATACTGTCCAATACTAAATGCATTTTCAAAAACTATGATTAAAACTCCCTTGAACAACAAAATTTACGAAACTAAAGTTATAGGTTTTCTTTTCAAATGCATTAAAACAATGGAATACATTACATTCATTTTTTAAGAATTCACCTCATTTGTTGTAAAGATAAATAGAAGTAATCAGTCAGTCATTGACAAATCGGCACTTCATTTATCATCTTTATTTCCACGTCGTGTGTTCAAAAATTGGGAGAGGAGACCACCTAAACAGAACCAAAGAATATTTAATATTATTTACATCTCCCATTACGACAGTAAGTTCATTATAAATGAACTATCATTCAAAAAGTTCGGAACAAGATGGATTTTGTCAATTTATTCCCTAAATAATAGCACGTTATCTGTGTACGCGAAATCGAAAATGGGTTTTCATGTAGAAGATTAATCAATCAATCAACCACTTTTAACGTAGAACTTGGGATACATGTAAGTCTGTCTAAGCCACCACACCAATTTAGCACAAAATGATGAAATTATCATGTTGAACTACAAAGTAACAGAGGTTGTAGCCGTGTCGGTAATAGAAGAAACGATTAGGTATTAAAAAAGTATAAGAAGGTTTTAGGACAAAGAATCTAACATAAAACATCTTCACAACTATGATCGATTATGAGCCGTATTACTCAATGTCCCAACTATTGATTACGATAACTGCTCGAACTCCGACCTTCAGCCTACTTCTACATCAGACGACATCACCTGTCTAGGTAGCCTGTGGATTAACATACGTACTACGTATCTTGACCATTTCAATCAGCCGAGTCGGTGGGTATGTCTGCGTGGCCAGAACCTGAATAAGGGAGAATATATGGCTCACAAACCCACATCTACGTCTCAAACCAACCTGGTTTTCCGAATTTACATTGAACGCCCCCTAGTTAAATTTTAAACTAATGTTTTATACATTAAATTAGTCAAACTTATTCTACAATAGTTATTTATTGCCCTTTCTTATAAACTGAGATGATCAGAGATCGATGTCAGTCAGATGAATTTACATCCAGTTTACAGACTCTAGCTAATAACTCAGTCAAAGCTGGGCCACCAATCTTCGGAGTTAATCTATTGGGCCAATAAAATCCCATATTTTGAAACACCGATAAACGTATATGAATTACCTTTCGATAATAAAACTATTGATTTCCAAACTTAGGCCAAAAAGGTTTTCTACAATAAGGCGTTGATAGTTATGAATATTTTCCAAAGGTTGATCGATACATCCGCCAACCTCCAAATAGGCTAAGTCATGACTATTATGTATCAGTATTTTACACAAATCTAATGAATTACTTGATGGGAATTATAAGCGATCTGAATAAACACAATTTTCTGATTAAGACTTTTAATGTGTTTTATTTACGCTGAAACATAAGTGTGATGAAGGTAAACCAAAACAGTAATTCATATTCACATGAGAAATAACAAAATCTCCAAAGTAAGTAGAGAAATTAATCACTTATTATGAAGGTTAATATTATGTTGTGACATACACAGACGAAATAAATATACAGGAAACAATGTTTGGAATTGTCACCAGTAGATTTCATCAAAGTAAGAATAATTTGGGTCGATTAGCATGTTTGAGATAACCGTTAGCTCTTCATATATAGATGGAATTTGAGCTAAGTAATATGGTGCTGGGGTCGTTAGACACCACAAGTTTGTCGTTAAAGGGAAAGTGTTTGGTTGATTCTGAATGACTGCATTTTTGTCACTACTATTCAATTTTGATGGTCTTTTTGAGAATTTTGTTCTTCTACAATCCAAGTGTCTAGCTCGTTTTTTAATGTTTTTTTCTTCAAAGTATGATAGAGGACAATTATTCAAAAGACGTATTATATACCTTAAACGATGAATGTTCCTACATCCCTCTGAAAACTTAGTCGAACTCGACGTCTGTGACTCATACGTTGATGATGATGAGTCTATTTGAGAAACTGCAGCATATTTTTTGAGCTTTTTCATTTTATCCACAAGTTCATGATATTCATTTTCTTTTACTGGCTCATCAGCCTTACTACAATCTTCATTACTCAAAACATCTTCATTACGGTCTTTAAGAAATGTAGAAGAACATGAACAGTTACATTTTAAATTATCACCGTATTCCTGCTTTTTCTTCTTCTTCTTATCATTTCTTCTGTTTTTACAAAGCGCATTTGAATCGAGAATGATTTTTAAAGCTTCCAGCCATTCAGAAGTTTCATTTTTCTTTTTACAATCCTTTTTAATATCGTTCGTTTCACCCACATCCATAAGCAAATATTTTGCCAAACGTAGTAGCATTAAATTAAATTCACTATCTCCTACTTCTTTGAGAGCTTCACTTTTAAGCAATTCATGATGAAGATACTGTTTAAGATTCTGCCGATCCAAAGAGTTGTTATCTATAACCTTTATAAGCTCTGGTTGTCTTGACGACAGAATAGGTTGTTCAGTTTCACTATCACAAGAAACTGTCCTGAAATCAAGGGAACTTTTTGGCGCCTTTCGAATATGTAATGATGGTGTTTCCAAGTCTAATTTTGGTTGTAACTGGTTTCGTTCTAAAAATCTATCTGCTGATGTCGTTGAAAGATCTTTGAAATGGTTTTCTGGAGAGGCAGAATGTCTTGTGATGGGTGCAGGCGTCTGTGTATTTTCATTTTGTATACCTGGTCTAACGCTTAATACTGAATTAGTGGGAATCTTGAGTTTAGGTTTTGTCGTCTTAGACTTTGCAACAAAAGATAATGGGTCCTTACTAGTTGTATTATTTCTTGTAGAATAATGGGATTCAATATTTTCATCACACTTAAATTGTTTCGGTTTTACTTTAGATAATTTTATTGAAGTGTTCTCGTGATTTTCAGTTCTAGGTTGACTGCCTTCAAATTTGTTTTGTCTCTCAATTATTTTTAGTTTCTTTTGTATCAAATTCTCACCACTACTTTTCGAAGACGATATTGTTTCTTCCTTATCTGTTTTTCTCAAAGCTCTTCCACTTTGTTTAGAGGCACTCTTCACTGCTTTTTTGGAGACTTGTTTTTTCCCTTTTTTAGCAGCTTGTATTGCTGCTTCCTTTGCAACCTCTTTAGCAGCTTTCTTACCCACATGACGAGCAGCTACACGTCCGCCAATTCGAAGACCACTCATACTCATTTTGGTAGCTAAATTGGCCATTGCTTACAACATTCTTGATACGTGTTTAACGTATTTGCAAAGAATGATTGATTTGACAAACGACCTTATTAGATTACAAGTAATAAAGCGTTTTAGTAATTATCTAAGCATCATATGATTTATCGATCTGTTTGAATTATTTCAAGTCTATAGTTTTATACAGGATAAACTAAGCTTGATTTTCCGACTAAATTTTTAAAACAAATAGTATTTATACGAATATTCGTCAAGATTAGAACGAATAGTTTGACAGTAATTGAGCGCCGAGTATAGAGAAGTCATTATATGTGAAAATTATATTTGAAATATTCTCAGCGATTGAAATATAACTAATTCCAACGTTTCGTCCAGCTAACTTGTCTGGACGAAACGTTGGAATTAGTTATATTTCAATCGCTGAGAATATTTCAAATATAATTTTCACATATAAATAGTATTTATTTTAAGTGAGCCTGGTGAACTCATATTTCTGAAAAGAATAACATTTAATGAGAACTTATTATTTGCATTTTGATGTTGGATTGACTTTCCCATGTTTTTTCTTAAAAAGCAAATCGTAGCGTCCAATACTCAGTTGTAACGTATGGATGCAAAGTAATGATTGAATAAATGTGGTCGTCACTTTGAGTGAAGTAATGAAATGGTGGAGTGAAATTATTTCTAACAGCTTTTGTATATAAACTGGGGAGTATTTTTGTAATTTTATAATTTTTTCTAATTTCACTTCAGTTGCAAATTAACTGAATTGTTGAGTAAGTGGGTAGTGAAATTTTCATCAATGACTTCAAGTTAATCAAGCTGATATACAAACATTTATCACTGAAACAGTAATTAATATGATTCTAGAAACTTATTTCTAGGTAGAACATCTAACTAGCAATACGAAATCGTCTAGTAATGAATCAAAGGATATAGGGTAAAGAAGAATAGGTTATGGTGTTTCGGCGAAATTATTCGTAATATGTTTTAGTAGTTAAATCATTCAAGGCGTATGCTATAGTGTCAGATTTCCAAACATTTTGACCCCTTTTAATTCAACTGATTCGATTGTTCACGTACTAATTTTCTTATGTAAACTATTTAATCAGTGAGGTTACACTTATCGTGGTGACTGAAATCTGAAAAAATTACTGTTTTATGGAAACTTAATAGTACAGAACTAAAGCTGTAATATTCTTAATAATTAAACAACATGGTTGTGTGATAAGATTTTTGACTGATAAACGTAGTAATGATAGTTTAAGTACTTGCAAATTCTTCATTTAATGGTGTATAATATTAAAAAAAGAAGTTTATGACGAAAATTCATTCCCCCTAGATTGCGCATCATTCATAAAAGATGATGGATTGTATTAGCTCATTTGTCTAAAATTCAGTTTTCTTGTGAATAAATCTGTCGCAAATCAGTAAAGAAAACCCACAAATTTTTTTCGAAAATAGTTTGATTTTTTTTCTTAGAAGAATCCTATAACGAAAGTAACTAAATATTCACATGACATATGTATATAAATTGTAACAGTATTCCTTTCTGCTTTACAAATATTAAGTTTGAATTTTCTTTCAAACATTTACTTATTCTGTAGGTTACAAGTGTAGGAAACCATTACTCGTTGCAATTTGTTCAATGGATTCTGTGCTAAAAGTGCATCGTCAAGCTATATAGTCCATTGACTGATTGGTAAGGATAGACAGTTGAACTGTGAATCAACGGTATAACTGTTTCTTGTTCATGATGAGAATTGGTGGAATCGAATTCAATACTGTGTAAAATTATAGATGTGCACAACTAAAGCGGCGTACATTGGGAAGAAATAGCTGCTCAATGTATCCTAATTTCAATGATTCTCCAGCTGATGTCAGTCTATGACAAAAGAATCTCCCACAATAGGTCCAAATCATATTCTGTAGTCTATTACTTGAGTGTTAGTACCATAGTACTTAGAAAGAAAATGTTATTTACTGATTGTTTGGTAAAAGGAATTTTTGGCTGGTTATAAATAACTCATTTTTGTAAACTGAGTGTTCAAATCAGGTGGTAATTATACAAGAAAATGAGCATTGACGGGAAACAATTCAGACAAGTAACTAATAATTAAAACATCGGGGATTTTAAAGTCTTTCAGAATAATTAAACATGCAAGTAGTTTTAAACACTTGGGAGAAATTTTATTCAATGTTCATTGAAAATACCCTGAATACGTTTGGTAGTCAGAGGATATTCCTTTTAGGTTTAACCTCAATATGCTTCTCGTTCACAATTTACCTTAACAAGTAAAAGTGTGAGCTATCAAGAAACACAAACGAATGATTCATATACCGATTATAATAGTCTGTGGAAAGTGATGTGCCAAACATATGTATTGCTTAATTATTCAGCTCCATTACCCCATTAAATATGAGTTGGTTTGTGAGCATAAAAATGCAATCTTCCTCAAATAAACCACAATAATTTACTAATATCTTTATGTGTAAAGAGTTTTCATTACATTAAAATTCTTAAGCTCCATGCTAACGTACAAAAATCATGAAACAAATTAAATTGTTTGTTCATAAAATTTATCGACACTGTTTATCTCAATTCATTTTACAAGTGTTGTAGTGCTGGACAACGTCCTGGACCAATCAATACAAATCTATCACCAGGATTCCATGAATCTGTTCATTGTGAACATCGCTCACCGCCAACTCCAACACCAAACATTTCCTCAGTAGCAATTCAACATATTCGACAAGAACGACGTCAACAGCAACAACAAAAAACCTGCACAGCAGATGATTCCTCCCCTTCATGTGAAGTAAGTTTGTGGTAATGTAAATGGTTCTCACCTTTTAGTCCTAAATTGGATGATCGTTTATTACATGTTAAAATATTCAACTTTCATTTTTACATCAAAAAGAAACATTTAGAAAAGGGCTGAGTATGAGAAAAACAATGTCAAACCAATCGGTGGTAGTTTGAAGACTGATTATGAATAAAACGTAACCATGGGTTTCTGTTTAAATGTCACATCCTATATGCCAAAAATGAAATGCGCTTTGTTGTAGAGAATAAAACTATTGCTACTTACTTAGCTGGCACATTTTAAAATTTAGTTTCATAAATGACTAAAGTGTTGCTGGTTTGAAACTCATTTCGGTTTATAGCACATTAGTTCGAAACCCTGTTAAGCACTCGGAATTGTTTGATTAAGAAGTGAGATATTAATTAAACAGGTTTTCAACAAGATAGGAAATTCATTCTGTGACGATTTTGTGTGAAATATGATAATTATCATACTAAGTCTTGTGATTACACAGTGAATTTAATTTACCCTCTAAAAATAAATTGCTAAATCATTTCACACCACAGCAATGTGAATCAGTGAATAGTTAAAATCTTTAACCATAAAACACTGAAAATTCTGTTCACTAGTAGATTGCTTTCGTACACACTTCAATACGTAGAGGTGACTTTGAGCTAATATTAAATGTTTAGAGTAGCTTATAATGAACTAAGATAAAACAACTATTTACTTACTGGTTTTCATAGATTCATGATGATACAGGTAGTCAAATATAATATATTTGTTATCAGAATGTGTTTTGTGGAGATTTTTAGAAATTTTCACAGATTGAAATCATGAGTCAGTTGAAGCTAGACCACCATTGAAAATCTGGAAGCACTGGACGGCCGTTTCGTCCTGGTATGGGACTCCTCAGCAGTGCGCATCCACGAACCCGCACCACCCGGCGCTCGAACCCAGGACCTACTGGCTTCGCGCGCGAGCACTTAACCATTAGACCACTGAGCCGGCATCCAACGGTGTTACTGCCTAACTTCAACCAATCCACGAAGTTGCGCTACCGTACACCATTGTCTTCAGTGAGTTCCTATCTCACAACAGACCTGGTTGAACTCCACTGGTAACGACTTCTCACTAGAACTCCAGAAGTGTTTTACTGAAGTCAGTCACTAGTGAGCAGGTGATTGTTATTATCAGAATGTGTTTTGTGGAGATTTTTAGAAATTTTCACAGATTGATAATCACCCAAAAATATTTTATTTATTCACTCACTTCTAGTTAATACATGGATTTAGATAGTAAACAAAGCAGTTGAACAAATGATTCGAGTATGGTTATTGCGTAACACAGAAAATTGTACTTCTCGAAGAGAAACGTTAAATGATAAAATGATTCCTTACAACTAGCTAGTGCTTGTTCGTAGTCTTTAATAGATTCTATGCAGTCTTTAATGTTTAGATCATGATCCTCTGCTTTGACAAATCAACCATGTGTAAAGAATATGTTGATTCGTACGATATATGGAGTTTATCAGTTGTTTTTATCAGAAACGTTAAGCTGAACGAAACAATCAAAGAAAGTTCTTGTCCAAAATCCTCATAATGAATAAAAATAACATTGAACCATTCTCTTTATTGTAGAAATACTTTATTCTGTATTTGAGAAGATACGTAAATAACCTTTACTATGTCAGGTTGAAGGCTGTCTGATATTTAAGAAAGTGTATTTACCACCGCATATATTTTCGACGGAAATGTAGCTTCACTTTTCGTTCACCGACACAGTAAGTTTGAGAAGGGGTCAGCGAGTTTCACTACAGCAAATCCACACACAAGCAGTGGTTTTTCATAAGTGATAAGGGAAAATATATTTGTTGGCATGATTACTTAGATAAATAATTAAGACTTATAACTCAATAATAAACTGTATGATGAGAATATATTTTTCCCAGCCTTGACTAAACAAGACCTGATCACGAAGTTCCCCTTCTACTTCTTTAATTAACTAAACTATAGGCTGAAATTTACAATCCTTTTACACGATGCTAATGATAATAATGATTCATGACTCATACAATTATACTAGAGTAAACTAAAGAGATCATAATGCTCAACAAATCTCGACTAATGCACAACCGAAGCATTTACAGAAAAACAATTAACGATGTATTCACTCGTTGTAAAAAAGTAAATATCAAGCTCGTATATACATGATGCAATATTAATTCTATAGGGATATAATTTACTTAAAACTTCTTTGAAATACATAGTTTCTTTTGAGCATTACTGTTGATCCTGAGCTTAATTCAATAGTGTTTTCAAACAAATTTTGCTTTTTTAAAATCTCCGTTTATTTTAAGTATCCCTTGGCCTTTTTTTTCTTTTTATCAGTTCAGTTTTAGTTCTCGATTTAATTTTATGTATAATTATGTATATGTAAATTTGTCTAGCTCTGTCATAACACCCATGAATTACAACATCACATTTGTCAAGAGAATATTGAGTATTTACAGAATCAATTGTTAGATATGAAACACCAGCTGCAATATTGTCAAGAGAGAGAGAAAACTAAAGAACAATTATTGGAAGAAAGTTACAATACAACGAGACAATTACAAGAAAGCGTTACAAACTTGTTCCAACAGGTGTGACATCTGTATTTATTTTATGTTGCTCTATTTAATATTTTCCTACCATGTTAATTTGCTTATGAAGAAACTGATTTATAGAGCTCCGTAGTCGAAGTCTATTTGATGATAATATTTTTTCGTCTTATTTTACCAGTAGATCATCAAACAGATTTATTCATCTCGGATTACATCAAATTACTATTAAAATAATAAGTAGCTTAACAAAAATGTCGATTCAGTTGATGAACTTAATCTTTCGAAATATATAGATGAATAAGATTCCAAATCATCTGTTAAACGAAAGTATGATCTCTAGAGTTCATCTATTTAAAAATTAATGCTCATGATTTTTATTTAAAACAATTTTCCTAAAGGAAATTTAAAACTTTTGACAATGAGTTACTCGAACTACGAAGTAAGCCTGATTATCAGTCAAGTATTTTACCTGAAGTCTTCTTAACTTATGATGTTACTTTTTAGAAAAGTTATTCAAACACAAATATTTTAACCTTGTTAGCAAACTCAGACTGAAATTAGCATGATTACTATGAATTGGTACTTCATTTACCTGAAAAAACTAACCACATAAATAGCACCAAGAGCAATGCTGCTTTACTACAGAGAAAGGAGGGATTAGAAAAGTTCAGCTATAAAAATCGAACACCTTATAATGACCCACTAATTTTGCAGCCTAGGTGGTTAGGTTTAGTAAGCAAGAAGCCAATACACCCAATATCACTATCAAAAATGCCTTTCATATATGGCTTCAAGAACCCGTCACTTAGTGTCAGTGGTTACATCCCCATGTTAAAAAATTACTCTTAATCCAGTTTCCTTTTTATACTACTCAAGAGGAAACATGCACAGTGTAGACAATCAACAGATAACTACTACCCATAAATCTCCGATAAAACCTGAGTTCATAATCTTCATAGTTGGATTTATTCTTTACTTCTTAACATATTTCTTACTTAAGATCTCAACATATCTATTCTCGCCATTTTCTCACTGAGTATACACAACCAATGTTAGAGATTCATGCCCATGAAATTTTACTTTCTGCCTTCAGACTATAAACTGGGCCTTTCAATATGTGGGACGTACGTCAAATAACATCACACGTTTCATTATGCAAGATTCTGTGTCTTCGATTAATGTTTGTTGATTCGCTTGACTACCCAGAGTCCATTTGGAGAATCGAGGTGACTGAGTTCTTTTGTTTCCGGATACTTAACCACAACTTCTCATGACTTCGCTGGTGTAAACATAATATTTAGTTCAATAGCAAAACAAGGATAAGAATGATCAAGGTCATGGGTCACACATCAAAACAGAATAGTGCCTGTCAATAACATTCTAAATAATCTCACAGAGGGAAACATCTGAAGTTATTTAAAAGGCGTGGTGTTATCTAAAAGACAATCTCTTTTAATTAAAGTACTTACGTTACTTTGTATGAACGCGATGGAAATCTAGAGGTATTTATATTTAATTGTAAGAAATCTATTGGGTGCGGTACATTTATGTTCATCCTAAGTTAACCCTTAAACAATGTTACTAATGTCCATTAGATAATAGACACTCAAGTCACAACGGTAGTAGTGTTGACTAATTGAAACGTATGCTATACAGTGGTATGGATATTGTCGAGAAGTTTGTACTGAGAGATTACTACTAGTACTGTTGTTCTTTGGGGATGGTGAAAAGATAGTAGAAATTGATGAGACCGTAGCATGGAAAAGAAAATGCAGTTGAGGGGAAAAAGTAAAAAAAACTGGGTCAGTAGTAGTTACCTTATCTATCTTCAGGAGATCTTTGGAATATAGGATAGAGATCTGAAGAGCGAGTATTCCGAAAGGCTTTTTATCACTCGGCTTGAAGTTCTCTGTTAATAACTGAAAAATATATACTACTCTGAATCACAATAAACACTAACAACTGGGGAGCATACAAGTACCTTTGCAATTACAGTTACTATCGTACATTTTTACTACATAAACGTCACTTTGTTAACACGACTACTGGGGTTCCGCTATAACGGAACGGATATATTAAAAGTCGTTTTTTCAAATTAGTAACAACCATAATTTTGTCGTATAGTTATCAATTAATAAGATTATTATACAAATATTTCTTTTACCATAACCTTTCGATTAACCCACTAAATACTGTTGTATTATTTACTATTCCCAATACATTTCCCGTTTATTATTCACGGTTTCCACTAATTACAACTGCTTTTGGGCTTGATCATGTATAATTATTACTTTTCATTTGATGGCGCAATGTTGCCTGGCATATTTGTATGTAAACTACGTCTAATTGAAATACAACACAGGGATTACACGAGCAAAATAGAAAGTGGAAAAGGGCGCGGTTAAAATGTCCCTCATTGGTAAGGAAGGTGAGCGCTGAAAGGGAAATAAAATGTTTGACTATGAGAAATATGTTCTGTTCCCCCTCTGTCCCTCTTCCCTATGACCAAGCAAAAAGTAGTTTTCTAAACGTCTAATGACTTGTCTGATTCCAACAAATACTGTGATTCTTCGAATTCGGTAACAGATTGTTATTCTTATTACCCTAGTCACGTTATCTCGTATGTCAATTTCGAATCAGCTTGGAGATAACGTATTTAGAGGGATGTTTTGAAAATCCTTGAAGAATGTTTGCTGAATTTTATTTCAAATGAGTTTTAATTGCTAAAAGCATTCCTTTCTTTTTTAATTAAAAGTCAAACTCGGCATTTCCCATAACATGTATTCCCGAAAATACTGTCGTTTGTGATCTCTAGAGAAAATGAGTGAACTTTTATTCTGTCAGTTGTTAACATCCGTGAAAATAAGAGTCAAATGACTAGGTTTTATTTAGTGTTCATTAGATGAACGGGTGGGACACATGGAATTGTCATTAATAATATAGGATTATTAAACATGTATACCATTTCAGATTATCCATTATTTCAATTAAAACAATACTCAGATTTACGCTTGACAGGTAAAAACGTTTAAACGGTGTACTTAGATTACAAATCCAGCTACATCACAACAATATCTTATAGATGATTTCTCTGCAAAGGCGGTAGCAATCCACCATTTAAAGCCTAAGCTATATGTGCAAAAGCGTCTAGTCAGTATGTTATTATTTCGTGACTAAAACTTAGTTTTCCACACGGTCAGTCGGTTATTGATACTTTATCTAAATGTTTTTTACGCTTTAGTTGTCCGTTATTATCATCTTCATATTTCTAGTTCATTTTTCATTTTTCTCATACTCCTTAGGCGGATAATTATCTTTCACACATTTGATTTTGTCTTGTTACTTTCTTTTACTTTTCAGTCATTACACAATATTATTTTGATCCCTGATGATGTGTACTACTTCAATCATTTGACAGACTAAGAGGAGTGTTAAGCGTAAGCAAGCTACAAAGACATTTAAAATCCAGACCCCGACTCCCTGACACATTGATAACTCCTCAGCTTGAAAGGGCTATTTATTGCTACAATAAAATAATCCCGGTAATTTCAAATGAATTTAGCACTGGGTAGAGTGTTAATAATAAATATATTTTTGTTATATTCCAGTGAGTAGAAAAATTGTATGTCTGACGTTTCGTGACTTAATGTACGCCACTTCATGAAATGTCAGAAATATAATTTTTCTATTTAATGGGATATAACAAAAAATATATTTATCATTAATCCGGGCAATATATTAACTGACCGAATATAATACATCAAAAGAGGGTAATACCAATTTAATGTAGATGTTAAAGGTACATTATAAGGTTTTCGTAACGTATTTTGACATGTTCAAATCTGCACATTCAAATAATATGCTTTTCCCCGTAGACAGTCTAGTGTTGATCGGTTTGGCAATCTTCTACGACCAGTTTGATACACAATGCTACCTCCTCATACTTTCTTTTTAAGTGCTGTTACTGGACTTTTGCAACAAGCTATTCGATTTTCAAGTCATTTAGACTCTCTTTCTGAGAACATTAATAAATTTCTATGTACTTGGATGAGTGGTAGCAACAAGTTGGCTAAAGATTCTATCCCACCCGTCCAAGAAATTGTTCGTTTTAGGTAGGTCTTTACAACATAGGGGAAACCGAATATATTTTACATCATTAAAAAATTTATTCCCTTTTCAACGCTCACTTTTATCAATATGCATCTTTTTGATGATCACCTCTAATAATGTACGTCCTTATTAATGTGGACCCTTATTAACCGAGCCCTTTAGAAGGAATATTCAATATAGTGGAGGCTGATTCCCGATTTCTAGAAAAAAGATAGGATAAAGAGAGAATAAACAGAGTCTTGGACCAATAAGGACTCAGCAGCTAAACCAAGGTTACTAGTGTTGGTTAGATGTGCAATTGATCGAGCCGGTTATACCAAATTATGTAAATCGGGATTCTATTTGGTAGTTTTATCACATGAGTTTTAGTCAACAGTCATAGCCATAATAAGTTCATACGAACAACGGAGAGATGTAAAGTTGGTCTAAAAATATTTATGGACACGTAAAGAATATCAAGAAAGCCTTGTTTGGAGTCATATGAGTAAAAAGCATTGTCTAATATCTTTTGAGTTTTAATATCCTACAAGAAACCTAGAAAATTCCATTAGCGATGTGAAATATAAGTATTCTATTTAATTTGTTTGTCTTAGATTTCAATCGCTAATCTATACCGAGAAAAGTTTTAGAGGGAAGCTTCTATAGTACTTGAAAATCTTAGGAGATCCGACTCATCAGTCATAGGTGGTTTTGTCTATCAAGTAATTAAGTCGAGTCATTTGTAAGGACACTTGGACGAGTGTTTCCGCTTCCCAGACAGGCAAATAGATAATGCTAACCGTCTACTGAATTTCGCTTCAAAAGTCGTTTATTCCTATTGAGCATCAATCATAAGTATAATGAGATATTGTCTAACCTGGAGAACTCCAATATCCACTCAACACTGTATTCAGCCAAATTTTATCAATATTACCAATCTCTAGGGTAAAATAACAGAAAACTGTCGCTCTCTCTCCAGAGCATATCCAGACTCCGATTAAACAATAATCCAACTATTCGCCTTCACTTTTCTGAATACAAATATTACACCAGTAACACCTCCAAGAGCTCATTTTGAAAATGACAATATCAGGCATATATTTGGGGAAGAACTAGCTATGACCTTTGTGATGCTAATTCTGAAGTGACTCATTGTAGTAACGATATCAAAAGTTTCTGATTAGGTAATAGTTTTCTGGAAAATAGTCCTCGGTAGATTCAAACATGATAAGAAACAAAGTCAAGGTAACCCTATAGACTGTTAGAAAGGCTACCTAATGTCCGTGAACTATGATGGATAGTGAAAAAGGAAATGTTGGATGATGGATAACACTGGTTTCAACCGATCATTCAGCTACTCACCAATCCCGAAAAAAATGAATGAGAAATCGATCTCTCCCTCTCAATAAAGGGAGTTGACAAGACCAAAGCTAAGTCTAGAAGAGAGAATACAGAAGGACCTGATATATCAACTTCAAATGTTCTGAAGGTAGTAGGCCCACGTTTAGCAGTTAGGTTGTCTGGGATATGAGTTATCGTTTAAGGGCTAAAATAATTCTCATCTGACTGATTTCGATTGCTAATCTTCCCACTTTATGAGAAAAAGTAGAAATTCTCTTTTGAAAACCCCATAAAAAATAGTTTGTGTTATGATTTAACAAATATTTGACCCTTAGCTGGAACTCTAGAATAGAAAATTGTGAGGGATTTGGCTCAGTCATCTAAAAGCTTTGTAGCTGTTATTATTTGTAGGAATACGAAAAAAAACATCGATTTCTCAAAGAATCACTTCTTGAGCATAATTGGTAATAACGTCTTTTTCGTCTAACTTTACTTATAGTAAGCAAACTTCATTAAAAAGATCAAAAACCTTATGAGTTATCTAATTTTTCTGTTGACTTGATTTTCTTTTCTACACAGGTTGGAGAACGAGAAAATCTGTTGCATAAATTAAGCTTGGAAGTGAATAAATTGAAAAATAAACATGAGGAAGTAATTTCACAGGTGAGCATTCAGGATTCAGTAAATGATTTAAAGTTGATTTTTCTATTTACAGTTAGGTCTAATTTACCAATCCAACATTTTGTTTCCATTTTGTGATGAAATGATGATACGTCATGGCAGTAGAGAAGCTTGAGGGTGATCATGAAATTGATGTTAATGAGATCTATATGTTTGGTAATAGATCACTTATAATTAAGCATAACATCCCAGAGAACTTTATATAATTGTCCGACATATGTATTTTGTCTTTTAAATAGAAAATTGAGTGAATGATCATAATTCCTCATCTTAGAACTGACTTTTATCATCGATGAAAATAATCCTGAAAAAGTGCTAAACAAAGTAGTAAAGATGACCAGTCTTGAAAGTCCATGCTTCAAGAAGAATTTTGGATTTCATCATAAGAGCAAACAAAGACGATAAATGTCTGCTTTATTTGATTGCCATCTTTTTCATTGAGTATAATTTTACAACAACACTATAAGCCTATAAGCAAAGATGGATAGTGGTTAACAGTGGGATCTAGGGCGCGTATTTCGTCCCATTTGGGACTCGTCAGTCGGGTGTGCCTGCACCTTGGAGTTAATTTTCACTCTGGGACTCGAAACCAGTGCTATTCGCTTCAAATGCTATCGCGTTATCCACTTAGCTACCATGTTCCATCTTTGTTTCAGACTTAGTTTCAAATACTTTTGATTTAGCCGTTTGAATATTTTGACAGATTTCAAACCTGCTGAATGTCATCATTAAGTGTATTGGCAACCATCAACAGTTTATGCACCCCTGTCAAACATCAAGATAACTTATCGACTTTAATGATAAATAATTCAAAGTAAAATCAATTACTTTACAGTAAGCACTCAGTAATTTGTATAGCACTGGTCATCAAGCAGTGATTGATTTAAGAGCATAAGTCTGTATTTACCTTAGATGATCATTCAGCATTGTGACGGAATCGGTAAATTAAGACGACAGAAGAGGATTGTTACCAAATATACATTGAATCTCACGAAAATCAGCAATATATAAACCAACTATAAATGTCAGCAGTTGAAATTTCTATTTTTTCATTTAGCGCGATTCATTTCAAAACCAAACTAAAGAACTAGAAGAACGCTGTCATGATCTACACAAAAAGTATGAGAATAATGCAAATAACTTGACAATGATGGTAAGTTCAACTTTTTAGTTTTCGTATCTCCTCATCTTACAGTTCCGATTCAGACGGTCATCAAACACTTCTGCTGTAGATTAGTTTTTATGGTGTTGCTAAACTAAAATTGATAAAATATATCGTCATCAGCATTAAGGTTTATGAAGATTATTGATATAACGAACTTACCTAAATTAAACATTCGTTTAAAGTCAAGAAGTAACTGATAGCTACTCGGTACTTGCAGGTCACGTTTTTTTGGAAATTACTTTATGCGGACGTCACTTATGACTGATATTTTTTCTCTCAGTGAAACATCTTGACCATACATGGAACACAACAGATAAATACATTTTCCCTCTTTAGCGTTACCTAATCCGAATACAGGGTAGCAAATCGTGTAATTTTACACGACTAAGGGACTTATTCTAACTTTTAATTAGACAGATTCTTCTAATTTTTCCATCTGTTCTATCATACACAATATTTCCCTGTGCAAATTGGCTTGCTTTATTAGTGTATTATCGCACTTCGATACTTTATACAATCACTGCATCTTTTAGATGCATGTCTGCTGTTGTAACAGGTTGACTACAGATTAGAGTGAAACGTATATTATCGATCGATTACCGTGACACGTAAAACACGTACGAACGACCCAGAGTCCCGACTGGCCCTGCTTCGCTGTCTAGCCCAGCCAGTTGAGTCCAGAACACAAGTCATAGCCTCTGAGATATGAATCATTATATTTCAGACATACTCTGTTTATATACCAAACAAACAAACCACATCGTACCATAAAATAGAAAACAACATTTTTACAATATTTAACAAGTGAAATAATTATCGACCAATAGGGAGTGTACATTTAAAGTCCAAGGCCACCATTAGGCTTAACATGATAATTATTGGTATATTTTTCTGCACATCCTAACATCTGCCATCCAATATAAACATATATGATACAATATGTATTCCAATTTTATTATATCTCTGTTTTATAATTGTGGCCATTCGACAGAATGTATACGAAGTAGAAAGGAAATGCATTGTGTTAGCATTCATATCTTTGTATCCCCACCGATCCAACAAAAATGTACTAAAACAGACGTTGCTCAAAGAATGTATCGCAAAAACCAAAAGAAAATTTGACTAAACTAACAGTTATTACATTTATATATGTTTACAACACCCTTGGATGTAGGTCAAAAATAGCAGTGTAAGTTAATGACCAATCCATAGGAGCATTCCCCACAGATTGGCAATGGTTTAAGACCTGTACGTTAGAAAAATTGAACGGAGTAAAATAAAATTTTATATTTACGAGATGTAAAGTGCGACATTAGTGTTTTCACGATTTAAGCATTTGCAGCAGCTCTAGCTTTTATTATAACTAATAAAGTACTGCCGTGTAAATTATCTAGAAATGTATATAACGGACGCTAGCTGCTTTCTGCACTTGTATTTACTTATCAGAACTTCTTATATAACTTTGTTGTGTCCCTTGATCAAAGTGTTTGCTTCTATACTTTCGATTTTTATAATACATTGAGGAACGGACTTTGAGTACTGGTGACCACGTCCGGAGATCGTTAATATTATACGGATTCAAAACGATCCAAAACAGAACCACATTTTAGCTTAATTCCATGGTACACCAATACCGAATAGTTGATCAAGCGGAAAGTGAGGACGACGCGTTGACGAAAAGAAAGCTGAGTTACTTCTGATAAGCCTCTAAAATAGTCGAAATGGCTTTATTACTTTAGGTACTGCTATTTATAAGGGAGCATAAATATCTGTTCAGGGTTAGATCGGTTACCACAAATTTCAGAGATATATTCATCTACATACAGCTAAAGTATTAGTATACAGTAACTCTAACAGATAAATTACATGTAAAAGGATACGTAAATTGTCTTCAGAACAGAAACGTAACGGCGTTTAGCGTCCTTTGATTTCTAGGTTGTTATTTAAGCATACTACTAAGATTTAATTTTTTGCTTTTCAATTTACTTAATTTCTGTCATTGTTCCTGAAATACTGAGGCAATCGAAAATCAACCGAACGATAAGTGTACATGATTTGCCAGAAAGTTGATTTCGTTCCTAAAGGATAAGATATTGGTGACTAAATTATCAGCTTGGCCAATAAACTTTCCTTTTCACTCTGTCTTTTAACTTGAGTAACCGGTTGGGCTCGTGCATAAGAAGATCGTGTTTCAGTATCGAATCTCGGAAACAGTATGTCACAACAGTTTTCTTTTTTACTTCTGACTTTATTTCCCTTTTTGTACATCATACTTTTGGTTAGGTAATATTTCGATAAGTCAACACTTTACTACCTAGTGAAACTTTGTTTTTCCACTGTATTTTGTAGATGTCTAAAACGAATAAGATTTGGTCGAAATAGAAATTTGTATTATTCTAACCCCTTCTTGCTTTAACAACTGTGTTCGTTTTTTTTATGTACAGATGTCAAAAGAATAATAACTATGAATTATTATATTCAGTTTGATTCTAAAACAGGCGTTTATCATAAAATTAAGTATTATCCCTGCCTAAGTTGAACAACTCTTGCCAAAAAATAATATAAAGCCATTAACATTTTCGAATTTTCATTTGAAAAAACTTTAGGTGAAGGAACGTGATGAATTATTGGCAAAATTGAAATCAGAACGTGAGAATATCGAAAACATCAGTGAAGAACGGAAAAGACAGGTACTTATTTTTTACATTTAAGAATGATTGTAGTTTGGAATAACTTTAGGTTAAATACGATGTAGCATCTTCCTGGTAAAATTAACAATGTCATTCAATAATATTTAATATGGATAAGTGGGTTTGATGACTTGGAAACCAGTCAGTTTAAAGATTAGTTCAAAACAACGATGATAACTGAAGAAGTACTATGAAATTTGAAACTACTGGAGCGATATTTTTTCTTGACATGGAGTTTTAGTACCGTGCAGTAAGCTCAAATATGTAACATACCTATTGGAAAGACAAAATATATAGAACCGCCGCCATATTTGTTGTGTGGATTTGACCAAAAGTATTTGTTGATTGAAATTATTTTAGTCAGACGTTTTCTTTAATAAAGCTTACTTAGACAAGGTAGTATATCAGATTTTGCATATTTGTCCACTACAGTCTAAGTTCCCCTGAGAAATATGTTTGAGATATATAGTCAAGTAAATTAATCGAATTTAAGAATTTAAGACTTGTAAGAAATGATTTAAGTACATCAGTCGGAAAACAAACTCCCACCTCAGCTCTTCTATATTTACTGTTGGTCCGAAGCCCGGATAAATGAGGAGGGTTGATCATAAAGTAAGCAACCTCATCCCATTAAAAATAACCTTGCTAAGAAACGCTCACCAGAAAAAATCACTTAAACCATTTAAACTCTGCCCTGAGAGTTTAAAGATCTTCAGTTAGAAGAGTTATGACATCTCACGATGAAAAAATGGAATATCTGAACAATATGAAAGGTCGGAAAGGTTGTTCGAATAGCGGTGGAAATAGAGAGGTACAACATGGCTCTGTTTGGAATAAGTGGAACCTATTGGACGCAAGATGGACCAAAAATGTTAGCTTTGGGAGACATGCAGTTGTACTCGGGTCATGAAGAAAAAAGTGCTTTTCACACGCAAGGATGCAGTCCAAAGAAACATGAAGCGCACTTGTGGAATAGGAATCTTATGGATCAGGAATCATCTAAGCAATCTTCGAAACAAAGAAGGAGGGGATTACAATGAATATTATCCAGGGCTCTGTGTCAAACAATGATAGCAATGAAGGCAATAAAGATCAGTTTTATGGGAGGTCGCAGTCAATTGTAGAAAAGAACCCAGCGAAGAACATGACCATCCTGTTGGGACATCTAAAAGCCAAAGTTTGAATAGACAATACCGGGAATGAAGATATCATGGAGCGGCATCGACTGTGAAAACGGGACGAGAATAGCGAGAGACTTGTAAATCTGTGCGCTTTCAACAAAATGGATATAAAGCGCATCATTTCCCTTACAAATGTATACACAAACCAGAACTATCACCCGACCACCATATAGACAATCAAGTAAATCATCTTTGATTTAATGAAAAATTCAGAGGATCCAGTTTCGAAAACTCCTGAATACAATAGACTAAATCAATCCTCCACACATCCAAGCAACATACACAATCCTCCACACAGATGTCACCCCATACACACACAATCGAACAAATCAAAATGGCCATCAGACAAATCAAGACTGGGAAGGCATCAAAACCAGATAACATACCAGATGAAGCATTGGAGTCAGACATACAGGTAGCCGTACACGTTCTTCGCGTTCTATTCGGAAAGATCAACAGGCCAGATTCCGTAAGGATCGGTCGTGCACAGACCAAATCGCGACACACGGAGCATTGTTAACAATCAATTGAAAGGAAATAGTCACTCACCACACATCAGCTTCCTTGACTATGAGAAGGAGTTTGACAGTGTGGATGGGAGGACCATATGGAACCTTCTTCGAAACCATGGTGTACCTGTGAACATTGCCGACATCGTCCGAAATTCATACGACGGACTGCACTGCAAAGTCGCGTGCATAGAGGACGGCCGACAGATGCACTCCCAGTGAAGACCGATGTCAGACGAGGCTGTTTCCTCCCACTCACTCCCTTTCTTTTGGTGATTGATTGCATTTTGAAGACCTCTACATCTCAGGGGCAACACGGAATACAATGGACAGATTGGATGCAACTAGACGATGTGGACTTTGTAGATGACCTGGCCCTTCTATCACATACACAACAACAAATGCAGGTCAAGACAACCAATGTAGCGGGCACTTTTGTATCAGTAGGCCTCAACACACACACACACATAAGGGGAAAACCGAGATCCTCAAATACAACACGAGGAACACCAACACAATCCCGCGTGATGGAGAAACTCTGGAAGAGGTGGAAACCTTCACGTAACTGGACAGCATCATCGATGTACAAGGAGGATCTGATGCAGATGTAAATGCAAGAATTCTCAAAGCGAGGACAGCATTACTACACTTGAATAACATATGAAACTCAAAACAATTGTCAACCAATATCAAAATCACAATCTTCAATACGAATGTCACCACAGTTATACTATACAGAGCTGAAACTTGAAGAACTAGCACAACCGTCATCGAGAGGTACAGGTATTTTTAAACGATTGTCTGTGCAAGATACTTAATGTTCGTTGACCGGATACCATCAACAAAAATTTACTATGGTGGAGAACGACCAAACTTCCAGGTGAAGAGATAATTCGGAATGATCGCTGTAAATAAGAAATGCATTGCGGAAGTCATCAGACTGTGTCACAAGGCAAGCCCTAGCTTGAAATCCTGAAAGGAAACAGAAAAGAGAAAGATCGAAGAACACATTGCATTGGGAATCGAGGCAGACATCAAAAGAATGGATACTGATTGGAAACACCTGAAAGAGAGATCCAAGGACAGAGTTGGTTGGAGAATCTCGGTCGGCGGCCCATGCTCCTCCACGAGGAGTAACATGCACAATTTATTAACTAAGTTGTAAAACAATACACTACTGCATAATATATGACGATAAGTCACTAGTGAATAGTTTAGTCTGTCAAGGTAAAATGTAATACATGCCACAAGAACAGTAACTGGATAGAGGCGTGATAGAACTGACTGAATGAATGCATATAAATTGGAAGTGAAACTTATCTAATCAGATGCTTGTTGTAGCAACCTGACAGCAATCAGTACCATCTACATAGTGTACAAACTTTCTTAACTAGTATTGTTAGTAAAGTATGAACAGTGTAATTTAAAGAGAAAAGAAAAGGAGACTTAGTGGTAAAAATAGTTGAAAATGTCGCATCATTCCAAATGAACTGAGAAGAGAATAATTTGAAGAAGCTCATCGATGAATAGTGAGGTATAATGTAATTAGGTGGACTGTAAGAAAATGGCTGAAGGAATGAATGTTTTGCAAAACTTTCTGTCGTTGATGTTTTCTCCTGCTTTTCGTGTAGGTATTTTGGTTTAGATGTAGAATCTAATAACTGCTTCATCGGTTTTATAAACCAGAACGATATTGAGTGTTTATCATAGTTGGGTGATCGGTCCTCAAGAGGGAAAGGATGGTTCACATAAATAAACTCAACAGTGAGATCGATGTGTACGTATTGTCCATCCGTCGCATACGATAATGTTATGAAGTAATGTTCCCTTCAAATTCCATGGTATAAATTTACTTCAGTTAATCCTAGTTTGTGAAAATAGGGCAAAGCTTTTTTAAAGTGTTCATAAAATTTAGTCTACCCTAGTCTTGATGTGAATTGGATTCTTTTTAAAATCATATTTATTCTCCTTTATGTGAAATAGATAATGAAAATGCTCAAAGAAACTTCAAATATACGTGAAAAGCTAGATTTACAAATAGGTCGATCAATGCAACTGGAAGCAGAGTTAGCTCGTCTTAAATCGGTGAATGCACAGTTGGAATCTGGTATTCAGGAAATGACTAAGCAAAGTCTGTCAAATGCTCAAACAAGTGCAGCTGAAATTCGCTCTTTGCAAGAAGAAAAACAAACAGCATACAATTCACATCAATTAGAAATCAACCAAATAAAAAAAGAATTAAATCAGCTGAATAATGAAAACACTGAGTATAAGAAGGAAATTAGTCGATTACAAACTAAAACTAATGAATTGAAGGTGTGTTTAGTTATTTTTACATACGTAAAGTTGATCTTCTGCACTTTGTAAATCACATCTTTTTCAGTAGAATTTAGTTGGTTCCAAGATGTAGACACTTTTAAAAGTTAGGAGAAAAAAGATGTATTTCCAATGAGCTCTTCATGACTGCACATAAGTATATGGGTCCTATAACATAGATGGCTGTCCAGAGAATAATTTAAGAAGAGTCATTTTATTTGACAAATAACCAGGAAATTGTTTCCAGACGTAAATTATACTTTGTAAGCTGTATTATTTTTTAAGGTCATCTATGATCGAATTACTGAATTGGAGACCTGCACAATTATTCCTATTAAATTCATACAGCCCGTCGACTTAACTTCTGTCACTTCAACAATTCTCTGAGGCATATAAACGCAGAAGATGAAAAACGAATTTGATTGGACTAATTTACTTTTTAGGTAGGAAAATCAAACTCTTTAGCCAATAACAAAGAGAAAGAGTGGATGAGTAATCTTATGAGTAAATGGATAAATAACCGAATGAATAAGTTATTAAGTTGATTTTTATATAGTCTAAAGCAGTTATTAGATAAGTGAATAAACGAGCACAGATACAATGAAATACACAATGTATGAAAGGCGTACATAGCAAATTACCTATTTACATGTAATTGAGCCCTAAATTAATACCGCCAAGAACAAGTATGAGTGGTTGTGAATTATCATTTGTAATTAATTAATATAAAACTGGTAAAGAAATGGGGTTTGCATGTTTTTGATTTGCTACCTGTTATAGAATTGGTTTCATTACATGACAGATTAATTGGATATACTAGCTTGTTACACCCTATGACGATTATTTGAATTTTATCTAACTTATGATATGAACCAATGCTTAAGCGTCAGTTATACATTGTTTATATTGACGTAATTAGAGATTATTTATAATAACACACGCGGTCATTTTAAAAACGATTTTCTGTTTGGGAAAGAGAGATTGAAAAATGACTATTTTTATGGTAAGTCATTATCTGAAATAAAAAATCAACTCATTGTACATTTACATACAGTTTAAAACTACCAATAACTAGTGTGATTACCACTGATCACTGTCGATAACTATCTGACTTACCTCGACGAATTATTTTACAATCCACTTTCTGAATAATTAAAATAGATTATCTTAATCTATGGATGTTTCTATTAATTGTAAAGTGGTTATTTTAATATTAAATTCATTATTTGCCTGAGATGCGTTAAGACAATGAATCTAGAAAACCATAATTCTCAATGTACTATTGAATTTGATTAATTAATTTGATTCCCTTTTTTTCGTACACTTATTTTCTGACAAAAAGGACGAGGTTATTCAATGTAGAAATAATTTACAGGTTAAAACAAATATTCTGGAAGAGAAAGAGAGACAAATTCACTCACTTACTCATGAACTTGAATCTTGTCATCGGGTATGTTAATTTAAAGTTTATTTTGATAAAACGTTTTTCTTTTCAGTGGAGTTTTGTTCTCTGAGATGGATGGTTTGGTCGCCAAAATGCAGTCTTCCACTCGAGAACAACTATATTTTCTCCATGAGTGTCTTCGCCAGCATGTTCTACCAGCAAGTGTAAAATATAGACCTCCAACGACCAAACCATCCAACTCAGAGAACAAAACACCAAAATCATCCACCTGAGCTACAAATCTTCTCCATCATCTCAACGTTTTTCTTTCTTATCTTGTGAATTGGCAAGGTAAACAAATACTCAAAATTAGTAATCACTTTATTACAAAGTATAAGCATTTGTATTAGTGAGTGATTTCGGTTAATTTGTTTATTTAAAATAACGTTTTACTTCGGTCAAATGGGAATAACTATTTTCAACCATTTCTGCTTTTCAAACTTGATCACTATTATTTTACAGGAGTTAGAAACACAAATCAACTCAGTTGGATTGTTCAAATCAGAACAGAAAATGATTCAAAATTCATTCGAAGAGAAAATAAAACAATTAGAAATTATTGATAGTCAGAAGCAAAGAGAAGTTGAAAATTTGTCAATGGATTTAAATCAAGCCAAGGTGGTTTCTTTAATTAAGTTTTTTATTGATGTTTTGTTAACCCTTTCACGGAATTGAAATCTGTGGTTAGGCGTGATGTCACAGACAGAATTATTATAGTAGCGTGTATGTTTGACTTGATAATACCTTTGGGAAATCACACGAGCGAATCACCAACATCTAACACGAACTTCTTAAATCATTAATTAGAACTGTGGTCTATGAAGGCCATTGAATATACTATGCAGTCTAGTGCTGTCATTTTCAAGGTGATGAGAAAATTCAACTAGGGATCATAGTAAGCTAACCGAACACTTGAAAACCTACATTATTTCAATTCGTTCTTTAAACGCTAGGGTATGTGAAAGAGTCTAACAGTATTCTGAAATCTGACCGGAGTTTAAATAAAACTTTTTAGCTTTTATAAGATAGGAATATTTTGCACATTCAAGCAAAAAGCTTTTCTGGCGTTCCACATACACGTGAAAGATATGTGGAGTTGTATAAAACCACTAATTTACAAAATATGTTCTAGTATTTCATACTACTACAATAAATGAACTTATGAAGTTCATAAATAGTTAAAGATTTGCTATTATTAATAATGGTGATGATGATTACTATTATGTTATTCGTGTAAGTCCTTAGTGTATCTGTCCTCATGTTATTTTGTTCAAAAGTAGGTTACTACTCGAAAAATGATCATTAGTTCTTTCCTACCTAATTAAGTCATTTTCTATTTTCAAGCCTAACTTCTGATACAATCCTTAAGAAACTCATTCCGTTCACAATAATTTGTGATATATGTAAAAGACTTGTCTGTGGAATTTCATACTTGTTTTATACAAATCCATCTGTATAGTACGATGTTTCGATGACAGATATTCAATCAAACGTCAGCTTTGATTATTTTCACTATCTAAACAAAATCTCAAATTTTACTAAATACCTATCAATTGCACGTACATAACTTCATACTATTCATCGATGAGATTGTTTCTGTTTACTTGTAAACCAATTCAGTGTTTCCTACCGACAGGAACAAGTAATACACAGCCGTAAATCTCTAGAAATATTACAAAGTGAATTATCATCTAGTCGCACAATGTTGATAAAATCAAGAGAAGAAATTGTTAAACGATCTCACAACGAAGAACAATTGGAGAAATCATTGCAAAAATTAAAGCTCGAACTAGAGCAAACAAATGTACATAAAACTGCAGCAGAAATGGCCAGTAAAACAGCTATCAGTAATGTAAGATAAGTAATTATTTTACTCATTTATTTTCGCAGTTAGTTACTTCTAGATCTACTTAAAATGTAACCTAAGTAGATCTTGAAATGTAACAAAGTAACTTATTTCTGTTAAAAATTCATTCTCAACTTTCATTTTCAACTAACTGACTTCTTATCAGTGTTTTTATATCACAGGACTAAAATCTCCATATTTCTACTAAAATCAAACCTCATTGCTATCCGCTGTTCACAACTAAGTTTTGCTTCTAATCCATGATAAGTAATATTCATGATATGTACTTTATTTTTATTTCAACGTCAGTTTCTGGGAGTGGAAATTTTTAAGAATTAGAAGTTTCATATAATGGATAGTAAACTTATTTACGAAGTGTATATATTTAATAAAATATCCCCTAGGTTCCTTCTGTATAAAGTCTGTCATCGACTAATATTAAGACTAATCTATATCTGGAGTGTAACTAATGTCATGCACAGCCGGTACCAAGTGCTGACTAAATCATGTGGATCATGTTTAGGGACGTGAAATTGAACTAAACGACATCATACAGTATTGGAATACATTTGGGGTTTTAATTCAAGGACGAAGCCACAGAAAATTCTACAATCTGCCCATTATTTTTTCCAATTTATCAGAATGGCCTACTAACCATGTCGAGCAAACTCGGTGTTCACTACTGCCCCAACTTTATATTATTGATCACTAAATTTAGGGAGGTTACTGATGAATTATTTATAATCTGACTAGTCTACGGTAGAAATACACTTGGGTGATGGATACGATGTATAATAATAGATTCATACGTAATCCCTTAAACCAACATATCTCCACTGTCAAAAACAAACAAGTGAAATGATATCCCAGTTATTCTTGTTCTCTGGATGTGAGATAAAAATAATGACCGTCACTCAATTATACTGCATTATTTATTTAATCCAGATATTCATATAGCTTTTTTCACTTACAGTATCAAGAATTGGAAGCACAGATGGAATCCTATAAAACATCAAATATAACTATACAAACCCGTCTACATGAAGTAGGCAAGGAATTGGACGAAACAAAATTGATTAAATCGCAGTTAGAAGAAAGATTAAACATTCTGACAGAACAATTACAGTTAGCGCAAAAACAACTAGAGGAAAAACAAGCACAAGTTAGTCCTTTTGTTCACGTGAAATAATTTAATTGAACATTGTCAATCATTTTTATCGATTTAATCATCCGAATTCCTTACTGTTCATATCATCAACGTGTAGCGTATATTAAGACACTGGATAGGGAAGAACATTTGAACAAATATTATCTTCCTTTGTTCCATTTTTGTTATCACATTACAAGGTGAATCTGAAACGTCAGTGGAACTAACTTTGCCTTAAAGATTCTATTTTTTATCACTTAATAGTGTTTTCCTTAAATATTGAAATCAATAGTTTGATTGTAACGATGATTGGAGCGTCATCGGTGATTAAAATCCTAGTTAAACGGTTCTCTGAGCTTACTGTTGGAAAGGACTGTACAGTAGAGCAATAAAGGTTCATATCAACCTTAGTGGTTCACTATCAAAGCAATATGTAAAGTAGTATTACAAAGTTGATTAGGAATTGGATTATTTGTATGTTGGTTAAGTGATATTCTTATTAGATTATTACACCGTATCTCAACTAGAGTGCTAACATACTTTTTCGTATCCCCGTTTATATGTTTTGATAATAAGTAACAAGTAAAATCAAAAACTGTATTTGGGTTCGTTATAACTGCTGATTCGGAGAACTTGTTTACTTTTATTCGCACCAGTTTTCACTGATCTGACGTAAGCAACGTCCTTAGTATCAGTCTAATACCTATTTGTTGAACCCACACTTTTGCATAAGGGTTAGTTATCAATGTCAGTGAATCCTGGAGTGAACGATCAGATCTTTGCTTTACTAAAAAACTGATTCAATAACAAAAACCAAACCCAGTCACCACGATCATGAGTGCCCAATCTTTTGAGTTTTCAAAGGAATATAGTTACTGTGTTCCAGAAAATTGCCAACGTAGCTTCAAAAGGGCCTTTGATTTTAAAATCTCTTTGTTTGATATCTACTTAGGATGATTTTTCTATTAGTGCCATTTAATCACTAATTTTCTACAACTACTGTCCTGATTGAGAACACTGAGGTTCCATTAATCAGGTTACCGACATCCAACTTGCCTAATGAGTATTATTCAGCAGTAGTACGTAGTTTTCACTTAAACAAATATACTGTGAAAATAAACACTGCTTTCTAAACTTATTTTGTTTTATTCATCCTCTTTACAGCTAAACCGCTCTGATTCAATTGTAAATCGTATGTCCAAAGAATTTAAACGAACACAAATAACAATTGAAGAAAGTGCACAGAAAGTAAACAGTCTATTTGGGCAATTGAAAACAACTCAAGAAAAATTGAATGTAGCAAATGAACAATTAAGTGAAGTGGAAAGTAACAGAAAAAGTTTGCTAAAAGAATTAGAAGAATACCAAAGCTCTCACCATACGCATGATAGCGAAGTATGAAAAAGTGAATTTCTGTGTTATTATTTTAGTTTTTGATTAAAGTTCTGTTAAATCGAGAAGTTGTTTGTTTCATGCCAAAACACCTGGTCGACCGTTCAGTTGTATATTGAGCGGACTACACGACCCGGCCTATGAATTAATCTAAAGTTTAGTACAAACACCAAGTATCGTCTGTTGTATAGGTACGTCGCAGTTGTTTGCAATTCAGTACATCAGCTAACCAGCCAGGTTTTCACATTTGAATTCAAATCTGGTTGAATCATGCAAATCAAAAGAATATTAACGGTTACTAACTATTTTATACTTTTCGCAATTCTAAAGACCACTTAGTGTAGCTCATTTAGACTAGATTTTCCATGTTGTAAAGATTTATTCTTCATCTTATTTTTCCAAAGACACTTAAATACTAAAATAACAGTTCAATTTAGCTCCTGCAAAAACATTTTCTCTGGCAATTCAGTCCATTCAATCATATTCAATATGAACTTGACCTCACATTATTCACTCACACAAGTACCTCATTTTGTTTTATAGCATTATACCAATTCAAATCAATCTATGGTGTAAGTTTAACAGGAATGATAAAAGTATTTGTTTGTTTTGCAGTTGATCTTTAAAAAGACCATACAAATTAATAATTAATATATTCTGAAAATAGTAATTACAGAATTCAAGTCAGTTTATAGGCATGATCAATTTGATATAAATATTAACATTAGATGTACAGAACAAACATGTGATAGAAGAAAGTTTTAAGTATACTAGTTCAGCAATTGTTTAGGTAGTACATGTATTACAGCGGTCCAATGCATCAGCCGGGAATTTTTATTATTTTTTAAATGAACAGCCTATTGATTTATGAACGGTTTAATTAAGGTAATTATCTGCAGTTAGAGAAATTAAAACGAAAGCAGAGAGCACGGAACAACAAAGCAGTAATTACCAAAATATGTCAATCAGGTCTACCAAAATGCGTGTGTCATGTGACTCAGTGATATACTGTTAATATTATTCAAATTAGTTAAACTTTCTGGGGACGGTGATAACATAAAGTGACAGCAAGTAGGTGGTTTTACTTAGGGAATTCAATAATAAAAAATGGCTAAACATTTAAAGTTCCTATAATACTATTTGTGGAATGAGATATACTTACAGGTGCTAGACCATTCAATGCATTTTCAGAGGAGCAGTATGCATCGATGCAGCGAACAAATAATGGGAGTGATTTTATTGTACGGATAGATTGTGGTAGGTTATTCCAGAGTCTAGAAAATTTACAGGTAAAGTAATTCATATAAAGAGATGATTTAGAATAAGTTTGTTTCACTAGTGCCAAGGAATTATGGATGTCATAATGGGAAGTTTCTGCATATTAAATCACGTGATTGAATGTAAAGGATAGTTTATTAAGTGGTTTGAAGAAAAAGATAAGATTTAGTTTGAGTCTTCTCTTCCATAAAGGGTCTAGCCCAAGTTTATTACATCTAGAATTATAAGTTAAGGTACAATCAGCTCCAAGAATACGAAGTGTAAATCGTCTCTGTACTAATTCAAGTCTTAATTTATCCTTTATGCGCGCACTGTTAAGAATAAACGTGCAACATTCTAGAAGAGGTCGAACACAAACTTTGTACATTAAAATACGGGACTCATTGCTATAAAGGCTTCGAGTTATGTAACCTACTAGACGTTGAGACTTAGAGGTCTGTTTCAATATCTGTTCTGTAAACGACAAGTCTTGGGAGTATCTAAGTCATAAGTCTACTACTGTATGTAACCTAGATAACACTTCTCCATTTATGGTAAGGTCTAGGTTGAGTGATGTATCGTCGAAGCATATCCATCCATATTTAGCCGTATTAAGCCCCAGTTACCATTTTAAGCATCAGTGTGCTACCTCGTTAAGCTCCATGCTGATGCAATTTTGCATATTTTTCAGCTCATGTGGAGAAAATGTATATACTACTTTAAGATCATCTGTATATAGAAGGGGCTTACCCACACAAAACTTTCACAAATGTCATTGATAAACACTAAAAAGATCAAAGGGCCTAAGATACTATCTTGTATTACACCACTTCTAACAGGAACAACGTTAGACAATGAAGAGTTAATTTTAACTATTTGATGTCGATTGCTGGGAAAAGAATCAAACCAAGCTAGCAAAGGATTTCGAACCCCATAAGATGCGAGTTTACCTATAAGAAGTTGGTGGCTAACCATGTCAAAGGATTTAGAAATGTCCAGATATAGTACTAACACTAGATATCCTTGATTACGTAGAGAATAGACTATATTAAAGAAGTCAAAATGACATGTTATGCAAGATCGATTTTCAAGAAATCCATGTTGAGTATCATTGATGGATTTTCCAGCGAATAAATAGTTGGAAAGTTCATCACTTACAATATTTTCCATAATCCTAGAGATAACTGGAGTAAAATTTATCGGCCGATAATTGTTCATGTCAGTCTTATCTCCAGATTTGTAACGTGGTATGATGTACGCGGTTTTCCAACAGTAAGGGTAAGAACCAATTTCCATAGAGAGAGAGTAAACAGCTTTAGAAGAAGAAGTGGAATATCTGGACCACCATATTTGTAGAGAAAGGATGAAATCCCGTCTGCTCCATGACCTCTCGAAATCTTAAGGGTATTTATAGACTTATTAATTTCCATGCATGTGAAGGAGATAGATTTTATTGAGTTGCTAGTCACGCACATAACTCTTGAAGCACAGCCACTTATGATTTCTACACCATTCGCAAAAATACCACTGAAAAAGTCTGCTATAGTTTTAGTCGTATATAAAAGTGCTTTTATGCTGGATGCATGGTATATAAACATTTTTAGTTGCTTTAGCGTGTTTGCTGAAAAGGAGAGTTAAGTTTTGTGTCTTTGCGTTAGTGTTAAGTGCTAGTATCTTCTCATTAATGACTTTTAACCTATGTTTCTCCTTAATTTGATTAAACATTTTTGTTATTTGTGCAACTACCGTGAAGTCGTTTGACTCAAAATAGCGATTCCATAGGCGTCTTAGTTTATTACGATATTTAGCTGTTATATATAATTCGTAAGGTCTACTAAACCTGTACGTTTTAAGAGGTATATAGGAATCTAAACAAGAGTTAACGATCAGATAGAATTGATAAAAATTAGCAGTTTTATTCAAAACATGGAACTACTTAAGTCAGAAATATTTTAATCCATTCACATTGAAAACCCTATCATGTGCTTAAGAAAACTTAATACACATAAATGGTGTTTATTATAACAGTATTCATAACGATCTTTTATGTGTATTTTCAAACTATATTAAATTATTCTTGTGAATGCTATTATATTTAATTCAAAAAGGTTCAGTCAATGGAAGTTCAGGTCAATTATCTGCTAAGTGAACTTGGACAAATGAACGATCGCTTGACAACAAATCAAAAAGAACTGACTGATTCACAAGCAGAAGTAGATTCACTTAGAGTAAGTTTAAACTAAAATTAACTTCAACTGTATGAGAGTGTTGGGAAATGCGATATTTTCCAAATAGGCGACCTAAATCACCTATAAAAAAGTTTCTTAGTAATTGACATGTTGGATGTTTAAATATTAAGTGTACCCTTCAATTCTAGTGTCCTAAACTAGCAACGCCAATCACTGATCTCTACGGACATATTCAAAAAATTCGTAAAGACTCATGAGTTTTTCATGTTCAACTGTCAGTTCGAAGAGGATTAAACTTTGTCTTTATGATAGTTGGAGGCTGCACCGAGTTATTAGGAGAATAGTAGAATTTCATTTTTACAGTATTGAGATGAGTTCCCTGATTGTATTTAGCCTTGAGTTCGTTTTTGAATTAGGGTTCGATCATGTAGCTGGATACTAGCCATAACAGAAAATTTTTAAACGATTGGTCATTCAAAAATTAAGGAATTGTTTATATTTATCGGATATTTAGTGATAGCTAACGTAAATATTGAAATAAAGAACGTGTACATTCATCGGATCCGTAAAAACAATTTTATAAGACTGATTATTTTATTATATCTGAATTTTCTTAAAATGTATTTAGTTATGCAATCTTTGCTATGATGCAACTAACTGAAATTTATTGTTATTCTGTAGTACCTAAGTGAAAGTTTTCAATACAGTTATCAAAAGTACCTTTGTATTTTTCGACCTTATCTACAATATAATTATTACACCGTTGATCAGGGATACGTTAAGTGGTAAAATAACTTAAACTACTAAGTCCTATGTATCAAATCAGTTTATATAGAGTTTTCAGGAATTCTAAAACAGCACCAAGCAGTCAAATTATCAGATGTCAAACCACAAATTCTAATGAGAGCTTTTTACGCTGATACATTCATAAGACTATTATGAACATCTAGCAACTATTTTATAATGAAAACGTTTATACTACAACAAATTCTGTTGTTTTCTCTGAACTGATATGTCGCTTTATTTATTACGTAGAATTTATGTCGATTTTCCTGTAGTGAATTTAGTTACTTTCTCGTAAGGGAGAAATTTAAATTATAAATAGCTGTCAAATGGAATGTTGACATTATATAAAAATTGATATCTGTAATGAAGCGTCATTTTAATTATAAATGATGTTGTTATGGTCTGCGCTACTTATGAGGACAGAAATAAGTAGTATGTAGAAGGAATTAGAAGTAGAATGCTTACCAGTAAAAGACTGAAATAAAGAGAAGTGAAAGGAAGACGAAGAGCAATTGGAATCACAACCAGATCAGAGGAGTTATGATGTATGTAAAGAACAACTGAAGAGAGATATGCAAGTGATGTATTTATTGTTTGAATTTCATATTTTACAAAGGTCTGTATAATCTGTCATAAAATAATGAATTGTCTTGCCGTACTTGAGCTTCTGTTGACTGAAACGCAAAGAACAGTGTGTTGCAGTTCTCATATTCCAAGGAGCTGTATACGGTCGATATAAAACCCTTAAGTTTACAAATGTTTATTACTTATACATTGATTAACGTTGAATTTTACGATATTCTAGTAACGTTCGATTACCTTTAATCATTTACTCCTCAAATTACTTGAAGCAAACAGCAATCGGTAAACTTTAGGCGCTTCTCCTACATACTAACTGTTTTACAGAAAATAAATGGTATTTTTATGAACATTTTCTAACTGAATATCTAATAGGTTTTCTTATCAAAAAGCCTTTTGCCTTCAACTTAAAATGATCCACAAAATTATCTTTATCCCTTGATCATTATTCTTTATAAGATAAAGTAGTTGAAATCAATCTTTAAGCAAATTTACTAATCTATTTCTCTTTATGTATCATGGGATACGTGCGATATTAATTATGGAAAGTTTTAAGTGGAAATTACTTTCAATAGTTAGTTCAATCAACAAATTAATTCTTTCTTGAATTATTGTAGAAACGAAATAATGAGTCTACACTTGAAATACAACATTTAAACTCAATGCTGAATGAAAAACAAATAAAATTGGATGAATTAGGAAGACAAGTAATCGAAATGGAGAACCAACTAAGTTCAGCTGACCAGTATACTCAGTCATTAAGTTCAGCTAATGATGACTTAATGAACGAATTAAAAAATAGAACTAATGAAATAGAAAAATTACAAAATGAAATCAAACAAAATATGACAGGAATACAAAATTCTGAATTTATGGTGAGTCAACTGGTAATTACATGAATCTCTAAACTATTTTTTAGTGAAATGCACCCTCAGAGATTGATTGTGAAAGTTTCACATAACTGATCAATCTATAATTTAACAAACTGGGAGAAATTCGCTCAAATCATTCAATGAACTAGACAGGTGTTCAGTGGTTTTAATTGGTTCTGAAAATTAAGGCAGCCTATAGTGTAAAGAAACCCAAAATACATTTTTGTAACGGTAACCATATAAGATAAGCAAACAATACCGTTTTGCATTAGATTCTCATCAGGATTTAATCTAATATACAATAATATTTATATGCATATATGAAACCGCTAAACTAATAAAGACATTTTATTGGTCAGTGATAGCAGTAAAAAAGGTTACATAAATGAACATAATAAGTAAAAAGTACAAATTGATAGTGTGTTGACAGATGTACTAGTTGTGATAAGAATAATCAATGTTTGAATCAATATTTCATTATGGGAAGTAGGCGAACAATGAAATGACATTGATTAAAAATTATGATATCACATGCTAAAAAGTGCTTGGATAATCGGACAATGAAGCACATATTTTGAAAGATGGAGTGAAGAAAAATAAACGAAGAGTATAGAATATAAGAATAAATAAGATCGTTTATTAGGGCTAATGTGCAAACGAAGTGATAAGGATCTTACAAATTTGTAATGAACGTAGAATTGGATTGTTCGGTCAAATACCTACAGCTTTTGCTATCTGTATGAGACGAGATAGAACCTCAAAAGGAAAGCTAGTAGTCATGCAATAAATTGATTTAAACGATTTATTTATATATACTACATGAACGCTATCGGTCAAATGTAATAGGACGGAGGTGAGTACTTTTTTAATTATCCCCTTTCCTAACCACGAGGGCAGATGTTCACTAACCCGCTTGCTCAGTTGTCTGGTTGTGCACCAAATGTAGATCCCTCCACAGGAGCAACTGAATACGTAGATACATAAGAATGTGGAGAAACCAGGTAACTTACCCTTTAGTTGTAGATTTACTATAGGTGAGCTAGAAAACTATAGACAAATGTTAGCTGCATTATTACGTAATTCCAAAAATTTTAATCAGTGTCATTTCATTGTTCGCCTACTTCCCATAATGAAATATTGATTCAAACATTGATTATTCTTATCTCAACTAGTACATCTGTCAACACACTATCAATTTGTACTTTTTACTTATTATGTTCATTTATGTAACCTTTTTTACTACTATCACTGACCGAATCTACCCATGCCTTCCATCTTTGTTTGTGCATTACACTACTTATTTTCAAAGAAGTAGCCTGAGATTGCAAAGACATTTATTCAGTTTGGAATGTGTGGTTTCTCCACAGTAGGGTATTGAGTTTTCGGAAGTTTTCGTAAAACTCTCGAGAGTTAAAATTGAATATCTACCACACTTCACTCATTAATCTGCCCAGAGTGAAACGTTGAAGTTTTTCAATTTCAATTATTGAGATTTCTACAAATATAATTCAAACAACCAAAACAAAAATGAATTAAATATATTTTTCGTTTCCAAATAGTCTAAATGTATTCGACTTTTTCTACGACTTATCTGTTTTATTGACCAATATTCTTTTTTTGCAATAAATAACTTATTCTGTTTATTTATAACCATATTTAGGCACTCCATTTTTCTAGTATAAAGGTGTCTTCTTCCTATTCTTGTTCAATTTACATAACCATCCTACTCTTTGGCACTGTATTTATCGTCGCAGGCATTTCACAGCCATGTTTTATTTCGTATGGTTTTATTCAGAAGCTTAAATCTTTGATATGACATATAGGAAGTAAACTCGAAACTTGCTACCGGTTATTTTTCCACTAGTTATCCACATATTTTACAAACATTTTAAAAATTGTGCTGTACTCCCAGCTTGGTCAACTGATTCTGGCTGATTAAATGAGAAATCTGTTTTTACAAAATGCTTATTATTTCTTAAGAGTAATTCAAAACGCAATAAATGTCCTGCATGCATAATTTATATATCTCAATTAAGTTAACCCTTAAATTATGAGATGTTACCGAGTATTAAACAGTCAAATCATTTGAGTTCGGCAAAATCATACATACCAGGTCATTTGATGTATCAATACAATAAGAAACTATGGAGATAACCTTATTTCTAAGTTTATTTTTCGAATAAGCTACGTATTAAGTAGCAACTATCATCATAACATAGTGGTAAAAGAAATAAACGTGTATTTTCTATGCATATAAACATTTGTAAACATAATTAGTTTAAATAAATAAATGATACAAACTTTTAGTCATAGAAAAGATTGTCAAGTATTCGGATAATCTACTACTTCTATTATGCCACACACTGTAATAATTGGATTCATGTTTGTTAAATTTTAAACATATTTATTTTTTCAACTAAATTACTAGATACAAGAATTAGAATTCAGTGTTCAACAATTAACTAAGCAACTTGAACAATCAGAACTTTTGCGATTGGAAGCAGAAAAAGCCAGTAATCATGCTGTCAGTGAATCAGCTGCCCTTAAAATTGAACTGGCTAAAAAAGATGAACGAATTATTAATTTACAAAATACTGGCGATGCAATTACACAAAAGTTAAAATCACTTGAGCAGACATCGAATCAAACTGAACAAATTATCAATAAATATATTAACTCTGTAAGTCATATTTTACTTTCACAAGTTCAAAGTTTAAAGATAAATTTGAACAGTGACCATAACGCTTTCACGATCCCAGATCAATTAAATTTTTATTCTATAAAACATCAAGTATATCATGCCTAAAATACCTCATACTATCAGTCTTTTTAAAAATGCAAAATAAAAAACAAATATATCCACTTGCTAATAGTCTCTGTCTAAGAGATAGCATAAATATAAAAACTAGAAGTATCTCGATAAGTCAAGATTGAATATTTCAATATGAGTGTCAGTCTTTACGACGACGTTTAGTTTTAAACACGTTAAATTATAAAAGTAGTAACTATAAGTTACTGCATATCTTATGTTGAGAGTGCTGATTGGTTGTGTAATAAACATACAACAAGAAGCTTGTATGTAGATAAGATGAAAAATGTGCCTTGAAAATACTATATGCCAACAGCATATCAAAACAACGATGAAGCTGTATTTTATATTTAGTTCATATTGTATATCATCTAACCAATGTGAACAATGATTTTCAAGTCATTGATTAAGGTACAGCTAGCTTACATCATAAATCTAGATTACTTATCTTGCTGTGCTCAAAAGCCATTGATCTTTCTCTGGACATACTAAACAAGAAATTTTATTACCCTTACAGTTCATTTAAATGAGACTCTAGGCAGATGTTCTTTATCGTATGTCCTCTATCCTGAAGATAGTACTTTTAACGTAATCACATCTCTAAATCTAATTTAAATGAGTTATAAACATCGAATTTTATCTAATTTATTGTTAATTATAATAGGAGATTGAAAAAGATAGCACGATTCAACGACTTCAGACGGAATTGGAACACATACGTCACCAGTTAATTGAAAGTGAGACAGAACTACAAAGCAGGTCTTCACAAATAAAATCATTAACATGTGAATTAGAAGCTGTGAAAGCAGACCTGGCAGACTGTACTCTGCACAGAAATTCAGAAAATCTTTCACGTAAACGTATTGAGGTAAGTGAAGGTAATTAGCTTAATCTATTCGTTTATTAGTTTCAAATATAGTTTTGAAATATTATGAGATAATACAAACAGGTTACTTCACCATGATACGTTGTTGCTGATGGTATCCGGTCAACGAACATTAAGTATCTTGCACAGACAATCGTTTAAAAATACCTGTACCTCTCGATGACGGTTGTGCTAGTTCTTCAAGTTTCAGCTCTGTATAGTATAACTGTGGTGACATTCGTATTGAAGATTGTGATTTTGATATTGGTTGACAATTGTTTTGAGTTCCATATGTTATTCAAGTGTAGTAATGCTGTCCTAATACGGGCACGCATCTGCTTGCGCCTCACTGGACGCAAAAAAGCCACATTAAAAAGACCCGTTAGAACTGAGTTAAGTAACGAGAAAACCAAAAGTAGGTTCCAGGAACAACTGAGGTCACTCTTAGGTAGTTGTGAAGACGAGGCTGACCCAGATGTTGCTTGGAAGGGCATACAATCAGCTGTGGAAACAGCAGTGACATCTATTAACGACTTAAACCACAGAGTTGTAATGAACCAGTGGATTTCTTCAAGGTCTGTCACACTGATGGATTCTCGCAAACTCGTCCCATCAGGTTCTGAACATGATGAAGAGCGAAAACAAATCAGATCTAGGTTAAGAAAAAGTCTAAGAAACGACCGTGAGCAGTGGTGGGCATCGAAAGCAAAAGAGATGGAAAAGGCGGCGACTATAGGGAACACAAGACAGCTTTACAGACTAATAAAAGAAACTGGAATTAATAAGTCAAGTGTAAGTGAGATTATTTCGGAAAAAGATGATACTCTCACCTGCTCCCAGTCCAGACGTTTAGAACGATGGGCGGAACATTTTAGAGAACAGTTCAGCTGGCCTTCAGCTTCTCTACAACTACCCTCCATTCCCAGACAATGTGAATGGAACATTGAAGTAGGTCCCCCAACCCTAGCAGAAGTTCAAAAGGCTATAGTTGATCTGAAACGAGGAAGGGCAGCTGGTCCAGATGGATTGGCTCCAGAGGTCTTTAAGGATGGTGGTCCAATTTTAGCGATTAAGTTGACTAATATTTTAGCTAAGATCTGGGAATTAGACTTTATCCCATCTGACTGGTCGCAATCACTTATCGTCCCAATATATAAGAAAGGGTCAAAATCATCCTGTGACAACCACAGAGGTATTAGTTTAACAAACATAGTATCTAAAATACTGGCCTCGATAATTATCAAACGCCTAACTAAGACTCGTGAACTACAAACTCGAGAGAACCAAGCTGGCTTTAGACCTGGTCGTGGCTGCATCGACCACATATTCACCATTCGTCAGGTTCTAGAACACAGGCATACTTATCGGCGTCCGACGATGGTGGTATTTCTCGACTTAAAAGCAGCATTTGACTCGGTAGACCGCGAGACTCTGTGGCAGTGTCTGTCATTGAAAGGCGTACCTCAGAAGTACATAAACCTTGTGAAGGCTCTTTACTCGAACACTACTAGTCGAGTCAGGGCTTATGGCGAACTGTCATCTACTTTTGCAACCTCAAGTGGTGTCCGTCAAGGCTGTCCACTTTCTCCATTTCTGTTTAACTTCATCATAGACCTATTGATGGAAATAACACTCTCGTCGATTGAATTCTCGGGTATTGATCTCCTTCCAGGAGGTCCACTTATCGACTTAGAATACACAGATGACATAGTCCTGTTTGGTGAAGACGCTGATAAAATGCAGAGTCTTCTGGCAGCACTAAGCAACAATGCCAGAATGTTTGGGATGCGCTTCTCTCCCTCTAAATGCAAGTTGTTGCTTCAGGACTGGTCTGCATCAACACCCGAACTAAGAATATTAAGTGAAGTAGTCGAACGCGTTGACAACTTCACTTATCTTGGAAGTCTGATCAGCCATAATGGGTTGGTGTCTGAGGAAATCTCAGCACGGATTCGAAAAGCTCGTTTGGCTTTTGCCAACTTACGTCACTTTTGGCGAAGGCGAGATATCCGTCTATCATTAAAAGGACGAGTATACTGCGCAGCAGTTCGTTCTGTTTTACTTTACGGCAGCGAAACATGGCCCTTAAGAGTAGAAGACACCCGTAAGTTACTAGTATTTGACCACAGATGCCTTAGAAATATTGCTGGCATCTGCTGGGATCACCGGGTAAGTAATAGTGAGGTTAGACGCAGGGTATTAGGGAATGATGGTAAATCAGTTGATGAGGTTATGAATCTTCATCGAATGAGATGGTTGGGCCACGTGTTACGTATGCCTGAACACCGATTACCACGACGTGCAATGCTAACCGGGGTAGGGGATGGTTGGAAAAAAGTTAGGGGTGGCCAAACCAAAACGTGGCATCAGTGCCTGAAGTCACTAACTTCTAGTTTGAGCTATGTTGGTAGATGCAGACTATTTGGTTGGGGTCCGCGTGACTTTCGTAACCAATGGTTGGAGACTCTTGGTGACATGGCTCAGAATCGATCACAATGGCGTCGGTGTATACACTCCCTGTCTTCCCTTAAACTAAGAGACTAAAATAACTTCATTCTTTCTGTCTACGAACTAATTCTTTCTTCCTGTACTATATCCTTATTGCAACCTTTGACCTAACCACTCCTATGAATCCGCTGTTCATCTTGCTGTGCTAATGAGGTATGGCAACCTGGACCGATGCACATATGTGCCTGGTCCTACGTTGTAGCTGACTGACTGACTGAATGCTGTCCTCGCTTTGAGAATTCTTGCATTTACATCTGCATCAGATCCTCCTTGTACATCGATGATGCTGTCCAGTTACGTGAAGGTTTCCACCTCTTCCAGAGTTTCTCCATCACGCGGGATTGTGTTGGTGTTCCTCGTGTTGTATTTGAGGATCTCGGTTTTCCCCTTATGTGTGTGTGTGTGTTGAGGCCTACTGATACAAAGGTGCCCGCTACATTGGTTGTCTTGACCTGCATTTGTTGTTGTGTATGTGATAGAAGGGCCAGGTCATCTACAAAGTCCACATCGTCTAGTTGCATCCAATCTGTCCATTGTATTCCGTGTTGCCCCTGAGATGTAGAGGTCTTCAAAATGCAATCAATCACCAAAAGAAAGGGAGTGAGTGGGAGGAAACAGCCTCGTCTGACATCGGTCTTCACTGGGAGTGCATCTGTCGGCCGTCCTCTATGCACGCGACTTTGCAGTGCAGTCCGTCGTATGAATTTCGGACGATGTCGGCAATGTTCACAGGTACACCATGGTTTCGAAGAAGGTTCCATATGGTCCTCCCATCCACACTGTCAAACTCCTTCTCATAGTCAAGGAAGCTGATGTGTGGTGAGTGACTATTTCCTTTCAATTGATTGTTAACAATGCTCCGTGTGTCGCGATTTGGTCTGTGCACGACCGATCCTTACGGAATCTGGCCTGTTGATCTTTCCGAATAGAACGCGAAGAACGTGTACGGCTACCTGTATGTCTGACTCCAATGCTTCATCTGGTATGTTATCTGGTTTTGATGCCTTCCCAGTCTTGATTTGTCTGATGGCCATTTTGATTTGTTCGATTGTGTGTGTATGGGGTGACATCTGTGTGGAGGATTGTGTATGTTGCTTGGATGTGTGGAGGATTGATTTAGTCTATTGTATTCAGGAGTTTTCGAAACTGGATCCTCTGATTTTTTCATTAAATCAAAGATGATTTACTTGATTGTCTATATTGTGGTCAGGTAATAATGCTGCTTTGTGTATATATTTGTGAGGTGCTCTACTCATCTGTTCCACTGTTCTTGAAGCTCAGTAGTTTGGTTGTTTTCTCTGTTCTTGACTGGTCTCTTTGGTTTACTCTATTAGCCTGCCTGTTCCTTCGTTGTTTCTTATAGTTTTTTTCGCAATTCCTTCCCTTGTAGCTTTTTCTGCAGGTGTTAGTAGGTCTTCTACATATTTCTATTTGTCCGCTTCAATGCTCCTCTTCATTCGTTTGTCTGCTTCTGTTTACTCGTTCTGTGTCTCGGCTTTATCTTCTCTTGTTGATTGATGTCTACTTTTTCTTTATTTCTTGAGTCTTACCTACGGCATCATTTGAGGTCCATTCCTTGTAGCCCAGCACATCCTGTCACGTTGATGTTAATGCCTTTTTGATCTCTTTCCAGTTGTTCTGCATAGTAGATTCCCTTTAAAGTAGATCTTTTAGGGCTTGGAACGTATTGCTGAGATCTATCCCAAATTATTTGAGTTTGTCAGTATCCTGAAAGAAAGCTTTATTGAACTTTTGTGATTTCATTTTTACAGTTGGTCAGTATTTCTTTAGCTTCAGTTTCATCTTGGACACAACCAGGTCGTACACCATTATTCTTCAACCTGATCGTCTAAATGTAACGTAGTCATTGAAATATCTGAAAGTGTTGGACCTAATGCTTAATGGGCTGATGACGATACACTGTTAATCAATTGAATTGAAGTTTAAGTGGCTTTGAAATCCCGACTAACTTTCAATGGCTCTCCAGCTGAAATCAATTCATGATGAGATTTCCTAGATTTGACTTATCATGTCATCACATTAGATTTCAATACATATCTTTATAATTCTAAGTAGTTCAGGTCAACGGTCTGTATTACTCTAGCTTTTCTAAATATGTTTTATCTGTTATTAGAAATTTCCAAGGAGTAAACGACGTTTGTCGACTCACTGGTAATCGAATTCATTTGACTAAGTTGCGTTGGGTTCCAATCATAATAGATCTTTAATTCCCTTCCAACTAAATGCATATATTGTTGACGAGTATCAACTACTTCAAACCACTTAGCTATTAACCCACTTTCCATCTTGAATGTAACATAAAAGAATGAAGTTATGATAAAAACAACTAAATGACTACTGAGAGCAGGTTTCGCAGTATGGAATTCATAAGATTCAGATTTTTGATCAAGTAAATGGTTTTATTGTAACATACTTGAAAAACGGAGCATCTTGAGATTGATTTCCAACCTTCCGAGTGGATATTTGATTGAAATTTATTTGGGATAGCATTCGTTCTGGGTGAATGATATTTGATTGATGGGCAATGACGCTGGCTACAGATAGTATCCAGGATACATGTTTCGAGATGGTGGGAAAGATTTGTAGCTCAAATGGATGATTTTGATGGAGTTTTGTTTTCTGAGCTGGATGGTTTGGTCAGAAGAACGATGAAAGCTCCACGACCGACCCATCCAGCTCAGAGAACAAAACTCCATCTAAAAAAGGATACATGTTTTTCACAACTTTCAGGGGAATACACCTGTATCCCAATGAGTTAAATAATAGTAAAAGTGTTCAAGAGTCCAAACTCAATGAAATGGCGTATGGTACATAGTTTTTATGTTACAAAAAACCGACTACTCATTTAGTTATGTTTTTTGTGTAGTAAGGAGATTTCGAGATTGCCATTTGGAGATTTTCAGTCATTTCTAGATTCTTAATTCTACCAGTTTACTAGTGAGTGACAACTGAGTACTTTTATTACTCTTTGTATCTGTGTCTATGTTTATAGTTAGAAGTGGCGGATCTTCGGGAAATGAAACTAGCTTTTACAGAACAAATTGAAAGACAAGAGCAATTCATTGAGCGGTTACAATCTGAGCTTTCAAACGAACGTGAAAGAAACGATTTTCTTAATAAAATTAAAACAGATAAAGAAAGAGAACTTCATAGTATCACAGTATGTTCACCGATAAAATTCTTGATATAAATATCAACTAATTACTCCTGCAATAAAATTATGCTAAGATTATTATTAATTTTTATGAATCATGATTAAATGAATGATTTTCAAACAGTTTCTATTCTAAACCAGTGTAAGCTGAAAACTAATGGTAATAAGAGCCAACATTACAATGAATAGGTATCTATTGCCCTATGACTTGTATTGCTGCATTAACTGATTTCATGTAGGAGTGAAAGCCAAATAATCAAGTTTACATTTTTACGAGTATCTAAACGAGACATCTTTCAAAATACGGTCTCTTATTCTACGATTAAAAAACCACATCTCTTTTATAATAGTTGATACCAGAATTACGTAAAGTTGTGTCAATTTAGAAAAATTGTTTATTTTCTGAAGAGACTACTCAAACTAAGTAGCGATACTTTATTCAAAAGTTTAGGTTCATAAAAACATAAATTGTTTGTTAAAATACTCCCAGTTTAGTTAAAGTCTCTGATGTTTTAAGTATCGTTGACCACTGGGATAAATGAAGAGAAAATGACCTTTCTTACAAATTACCAGTAAAGATAATGGGTAACTAGTGAAAGACATTAATAATAATAATAATAATAACAATAATAATAATAATAATAATAATAATAATAATAAATTCGTGACAGGTAATCCAAAAGTAGACTGAATCAAATAAACATATTTAACGGTACAAACATGTAGTATGAATAAGATAATCAAAAATGAAATGTGAAGTTTAACCGAAAACAAAACAGATCGTGTGGATATACAGATCGAACCAGCTGTAGAATATTATGCCAAAAATGATACTTTATTTTTAACGAATAAAATGAATGACAAAAACCATTTTGGCGATGTATATCCAACAAGAAAATAATGAAAAAGCCAAATTTAAGATCTAAAATATCTTAAGTCGAGAGTAAAATGTAAAAATTAACAGAAATCAATCATTAAATTAAACAAAACGGTGTTGAAAGATGCATTGTTTAATTTTGAGTAGTATGAACAAGAGCAGATCAGTAAATAAAGATTAGAAACAAAGTTACATTTGAAGGTAACTTACTTTAAGCTATACAAGTTACGGTTGCCACAATGGACATATTAAATAGGGGATGATTCACAGACATACCTGTAGCAATATTACACTCGTCAACAAAGACTGTCTTAGACTATCGACTGGTAGGATCCTATTCTCCCCTTTTCTTTATTGATAAAATAACTTGCTGGATAAGCTTTAGGAGCAAATTTGGTCTGTTATAAATTATTTATAAATGGTCTTACTGAGGTAAGGCGTACGAAATAGAGTATACTGAAACAGAAATTAACTCCGCCTGGAGTTCCTCCAGGGGCTTCTGCCGGTCCCAAGCTCGGATAAAGGAGGAGGGTTGGGCATGGGGTTAGCGACCCCATCCCGTAGAAAACTAACTCGATAAAAAAACGCTAACCAGAAAAAAATATTCAGACCTTTTAAACTCTGCCATGGGAGTCAGGTCTTCATTTAGAAGAATTATGACGCCTCATGATGAAAGCCAAATTCCTTCGGAAGTTACGAGGCTGATGCCCTTTCTAACAACCAGAGCAACCATTTATTTAGGTACATGGAATGTTCGTACAATGTGGAACACCGGGAGAGCCTTCCAAATTGCTGCAGAAATGAGGAGTTACAACCTAGAAGTGCCTGGGACCAGTGAAACACACTGGACACAAGTTGGACAACAACGACTAGCTTCAGTTGAGCTTCTGCTATACTCCGGCCATGAAGAAGAAAATGCTGCCACATACACAAGGAGTTGCATTGGTGCTGTCAAAACGAGCACAAAAGACACTTATAGGATGGGAATCTCATCATCAAAGCCTCCTTCAAAACAAAGAAAGAGGGCATTTCAATGAACATCATCCAATGCTATGCGCCTACCAACGATTACGATGAAGACGCTAAAGATCAATTCTACAGGCTACAGTCAATAGTCGAGAAGTGCCCAACAAAGGACGTGACCATTCTGATGGGAGATTTCAATCCCAAGGTTGGAGTGGACAACACTGGATATGAAGACATCATGGGACGACACGGACTGGGAGAAAGAAACGAAAATGGTGAGAGATTTGCAAATCTATGTGCCTTCAATAAGCTGGTCATAGGCGGCACAATATTCCCACATAAACGCATACACAAAACCACATGGACTTCACCGGATCACTCTACACAAAACCAAATCGACCATATTTGCATCAACAAAACGTTCAGGAGGACTATAGAGGACGTGAGAACCAAGAGAGGAGCTGATATAGCATCAGATCATCACTTACTGGTCGCCAAGATGAAATTGAAACTCAAGAAGCACTGGACAACAGGGCAGACAGTATCACAAAAGTTCAATACGGCCTTTCTCCAGGATACTAACAAACTCAACAAATTCAAGATAGTCCTCAGCAACAAGTTCCAGGCCTTTCATGATTTACTCAATGGAGAAGGAACTACTGTGAAGAGCAACTGGAAGGAGATCAAAGAGGCAATCACTTCAACATGTCATGAGGTCCTGGGTCACAAGAAGCACCACCACAAGGAATGGATCACTGTTGATACACTGGATAAGATTCAAGGAAGAAGGAACAAGAAGGCAGCAATCAATACCAGTCGAACAAGAGCAGAAAAAGCCAAGGCACAAGCTGAATACACGGAAATAAACAAACAAGTGAAGAGGAGCATCAGAACCGACAAACGTAAATATGTGGAAGATTTAGTAACGACGGCGGAAAAGGCTGCAAGAGAAGGAAACATGAGACAATTGTATGACACGACAAAGAAACTCTCTGGAAATCGCCGCAAACCAGAACGACCAATGAAAAGCAAGGAAGGCAAGGTAATCACCCACATTGAAGAGCAACAAAACAGGTGGGTAAAACACTTCAAAGAACTCGACCAGCTCCACTGAACCCACCCAACATCGAAGCAGCACCCACGGACCTCCCAATCAATGTTGGCCCACCAACAATTGAAGAAATCAGCATAGCCATCAGACAAATCAAGAGTGGCAAAGCAGCAGGACCGGACAACATCCCAGCAGAGGCACTAAAAGCAGACGTAGCGGCAACTGCAAGGATACTCCACATTCTCTTCAATAAGATTTGGGATGAGGAACAAGTACCAACAGACTGGAAAGAAGGATTTCCGATCAACTGTGATAATTACAGGGGCATCACTCCTCTCTCAATACCGGGAAAAGTCTTCAACAGGGTATTGTTGAACAGGATGAAGGACTGTGTAGACGCCCAACTTCGTGACCAACATGCAGGATTCCGTAAGGATAGATCGTGTACAGACCAAATCGCAACTCTACGGATCATTGTGGAACAATCAGTTGAATGGAATTCATCACTCTACATCAACATCATTGACTACGAAAAGGCATTTGATAGCGTTGACAGAACAATACTATGGAAACTTCTTCGACACTAAGGCGTGCCTCAGAAGATAGTCAATATTATGCAAAGTTCATATGATGGATTACACTGCAAAATCGTGCATGGAGGACAGTTGACAAAGTCGTTCGAAGTTAATACCGGTGTTAGGCAAGGTTGCTTACTCTCACCGTTTCTCTTTCTCCTGGTGATCGACTGGATCATGAAGACATCAACATCTGAGGGGAAGCATGGGATACAATGGAAATCTAGGATGCAGTTGGATGATCTAGACTTCGCAGATGATCTGGCCCTTCTATCCCAAACGCAACGACAAATGCAGGAGAAGACGACCAGTGTAGCAGCAGCTTCAGCAGCAGTAGATCCCAATATACACAAAGGGAAAAGCAAAGTTCTCCGATACAACACAGCATGCACCAATCCAATCACAATTGACGGAGAAGATTTGGAAGATGTAAAAACCTTTACATATCTGGGCAGCATCATTGATGAACAGGGTGGATCTGATGCAGATGTGAAGGCGCGGATCGGCAAATCAAGAGCAACATATTTACAACTGAAGAACATCTGGAACTCAAAGCAACTGTCAACCAACATCAAGGTCAGGATTTTCAATACAAATGTCAAGACAGTTCTACTGTATGGGGCAGAAACCTGGAGAACTACAAAAGCCATCATCCAGAAAATACAGGTGTTTATTAACAATTGTCTACGCAAAATACTTCAGATCCATTGGCCGGACACTATTAGCAACAACGTACTGTGGGAGAGAACAAACCAGATCCCAGTGGAGGAAGAAATCAGGAAGAAGCGCTGGAAGTGGATAGGACACACATTGAGGAAAGCACCCAACTGCGTCACAAGACATGCCCTCACATGGAATCCTGAAGGTCAAAGGAAAAGAGGAAGACCAAAGAACACATTACGCCGGGAAATGGAAATAGACATGAGAGAAATGAACAAGAATTGGATAGAACTAGAAAAGAAGGCCCAGGACAGAGTGGGTTGGAGAATGCTGGTCGGTGGCCTATGCTCCATTGGGAGTAACAGGCGTCAGTAAGTAAGTAAGTAAGAAACAGAAATTCATACAGATTTTCACATGAAGAGACATTTCCCAATAATTGTCATAATCCAACTTAAATTTTTGTTTGTAAGATATCAAGTTTGAACTATAAGAGGAGCTTGTTTTCGTAGCCTTGTTGTTATTATGGTGGTTTTGGAGGATTTCCTTTAGTTCTTCATATTATTAAATACCAGTTCAAACTGGTATATATAGTCTAATTATCCAAATTGTTAAAGCGAATAGTTGATGAAAATATATATGAAGGGTTTTGATTGGCCAGTTCACAGCCTTGAAAGATACAACTAAAATTATTAATTGGTAAATCCCTTTTGAAATCAATGCACGATGTTCCTACAAAATCGAAAGAAGTGTTTGTTTTACAACCTAGTTTAGCCCCGATCGGTGTAACATTGCTCCAATAACTTACTAAAATACGCCAAAACAAAGTTAAACCCTCATCCTAGACGCCACTAAAAGTTAAATACAGATTTTTAGCCTTGAAAAGTCAAGGTTGTTTTAAAAAAGAGGTTTAGAATTTTGGTATTTCTCACGATAAACTCAAGAAAGATTGAAATATAGACGTAAATTAGGAAATAAAATGTGTCAGATTCTAGAGATGACTGGCAATGATCTAGTTTATTGATGATTTGATGATTATGAAAATGTCTGCTACAACTTTCCTAATTACTTTTGCATCGTAGATTTCATCATTATAACCCAATAAAATTGGGAGAACAGGGGATCGAAGCATACCTATCTAGGTCTGTAATCACTAAACCACTGAAAACAACCGAAGTATCCAGAAATATGAAATGATTCTCAAAGGAAATACTGTATATGTTTATTTTATACGGCACTACTCAATTTAAACTGAATAATTAGAAACTTATGTAACCCATATTCAAATTTTTTTACTATAAAGGATTAATGTAATAGACTACACGTTCCTAGACTTCAATCGCAGTAAAACTTGCTCACTAAAAGATATCTAAAACTAATTTTTTCGATTCTCACACTTTTGAAATATTGTTACATGGCACATCTAAATTGTTTTGCCAACTCATTTTCTCAGTTTATATAACTCTACCAAATGATAAAACTTCACTCATCAAGAAAATATTATATCAGTTATGTTAATGTTATTTTTTGGTCATAGAATGAAGTGGACCATTTACATCAACACAACAAAGAACTTTCTAGTCGTTTGCTAGAACGTGAATCAGCTTTAGATTCTATGTCACGTGAATTGGAAATATTTACTTCTAGACTAGATACAACTTCGAAAAGTTTAACAGAAACTGAAGCAGAATTATTAGAAACAAAACATAAATACGAATTATCTGAAGCTAAAGCAAATAAGCAAAAAGATGAGGTTAGTTTGATTTTGATTTATATATGTACCTTACTTTAAAAGTGTTTTGTTTGTCTTACTATTAAGTAATGAATAGTTTGATCATAAACCGTGAAACATATATCATTCATATACGGTGACTTTAATTGATGTCCAATTGAATTCACTTATTTATTCACAGAATATATCATCAAGTGGTACGATTTGGAAGTTACTAAAAACCAAGAAGAACGTGAAATACATTTTGACAGTATATTTTCGAGAACCTAACTAGCAACATGCTGGGTTACCTAGTTTGGATAGACAAGCTAATTTGCATTTATTCCTAATAGGTCAAAATCGTCTACTAATACATTTCGACGAGGCTACTTCTCATTCTCAAAATATTATGTTCTTAAATGGTATTATTAACTATAACTGAGTAGTAAATTAACTTTGATATACATTATTTGATGTATCTTCCTTATTCTCTAATGTACCTATCAGTCGAGCTATGGATATTATCAATGATTATTTAGAATCTGATTTAGATTTGAATTTACGATGCCCATTAGATCCATCAGAGGTTATAAAATGCTTAGAATTATGTTTAAGATCTACCTTATTCATATTTCGAGGTCACCTTTACAGACAGAAAGAGGGTGTGGCAATGGGGTCACCAGTTTCTCCGATTGTAGCGAATTTATTCATGCATTCTCTAGAAACTAGTGCAATCGCAAAGAGTTTATGTCCACCAAAGTTATGGTTAAGGTATGTAGACGATATTTTTATTATCAATAAACGGGATGGTATGGAAGAACTATTTAACAATGCAAACAGCATTTCTGAAAACATTAAACTAACTAAGGAATTAGAATCCGTTGACCACAAACTAGCATTTCTAGATTGTCTGGTTGAACGTCGACACAATAATAAGAAGTTAAAAATAAATGGTTACAGAAAATCAACGCATTCCGAGAGATACTTGGATTTTAATTCAGCCCATTCACAGAGCACGAAAATTAATGTGGTAAAAAATCTAATGAACAGAAGTACTAAGATTGTTACAGACAAGGAAGACCAACGAACCGAATTAAGTAAAGTATTTTCTACTCTTAGGGATAACAACTACCCAAAAAGGTTTTTAAAGATTATTAAAAATGAAAGAAAAACTAAACTAGAAAGTATACGAAAAGAATGGAAGTACACCGTAGTCATACCTTACCGGAGTGAAACATCAGAAGAAATCAAACGGATTCTAAACAAACATGATATAAGAGTGTATTTTAGAGCGAATAACACATTAAGATCGACATTGGTGAAAGTTAAGGACAAGTTAGCAAAGGAAGAACAACAGAACATTGTGTATGAGATTCACTGTCATGATTGTAATGCTACCTATGTTGGAGAAACATCCAGACAATTAAATGTAAGATTGAAGGAACACAAACAATGCTTGAAAAATGTTCTAAAATCCTCGGTAGATTTAAAGAAACTTGAAAATAAGTCAGCGATAGCGTTACATCCGTTAGAAACAGGACACAAGATTAATTTTGAAGGGACCAAAATACTTCAGAAAGGTTTTAACACCCATAAAGAAAGATTGACAGCAGAAGCTCTGCATATATGGGCGAACAAGAACAGCCTGAACCGAAAAGATGGTATTCAACTGGCAACTACCTGGCACATTTCGTTTGACAAGTAAATTTGGAACCTATCTCTTGTTTAAACCTGTTTTTTATTATCACATGCATCGTTATTATTATTGAAAGAACTGAGGGAGTTTTTAAACAATACAATTTATGTTTTGACATGCACATCGATCTTTCATTATCAAGTTTTCATCCTTGAACTTGAACTTTATTTATTCCTTCATATCAATCTCTCACACATACATACATACATACATACACACTCACACACATACGATTTGTTACTCAGTTAAGTATTTCCATGTAGTTGAATTCATCACATGATTTGTAGTCAACTGACTCATTTGATCCTATTTTACAAAACATCAACACCCAAATATGATTGGTTTAACACAGTATAATCCTGATTGTTAAAAGCTATATATTTCTTTGATAATTTTGATTTTGATTATTACCCTGAAGAAGTCCAGACAAGTTAGCTGGACGAAACGTTGGATTTAGTTAAATTTCAATCGCTGAGAATATTTCAAATATAATTTTCACATATAATGACTTCTCTATACTCGGCGCTCAATTACTGTCAAACTATTCGTTCTAATCTTGACGAATATTCGTATAAATTATTACTAGAAGTTTGTATTTTTAAATGAGTAAAAAAGACAAATTCAGTATTTTACTGGCTGTTCGTTATTCATTACTAACAGCTTCATCAAAATGATTGTCAACCAGAATTTTAAAAAATCTCAATCTGTATCAATTCATTCACTCAACAACGCAGATTTCCTTAATACGGGAGAACTTTGATTGGATATAAGCTGAGATTTTTGTAAATTCTGGTCTACTTTAACTTTAATAAAACTATTACCATCCATAAAAACACTTGACTTTTTGTTTTCACACATTGGAAAATACAAATTTCTAATAATAGTGAATATTATTTACCAGATGCCCAAATTTTTTAAACTACTCAATCTGAACTCTGTTTGAATACCCATGCATGTACTATGATATAGTCTATTACCAATTGTTAGTTGACTGCTGTTCAAGGTACTGGTCTCAATTAACTTGCCTAAATCAAATAATAATCTAAATATGGTTCTGATAAAGAAAAATAAAAAGCATGATCTATTGAGTAGGGGATATTTTTTAAACTGATATTAATTTAAAATCAAAATGTTGGAGAAGCAATCGAGTCTCAAACGTGACAAATCTTCGCCCTACTACGGGACTCCTCAGTAGTGCGCACCCACGATCCCGCTTCCCGCGAGATTCGAACCCAGAACCTATCAGTCTCGCGCGCGAGCGCTTAACCATTGGACCACTGAGGCGTTACCAGTGGAGTTCAACCAGGTCTGTTGTGAGATATCAACTCACCGAAGACAATGGTGTACGGTGGCGCAACTTCATGGATTGGTTGAAGTTAGGCAGTAACACCGTTGGATGCCGGCTCAGTGGTCTAATGGTTAAGCGATCGCGTGCGAGACTGATAGACCCCGGGTCCGAATCTCGCGGGATCGTGAATGCGCACTGATAAGGAGTCTCATACTAGGACGAAACGGTCGTCCAGTGCTTCCAGGTTTTCCATGGTGGTCTAGCTTCAATCGACACATGATTTCAACTATTGAAATTTCTAAAAAAAGGTCCCCACAAAACCCTTTCTAAAAATATAACATAAATTGACCAATAGCAGACTATTAACCTGCCATGCATTATATTGTCTAAACACTTCGTAAAATCGGCTTTTGTAAAGTTTGTACGGTAACTTTCTTAATCAACTACTGACACGTAATATCAAACCAACCTATTATATTCATCCTTACACTCAACCAAATGACTTTACTTGAGTAAATGGTGCTTAACCTAATATTTAAAAATGGCATAAAACCATCAAAGAACCAGACAAATTATGATTTCGAGTCTTGTCCTTAAAGATAAATTCGTATTTATATTGTTGAAAATCAATTCATATGAAGTAAAAGGGATATGGTTATAAAAGTTAGTAATTATAATAAAAGTAGGTGGTTACATGATCAAGCAACATAATTACCATGCCTTGACTATCTGTTAAACAGATTAATCTTTTATGATTGGTAAGATATACTAACAAGCTAAGGAGTTTCGCAATTACTTACGTTTCAATCCATGCACTATTTATTCAAATAAGTATAAAACTTTGTCACCTTACATTCTTCTGTTTTAGTTGAAACAGTATGAAATAACTTTATCGAGTTTAGAATCACGATTACTTGAAAGCGAAAGTCAACTAACGAAATGCACTGGCCAATATAATCAGTATGATTCAGTTGACCGAATTCAGTGTTCACACCTAACGGATTTAGTGAAAGATCTTAAACAACAAATAACAGAATACAAAAAAGTTACCACAGTTTTAAGAGTAAGTTTCAAGATGGTCTTTCTGTTAAAAACAATAACAATCTAATGATTTTTCAGTATGATTATTAGATTAGTGTTATCATGACTTCATTTTCATTTTCTCAAGTGATATCCACTTGTTAACGAAACAAAATAAAGATCAACCACCATATGATATTAGTCGTAGAAAACATGCTGCATGATCAGAGACATAATTTTAACTTCTTTTCATAAAAAAATTTCCCAGGTACCTCTTAGCTATCTTAACGTTTAGAACTCAATAAAGATCTATTTACTTAAACATCCCTCGTAAGCGTAGAATATTTTAGTCACAAGTAAATGTAACCAGTTAGTTACTTTGTTACCATTGTCTTTTACGGTGTTAGTTAAACCAAACCAACGATTTGAGTCTGCTACTTCCGCGATCGCGTTCGGTTCCCAAAACTCATCAGGTCTCAATTCCATTTTACTCACCGACTTTTATACTCAGTTATTAGGAATAAGGCTAATAAGTAAGAGTCCTTTAAGTATTGAGACATAAAATGAATGTAAAACAATGCTCAGTGATAAGTATACTGAAGTTTTAAACAATTTTTAAGAAATTATTGATAAATTACTTGCGTATCTTTTCTGGTTTTCTAGCATTTTATGTAAATTAGTAATACTAATGCTTTATTGGTTTGGTCATTCACATTGTAATCACATTTCCAAATTTCTTCAGGGTTATGTGATTCACCCATTACAAAGATCAATAACATACATTCATCTTCATGTTAACCTTATCTCATGTTCATTATTCATAAAGAACTCTTTAAAAAAAGTCAAGAAAACTAACATTGCATAGTTTCTAACAAATGTGTTTCTTTTATACTGAGAATGTGTTTGATTTGAGTATCACACTCTGGATCTGCATAAACAGTAATAATAAACTTCATTTCATTAACTGATATTTTCTGCTCATCATCAAACAATATGACAAACTTTTACTAACACTAATATCGTACTTGTACTGTTGTGGTTTGAAAACAGTTATGTATTTAAAAATTCGCTACTACGGTCTAATCCAAGTAAAGTAATGATCACGCATAGCTAAAGAAACTTAATCCCTTTCAAAAGTGAATTCAAGACTTGGTAATCATTCCTTCATGATTAAGTAATATGACTTTTCCCAAACATTTCAGGATTTTCAAATAACTTTTCTACATTTGTTTATTATAGTTGGGAAAAACAAGTTATGAATACAATCAGTATTGATCATCTTAACCCAATTCATTTGAAGAAATTATTTATTATTCATTGGTTTATTTGTGCATTTTCTCATGGTTTCTTTGCTAAGACCGAAAGAGCTCAATTACAAGAAACAGTCAATCGTCTTGAAGGTGAATTAGCTGCACGGTCAGATGCATTACGCAAAGCAACAGTCGACATTACACGTATGAAAACGAAGCATGAAACAGAATTAAGAGATAAAACAGATCATCTAAATGAATCACTTTACCAAATGGAAAATAAATGGAAAGAAGCGTGTAAAACGATTGAAAAGTTAGAGAAAGAATACAAAGATCAAGAATTCAAACTTATAGAAGCATCAACGAACGTAAGTTATATAATTTAAAGTGTTTAGCAAACTATGTAAATGATAGGCAGATAATAATCGTCCAATGAAATTAATATCACTGATTTAAAACAGAGCTTTTGTGTCAATACTATCTTCAGACAGCTATTTGTTCCTTGAATAACGTTGCCTGATTATTTCTGCTAACGATAAGGTTATCAGTTTTTACACATGATTATTATAGTTTCCTTTCGTTTTGCAGAGTAGTGATGAAAACAAACTATTAAAACAGAAACTGGATTCAATAGAGTCAAAAAACCGCATAATGCACAATGAACTTGAAACAGTTAAATTATCGAGAGAAAATTTACAAAATGAATATAATCATGTCAAGGATGAACTAGATAAATTAAGGTGATTATTTCAAAGCTTTTATATGTTATTGTAAAAATAGAGTTTTAAATACTTTATTTGGATGAAACGACAAGGTTATTGTATTTATATGGTTTAACACATTGTAGGTAGGAAAAGTATCTAAGGTATAAAACTGTCTCTTTAAGTAATTTAGTATAACATCTTACAGAACTAATTTAACTCCGTCCAACTGATACACTAAAATTTTGAGTCAATCTCCTCAGGTTGCATATATAACTATAGAGGTTAACAAATCGCAGTCCTTAATGTTAACAATCAGAAAAATCAAACTCTGACAGATATATGTAGTATTTCCCTAAAATCCCTGATCTTTCTTTTGTGAGATAGTAAAATGCTACAAAACATCAAACGCAATAATGTAAAAGATGGTAAACAAACCAACATATTATTATTGTATTCCATATTGACCGACCATTCATGAATCAAAAAGAAATATTCATTTTAAATTGAGATTCCTACCGTGTATTTAAGAGAAGTAGAACTCTTCACTTTTATCGAGGTAGATATATACGGTAGGAAATAAAGTTATACACTGTCTATTATTTAGGATGTATACAATCACGAATAACTTAAGGAGAATGATAAAAATGAAAGTAGATCTGAAGCTTTCTGCTAAAAAAACAATGAAATGGAAAAAAATGCCCAAACAACCTTTAAAGTAGATAAATGACGTATAATATTCATAGTTTACTCTTATTCTTCTGAGAATAATAGAATAATTTGCATTTTTATAATTCAGACTTAAAAGTGAAAGTACTACAGTAAAAGTTTCGGCTGGTATTCAAGCTGTTCAAAAGTCGGAAAATGCCATTACAAATACGGAGAATATTGAAAAAGATGAAATGGAATATTTACCTAAGCTTCAACTCTCAAGGTTTGTGATTATTTTTTGTAGTTTATGATGTTTCATTCTCATACTTACACAAAAATATACTTCATATGTAAGACTACCTAGAATGATTTTCATGGAAATTCAGCAGTTAGACATAGGTAGAATGCCGCCATATACTAACTAGTTTTGACTAATCAGTGTTTTTTGCTTATTTTGGTTTAAATACTCAATATTTGCCAAAGTAACTCTAATCTCAATTATGGTGGTATAGTGCTGGTATATACCTAATCACGCAATACACTCAAACAAGATACATCCATTTGATAGAGTATCAGATGCAGACTAGAATACGAGCATTCTACTTGAGGTGAGAGGACAGAAGTATATATACGACAGAACTTATACGTGGTATACCAGATATATCCGTTTACACCCCTTCATTAACCACGCATCACTTTGGTTGGGAATATCGAAAGGACTCAAATTTAAGAGCGAATTTCATGTAAAATATGTTCTTTTATAGCAATAATTAAAAGTCTTTTCCCAAAAAATGTTTGTCGAGACAAAAGTTGACTGCCGTAACTTTTCAAGTCGTGAATATTTCAGTTTGAAGATATGGGTATGAATTTTAATAAAAATCATAAGTTCGTGATTCTGATAATAAACTCTGATGACTCAAATAAGAAATATAAATTTTATGACTTAAATATTTTGTTAAACGATGAAAGGTTTCTAAACATCATAAAGTTACCTTTAACAATAAATTTGTTTTAAAAACATTGATAATTCAAATCGTGAAATAATAGAAAGCTGTTTAGTTTATTTGCGGAGATTCTGGTAATTGCACTAGAAGTCGTTTGATTCTGCAACAACCATTAAATCATAACTACTTGAAGAAATCAATCATAAAATTGCGATGCCTGAAATTTAAGGGCTTCTGGTGTATAGAAATCGGTCTCAAATGATAGTCCTATGTCTGTTGTATGATTATCTGAGACTGTGTCTCAGAGGTTAATATGGTGAATGAGAAATCTGAGAGACTAGTTGGTAAGAGATTTCTTCTTTACATGGAGAGAACGGTACATATTCTCATAGTAGAAATATGGACTACTAAATGAACCAATTTATTTGATTCTTTATGACATGATCTTCAAGATGATGAGTAAACAAATCCATTGAAAAAAACAGTTAGGATTCCTGGACACCATAACACAGATTAATATTTATTTGCTGATTACAGTTGAAATCCTAATTTTTAATGCTATTTTAGGAATAAAATTGTATATATTCTTTGTTGAAAACAAATATATACTTCTGTTTCGTAGTAATAGATCTAAACAGTATTCAGAACGAAATAAAATGCGTAACACATCACCTTATGAATCTGTGAAATTTACTAATCATGATTTAAACAGTTCCGATAATTCACCTGATTCCATCGAATCAAGAGTGGAAGCACTTAAACAAGCTAATCATTATTTAAGAATGGAAGTCGAAAATGCATGTAAAATGATAAATTCAAGTGTTTTAAATAAGAATAAAATGGAAGAAGAATTTCTGTCCATGCCAAAAGTAAAGTATCCAAATTTAACTCAGTTTGATCTTGGAAATCATAAACACAAAGTGAGTTATTCATATTTAAACGAATATTAATTCACTTCTAAATTGCCTCTCTTGTAACAATGAAGAAAAGACTGATATAATTAGTACCATTAGGATAAATTCTACTGTACACTGATATATGGCTATTGCATGTGAATAATGGCATCGAAATATTTTAAGAAATCAACCAAACATCTTTCAGAGATGTTCTTTGCCTTTTATAGAGAGAAGATAAATGAGATTAAACGGTCAACTTACACTCTGTGTGGTGCCTGAAAGCAACTTTTGCAACCATCTAGATACACCTCTATCTTGGGTGTTGAACGATCTCTACTGGAATAGAACTTTATCCCAACGGTGTATTATTTCAGCTTTCAAGTTCACTTTAGTTTCAAAAACTGTAAAACATATTTAGGTTCACAACTAGATAAACTACTATCTAATAATTAATATTATTCTTTACACTAGACAACTGCTTCCATACAGTATAGAACTCCTCGGTAGTTAGTACTCATGACCGTACCCAGGACAGTCAGCTAGCTCTTATCTATCAGACTACTGGGTTATTATCAAAAGGTACACATTTATAACATCGATTCTCTGTATGGTGCAATGACCATCCAACCTCATTGGCGACAAATGTTTCGGTTTCGATATGTTTGAACTCCAAACAGCTGTCCAGTTCTCTGTGGTTTTCATCAGCATCCCAACTGAGATCAGTCAGTCGCAAATATTATCGATAAATTAGCCTAGTATGTACAAGACCTCTACTTGAAAACAATAATAGTTTACATTACGATTTCAGACAACCGCTGAGATCCAGAAAGGACCGTATAGCTATTTCGTTTTAGTATATGAGTTCTCGGCGATGCAGAAGCACGACCTTACCAGAGGTTGGATTGATGAGTTCTATATTATGTAAAATCTTCATCATTATAAAATCAACAGATTAACCTCGAACGGTATAGTATAAATATAGTAAATTGGATGGAAATTAATCATCTGCTAAATGCAATAAGATCACCACTAAAAAATAGTAATTAACAGCAAAAATTACTCACAAATTTAAAATATGCTAATACTCATTTCCCCGTGAAATACATCTATGTGTTATTTTCTATTTTCTCATCTCAAGGTTGGATTTTTCGATGAATCGGATCACTGCATAGAGTATAGAGATGAAAGTTTGGTTGAACAAGAATCGAAAACTGTTTGGCTTGAACGAGCTGAATCCGTAAGATTTGAATTAAAAATGGTTGATCTATTATAATAGCATTTATGAACAGGCAACAGCTAATTACTTTCCTTTTAATGATATTAGAGTGAATTTCAATATTAGAACAGGGCATCAAAAAGACACATCAAGTGTCTTAAAGATAAAAATGAATAAATACTAGCTCCATTTTTTAGCCTTAGACGATCAATCCTGACAGATATTAAGTAAAACTAAGTAATCAGTTTTTTGGCAGGCAATCTGTGATAGAGATTGATAATTATTTGTGAACTGTTCTTCAGTATTCATACAAATTTAAACAAGTTAAATATGTAATTTTCTAAATCCTTTGGTTTCACGTACGGATCTTAATAATTTTTAACACTGTTAAGTCTACGCTCATGAATACAAGTTTAGACGAGTATCAGAAACATCAATGCCAATGTTCATTGAGATTTTATTCAAAAATCAGCCATAGCCCACAGAACTTAATGAATATTATTGATGTTACAATACAGAATAATGGGACATGATTAATTGATGCGGCACACCCAAAAAACATTAAAAGAATAGAAAGGGAAATAGCGGGATTGGTATGGACAACTGTTATATATTATGCAATTTAATCCAATTAATGTGGATCTAACTTCTATTTTGAAAACTAATTTTTGACCTAAAATTAAGAACAAAGGACAAATAGTACATTTATACTTTGTAAATCATTTAGCCCTGGATAAATCTTAAATTATACATATCCCCCCCCCATATTTAAAGAGCAGTTCCGATAGTTTTCAGCTAACAACTACTCTGAAAAGATAAATGATTATGAAAATCCAGTTGTAACTTTAGTTCCCTGTCCCTCCAGTAATCACTTACCCTTTTTATATTTTGAACTTTCACGATTCATTTAAATTATCAGAAAAATGACGTTCATGACAATTTATCTGACTAAAATTGGTTTACGAGTGATTTGGTCACTTAATACAAAATAGCATATCATACATGACTTGTGATTTTCGGTTAAATTGACTCCCACGATCTTTTCTTCAATAAAATGAAATTCGCTCTGAAATATTATATTTTCTTTATAAATGTACAATATGAAGCATTAATTTTGTAATGATTGTAATGATTGCTTCACTGGTTGTATTCCTTATCAAGTGACATTATTACTGGTTCTTATTTGTTGTTTAGTTCGAAGAACAACATTTATTTGTCCCACTAAAGCTGATTTTAAAAGTAATCTAAACTGCGCTTGATACATTCTGCGTAGCTTGATGTAAAGATGCATCCGATAGACAGCTATTGATGACAACCATAAAGCTGTCAAGATATATAAACTCAGAAAGATCCATACAGAAAAACCAATTTTTTTCTTCGAAACCCAGTAGTTTTCCTGGATTTGTTCTCCCGCTCTAGTAGTAAACTCTTTTCTCGAATTATCAATTAAAAATTGCTCAAACTCTTTCCATAAATTGATGAAGATTCCAATTATCAGACGAGATATAGCTCCTCCATCTACATGACATTCTCTGACAGACTTTGCGCCTATGTAATCCGTAGTAAAGCCAATGGGACATTGCAGGCATCCTCCACTTGACGGATAATTCGTTTCACCTGAGTAGTAACCCTTAGGACACAAGTGACAACCATTAAATGCGTATGGAGTTTGAGGAGCATGACCTGGAGGACATGGATGGCATACGAGTGACCATTTTGTTAGTGGATATGCTGATGAGTTTTTGAATAATGATTCATCATACTCACTAGGAGTGATTGACTTGAACAAAGGTGGTGGCTGATACGTCTGACTACCTGGTGGACAGACTATTCGTATGCGAGTAGCGATTTCGCGTGTAAATAAACTGTCCTTTATTACTGATCTTTTAATGAGTTCGTCCATTTCCGCTTTTAGAGTAGCATGAATATAGTTAAAAAGACTTCCTGCAGGACTTAATAAGAAGAAGATCGGTTCATGTGATAGTTCAATAAGTATTGATATTTCTGTGAATTTACTTTTCGGTAATTCAACTGGCAAAGAATCTGTTGGTTTCTTGAGTGAGGTCAGTGGCATCACTTGTACTACTATATCCTGACAAGGACTTAACTTATATTCAGCTATATTTACTTTTGATTCACACCAGTGTTTTATATTAGTCAATGTTTGTGTAAGGTTTTTCTCTGTTATTAGATCTTTGGAAAGTGCTTCAAGTGCATAACTCCATATTATGATTGGTGGAGTGTAAACGTGGAAAGCAAATTGTGCTTGCCTAACAATTGTACTATCACGTTGAAAGAAAGCCCATTTGTTTTCAACACCAATTATTGGTGTCGATCTAATAGCTGCACACGTGACAATTTCCATTTCATGAGTGAATAGAAGTTGTTTGATTCCCGCAAGTGTTTCACTGTATTTTGGTTCCAAATTCATTTCTACACCTGGTATACCTTCATTTTTGAGAGCATTCTGTACCACAGGTACTTCGCTGACTCCAGTTAAGGGCAAGTAGATAGTTAAAACTTCACCAACATGAATTACCTCTCCTCCTCTGTTGAACCATACTGTTATAGTATTAGGCAAACTTTTCTCTTTCAGTTGTCTATTCCCTTCCAGCCAGTCATTTATATTTCCTTCCTGAATTTGCTTCAACCAACACGGCAAATAAAGTATTTTTCCAGATGGTATCCATAGAGTGTGGGTACTGACTTGATGTGCGTTGAAAAATTTAACACCGGATAATAAAATATGAAACAGATATATCTCTGACAGTTTCATGGGAAATGTAAATTCGTAGTGAATTACTGATTTTTTAAAATGTAATCAACTTGTGGTCATCAATAATCGATAAAACCATAAGTGTATTAAACTATTCTTTAATTATTCCACTGCAAATTATATATAGTTTTAGCATTAGTTATTCCGTTTCGCAATCATATCATTATGGCTTCATTGTCATAAAAAGCTGTTACCTCACTCTCAAACACTTTTTCGGATACTAGATCAAAATTAAATTTTGGTGTCGCTTATTTTGTTGACTATTAAGGTATCACTTTTAGTTATATCGATAAAACCATTCCAACAGAACCACTACACGTCATTAGCGAAGTACGCAGCACAATTAAGCATATCACAAAGTTTATGAAGTGGACTTGGGCAGTTGAATACCGTTTTTAACATAAACTTTGCGTGGTTCCTCGCGTATTGAATAATCTATCTTTTCATTTTTAGTTAGTTAAAACATAATTCTAACCATAAATAGCTAGGTCGGACTTTCACATATTTGTTTTGGTTAGTTCAATAATATTTTCATCCGGAATACATACCATAATCGTTTTGTTTTAAGCCTAGATTATGAACCTCTATACTTCATTGCATTAATTAAATAAGGCCTTAACATTCGCTTTCTAATTTATTCAGTAAACATTATGATTGCTTATCCCTACAAATAATTCCTTCTATTTCATTAACATTTTATCTAGATTTCACAAAAATTCCATGATAACAACAATTACTGGTCAAATAAATTAGAAAATATTGATAAACTAAAAAATTCCGGTCGAGATACTATACAAAGCATAGAACATCAATCACACACAATTAGAACAAATACAAACACTGACCGAAAAGTGAAGCCCACTCGTCTCAGTGATTCCAACACTGGTGTTAACGGTAATACTGGACGGAGTAAATTAACAAAACTAGAACCAACAGACTACCATGTGAAATCTGGTGACAAATTCGTTAAAATTACAAGTATGTCTAGAATTAATCAAGTCCCAATCAAACACATATCTACGTATCGCAGTTCAAGAATAAAATAATAAAAATGTTGAGCCTTGTTGTCTTTCTATATTTTGGTAAATCAAGAGGAAAGCAAAGCATCCATTACGGTCATCCATCCAGCATGTACAACTTTCTGTACGCAGGTGTAAGCCACACTACTTTTGTTAGGGTCAATAATATTGAAGTGAACGAGAACACAAGTCGGGAAAATCGAATGTATTTGAAACACAAAATTACAGAACATCTTAGTGAAATCTGAGAACCATACAGTAAATGCTTAATTTGTAAACTCTCAATCAATCGTCTCAAAATTGACTGCTCCTTTTGCAAATATCAGTCAATCGTCTCAGACTTCATTGTCCTTTCGTTTCCACACCTACCATTCTTTGTTCTCGTTCTCTTTTCTATGATCTTCTTTACCTTCTGCCTCCAGGCATTTCACTTTCGGTTGGTGATACGTACTACTTATCTGTCAACATCAGTAGCACACCGCAATATGAACCGACCGAGGATAAGACGTGCAATCCATTATATTGGAGACTAATTGCTCTAATGACTATGCTAATACTAATGGTGTAGATGATTAAGCTTCATTAACAGAATTATTAAGAATGCATAGTATAATGAAATGATTAGGATCTTCTCTTAAACAACAATTTAGTACTAATCATGGGATCCCAAAGTTAATTCAAAGCCTATTTTTTGTACTGTCATCTTCCATATTTATTTAGGCATACAGAAATAATAGTAAGCAGATAAATTTTACCTTAGTCTTACAACACTAACTTAAGCAATCATAGTTTGTTTTGTAATGATACATTTTCGTCTTTTTTAAGTAACCTACGCAGTATCTACTATTATTGATTTGTACAAGCTGTGATTCCTCAAGGTTTGAAGATGGATCTATTCGGTCACACTAGATATAAGAGACTAATTCATACTGGAACAACTATGCTTAACCTGTACCTTTGTGTTAACATGTTCTTGTTGGTATCGATATCGCGTTCTCAATAAGCGGTCGAACTTGTATGACTGCATGATGTAACCGCGTAAAACTCACATTAAAAGTTACCAAACAGAAGCATTTAGGCTGCTAAAAGACGCAGATGTACAATCATCTATGACCTATGTTTTTTAGAAGTGTAATCAATAGTCATGTAAAAGTGACGACTACACTTATTACGCATTAACGCTGAACGGAAAGAAACAAGTGCTTCAGAATTATTGGATTAAATGTTAATTTTGAACATTGAAAACTGAATACTCATATTCCTGGTTATACATGGATATTATACAATTAATCTATCCTATTTAACGGAATGGCAATTACACTTCAAAGAAAATCTAAACGTTGAATACTTAGTTAACAGAAACAGAACTTTGTCTCAATAAAGGTTGTACTCCCATCCTGGAAAACTAACCATTAAGATAAAAATGAATTACGTTTCTAATTACAGGCAAAACGATTACTTTGGAGTTTGTTTTTTTTTCCTTGTGTTTTGTACAAGTTGCAAAGCGAAGGTAGTGAAATTGTAGCTACCAAGTTCGTGAAAAGGCAAATAAAAAAGAGGTTTGACATAAAAGTTAGTGGTATTTTACATATGTATCAATGATTTACGTTTACTTCAATGTTTGAGAAATAAGATCAAATACAGATTGGTTTTTCATCAAGTCATGTCCAGCATGCTGAATTAGTATTTGCCATAATCGTCCTATAAAACGTGAAATTAATAAACCATTAGTTTTGATAACAAAAGAGGATATTGACGAGGAAAAGTACTTTTATACTAAGACAATAGTTGTAAACAGAACAGTCTGAAAGTGCTACTATAATATGGGGGCGATCCAATTAAAATAGGACCTGATTTTCGAGTTTTGCACAAATTCTCCAAATCCAAGGCACAATACATGATCCGTTAATGATATCTCTACATAATTAGAACAACTATATTTTATAAAAGTCTAGTCTATCAATCCGTAGTGATGGTGAACATTACAATAGATATCCGCAATATTTTCCTTAAAAATCTAAATTAAGATATGGTATTTTCATATACTCAATTTGATTTTGATTATGAACTGATTCATATGCAAAATATGGAACGAAATCCAGAGTAAAACGTAATGTTTTTGAATTTCACCAGAAGCAAGACACTATAGAGGCAGCACTAGGCATCTCTGAAATAGTTAGGTCTCAAACCTTTATTAAGGTCAAACTTAGTATAAAATCAACTAAAAAATGGACGACAAAACTGTTCAAAAGTTGTAGCTTTATATTAAGATTTAGATAGTGATTATCCAATCACATAAAGAGATTTGTTTAAATTAAAAAAGAAAATACACTTAAGCACCCTAGTTTGTACACCGTAGAGTACTTCGGTTAGAAAATTTAAGAAACTTTATTTCTGTCTATATAAATCTTAATAAATATTCGTCTACATTTTTCAAATCAAGTGCCGTTACGAAAGAGATCGACCTCGCGACAGACTTAAAGTTGAATGACAACAAAGGATAGCTTTTGGTGAGCTACATACTTATTTGATTGACGTAATCGATGCAAATTTGAGGGATATGTATATGTTGTGGAACTTTAATAATTATCCGTCCCTGAAAATGGACAAGGATAAAAATGAATTGTCCCTGGTCTGAAGAACTAGTCGATGAAGAAATACTATTTGGATTATAATGAAAATAATTATTATTTATTTACATGATTGTTTGAAGTGACAGTCAGAAAAAATCTAAACTAGGGGATAAATAAGAGTTATTTGAATGATTTTACTTCATTATATATTTTCACGAAGATATTCAATTAGAATTACTTCGATATCACTCTCTACATTAACGAGAATATATTGAATAGTTCATTTAAAAAATTCCACCTTACCTATAGTTACTTTTTCAGAAGAAAGCAACGTATACATTTCATAGATTCTATCACAAAACCCTTTATCACCAAAAGTAAAATATGCCAGTGACTTTTTAGCTTGAAGGCATGCCATCATTTGAAGTATACCTGAAACGTTTAACACACGACGGAGAAAATAATTTAAGGTGGAGAGTAGTTTACCAAAAATCCAAAAAAAAATTGCTCAACACATAATAATATATAAAAGAATGTTTTTCATATCTTTGAGTATAAGGTGCGTTTTAACAGGACTTAAATAAAAATAGCTCCATGGTAAGCGGTTAGCAATCTACGGTAAATACATTAATTGAAACGATTAGGGTTTAGGGACTACGCAGTTGTTTAAAGCAAACTCGATACAAATGACACTCACAAAATGTCAGAGAAACTTAACCCGAAAGTCTAAAAAAATCTGTTACGTACATTTCAGTTCTACATCACCTCTAAAAGCACCACATCCCCAATTTCCAGTAGCTACAACTGGAGGTAGTTTTCTTTCAGGAAATAACTCGTCGGTAAACCCACAATATGCCTGTAAACATGAAATAACGAAATCAATGCAAAGGAATAGAACAACATAAAGTTTTCTACTGTCTAAGAAAAAAATTGTGCTATATATCGAGGAATAAATGAAAAAAGTAAAATTTTGCCATATCTTTTCCCGTGATTCAGTACATATGCCTGAACACCGATTACCACGACGTGCAATGCTAACCGGTGTTGGAGATGGTTGGAAGAAAGTTAGGGGCGGCCAAACCAAAACGTGGCATCAGTGCCTGAAGTCACTAACTTCTAGTCTGAGCCATGTTGGTAGATGCAGACTACTTGGTTGGGGTCCGCGTGATTATCATAACCAATGGTTGGAGACTCTTGGTGACATGGCTCAGGATCAATCACAATGGCGTCGGTGTATACACTCTCTGTCTTCCCTTAAACTAAGAGATTAAAATCGCTTCATATCTTTCTTTCTACGAACTAATTCTTTCTTCCTGTACTATATCCTTATTGCAATCTTTCTTTTATATATTACCACCTCTGAATTAACTACTTTTATGAATCCGGTGTTCATCTTGTTGTGTTAATGAGGTATGGCAACTTGGACTGATGCATATATGTGCCTGGTCTGACGTTGTAGCTGACTGACTGATATTTCATTAAATAAGTGGTTTGTGGTATTGTTAAATTTTGCGAACTATAAGCCTGCATTCAAGTTATACTACAAATGACTCAGTTTTGTACAGGCCGAGATTTCTCATTTATGGTAAGTTGTGGTCATGTAAATGATGTATACAACCATGTGAGTCTTTAAGTCTGGAACAATACAAGGTGCATCGGTTGACTTTCTTGTGTTCTGGTTGAGGCGTTAGGGACAGAAAAATTTACATCCGCCAATCATATATATACCATAGTAGTAGTGTGAGAATTCGTTATTGACGTAAGGAAAAAACATAACATACTGTCTTCAAAATTCAGTTCGAAAACAAATAATTTGCAGCACACAATGAAAATAACTGATAGTTCACTTCATGAAAACAATCAGACATCCTCCAGTTAACTGACTAATATGTTTTATACTAAACAAAAGGCTGGATAATTGGCCAAACGAAAAAAAAGTGAAATAAATAATAATTACATCAGTTTTTTTAAAATATGGATTAAAATTTTATTCAAACAACAAAAAGTTAACAGTACATTAATGATGCATCAAATAATCAAACAGTTAGTCCATACTAATCTATACAAGCCTATTATCAGATGATAGGTGATGGTGTACTATTAAACCCAGTTATGGAGAACAGTAAATAGACTGCTCTAAAATCAAACATGCTACGTTCTTTAGGTAAGCAATGTTATAACAACTATAAAAAAAAAGTTTTTTCAACCGAGATTATTATAAAATCAAATACAATTTAAATAAAGTGATAAAACCATAATATTACCTTATTTAATTCTCTTAGCATTTCCTCGACATTATACTGTTCCATAGGATTACTGTATTTAGTAGCATCCATTGCTACTACTGCATAATTCCATCTCCCCCACTTATCGCTAGTACAAATCAAGAAGAACTATATTCATAGTATAAATAAGCAATATTGATGAGTAAACTACTATTCAAAAGAACTGAGCTGAGCAAGTACGCTCTTGTAATTACAGCCTTTCGTCTACAACATAAACTAGATAGAAAAGAAATGTAACTACATTCTAGGTCAGTATGTTGGAAAATTGTGCTAATAACAGTGAAAATCACATATCCAATAAAAGACTATTAGCTTTCTTTATCTTATTATGGGACTTCTCACCATCACTCAGAACTTTTAAGCTGTACCGAAAGCACTTTAATCTTTGGATAACTTAATCATATCCAAGGAATGAATAATCACGCATGTCGCGTTAGTCTAACCGAAGGGTTTTAAATGAAAGTACAACTTACCTAAATGGTAAGTAATTCGCGTTACAACACAAGTAGATTCAAGGTGAGGACACTAACTAATTGGTCAAATCGTATAGAACCCAATGTGTTTACCCAGAATAAGTGAACTTGAATAGTTGGAAAATGTGGAACAAAATAAATATGATGCAATGGTGGTCTAGCTTAGATCGACTCATGAATTCAACTATTGAAACTACTACAATCTCCACAAATCCTCATTCTGATAACGATTCAAAGGTGTTCTAGAAATGAATATCGTAACTAACTAATAAAGTCACCGAACGTCTAGAGAATCTAACATCCCAAACTGAATTTCAGAAGGTTCAGACATGCTCAGACAATGGAGGCCAGGGTAAACTAAATGTTTGTCATTTACAGAAGCTTATGGAAATCTAACTATAAGTTAATAATTGTATCTTACCAAGGACACTGTACTTTTTATATTCTCTTTAAAGACACGTATACTGAAGTTATTTGTCAGTGAACGTTTAGTGATTATAACAGTTAATCTTTTAAACCTTGCATGTTCAATTAACGATCGAATGTATAGGCAAAAGCTAACGTTGTTTGGTTGTCAAACTCTTAAACTGAAAGACTAAAATAAGTTTTAGGGATCTAATAACAAACATTTTTATGATAACCCATTTACTAACCGTGTATGAAGACGGGAAATAATCCGACGGATATCTTATATTCTTAATAACTCCCATGTATCACATCCGGTTGATCAGTATTATGAATGCATGTGAAACTTACCGTTTCATCCCACTATCCGAATGAATAAAATCTCCAGCCCAACAGAAATCATCAGCATAGCCAGAACCTACGGAATACTGTTCAGCACCTTCAATAATAAGTGTCTCATCAAACCCCAGACGCTCGACAAATAAACAACTGACCAACAATTCTGGTCGTAAAGCAAACATAATTTCTTCTTGTACACATCCACCATTTAAAACACCACCACCGAGATAACTGTTGGCGAAATCAACCTAAAACATTTGAACATTTGTGAAGTTATTAATATTTTGAATATAAATCCTTGAAAAGCAGTGTCAAAAAGATATATATTAAAAATAACATTATTATAATGCAAAAGATAAAAGCAATAATCGTGAAATCGTCCCCTCGATTTAAACAGAAAAGAACTTATGTGTTAGTAATCGTAAAAGAATCTGTATTACTGCACAAGGTCAGATCAAATGATTTGATTAAATTGAACAAAAGATAAGTATTAGTAATTGTAAATGAAAGATACGAGATGAAAACAGAGTCGGTAACTTGATATGGTATCATCAACAGCAATGTTTTACTTAACATAGATTTATTCAAACACCTGTACACTAACACCTCACTTACTGCTACAGTGATAATCTTTCTTCAAAATTAAAGGAATCAAACCCAATAAATGGTGAGGACAGAATTAAAACATAACTTTTACACAAGGATGTACGACTACATCAATAGAAACATTTCTCTGTCGTATGTTATTTCTATTCAAGTAATTATTTCATTCGGTCAAACGAATAAATTATGGATCAGTGGTCGTGTAAGCCGACCTAGAGCTTTCATGACATAAGCTCCGATCGAAATATTATTAACGTCAAAGCATGTATTCACCAATTTGCATGGTGAATACGACTCACGTGATTATTTTCCAAAGAAATGATCTGAGTGATTTATTTATCAACTAAATGCCCTGGTATGGCCTAGGGTGAAGAGGCTCAGCTCCATCTATCAAAATGCTCACACGGCCACGCATATACAGCCACTGCCACTATAGTCTTACTCGATGTCTTCTCGTGGCGAGGATATTGTTTATAAAACCGAAAAGACGAAAGTCCAGCGCTTTAACCGGGATCGCGTACACCTAGGGGAGTTGGAAAGCCCTAATTCTAAACCAATGGTGCACATGGACTCATACTTTTATTTTCTTGTCAGTGGTTGTCACTATTTATTTGAACGTTGTTTGATTATCATTTCTACCTTTTCACTTTAGCCTATTCCTTTACTATCATGCCGAAAAGAATGCGCACTTACTTTAAGTCAACTCCAGATAGCCAGTCTTTTGGCAAATGCTTTGTTTTGTACATTTCCTAGACGTAATTGTCACAGTCAAGATGCAGAATATGTTAATTTCCCTCAGATCAATTTCTCTCATTTACTGTCAGCAAAAGCCGACAGTAAATATAATACAAGCAGGTGAGTTTATCCATTATACTAAATCCTAAGTCATTTTCACGATTTACTGTATCTGCTTTTCATGAAACCAGTTAAATCGCAATAATAATTATTAGCAACCTATTATAGGGATTCGGTTCTCAATGCTATTTTGTAAGAAAATCTAACTGAAGTTAAGATGCTTATGTAAAACCTAAAATAAGACACTACAAAGCAAACGTGATTGCTTTCATTTTCGTCACTATATTCTTGTTGGTTACCCTTGTATTTATCGACTTAGAATACGCAGATGACATTGTCCTGTTTGGTGAAGACGCTGATAAAATGCAGTCTTTTGGTAGCACTAAGCAACAATGCCAGAATGTTTGAGATTCGCTTCTCCCCCTCTAAATGCAAGTTTTTGCTTCAGGACTGGTCTGCGTCAGCACCTGAACTAAGGATAGGGAGTGAAGTAGTCGAACGCGTTGACAACTTCACTTATTTCGGAAGTCTGATCAGCCATAATGGGTTGGTGTCTGACGAACTCTCAGCACGGATTCGAAAAGCTCGCTTGGCTTTTGCCAACATACGTCACCTATGGCGAAGGCGAGATATCCATCTATCAATTGAGGGACGAGTATACTGCGCGGCAGTCCGTTCTGTTTTAATTTACGGCAGCGAAACCTGGCCATTAAGAGTATAAGATACTCGTAAGCTACTAGTATTTGACCACAGATGCCTCAGAGATATTGCTCGTATCTGCTGAGATCACCGAGTAAGTAATAGTGCGGTTAGACGCAGACTATTAGGGAATGATGGTAAATCAGTTGATGAGGTTGTGAATCTTCATCGAATGAGATGGTTGGGCCACGTGTTACGTATGCCTGAACTCCGATTACCACGACGTGCAATGCTAACCGGTGTTGGAGATGGTTGGAAGAAAGTTAGGGGCGGCCAAACCAAAACGTGGCATCAGTGCCTGAAGTCACTAACTTCTAGTCTGAGCCATGTTGGTAGATGCAGACTACTTGGTTGGGGTCCGCGTGATTATCATAACCAATGGTTGGAGACTCTTGGTGACATGGCTCAGGATCAATCACAATGGCGTCGGTGTATACACTCTCTGTCTTCCCTTAAACTAAGAGATTAAAATCGCTTCATATCTTTCTTTCTACGAACTAATTCTTTCTTCCTGTACTATATCCTTATTGCAATCTTTCTTTTATATATTACCACCTCTGAATTAACTACTTTTATGAATCCGGTGTTCATCTTGTTGTGTTAATGAGGTATGGCAACTTGGACCGATGCATATATGTGCCTGGTCTGACGTTGTAGCTGACTGACTGACTGTACTTCTTGTAGTGCACTAGCGGATACCCTAAAATCTTCGTGTGAAACTATATATATATATATATATATATATATATATATATATATATATATATATATATATATATATATATATAAACAAACTTTCCGATATTAGGAATTCAACTGTTAGCGAAACTATCTCGGAAAAAGATGGACATATTATTCACGCTCAATCCAGGAGATTAGATCGATAAGCAGAATACTTTAGGGATCAGTTCAACTGGCCTTCAGCCATATTTCGGTCCCCCACGATCCTCTAGTCGACCTGAATGTCAAGTTGATGTAAGTCCTCTAACTCTACGAAGTTAAAAAAGCTATATGTAATCTTAAGCAAGGAAGAGAAACAGGCCCTGGGAACTGGACGTAATCACATCTGACTGGTCTCAGTCACTGATTGTGCCAGTCTGTAAGAATGGACAAAAGTCCTCTTGTGACAATCACAGAGGAATCATTTTGACCAATATAGTGTCTAAAATATTAGCTTCAACAATACTTCGACGCCTAAATAAAGCCTGTGAAAAGCAGACTACAGAAAACTAGGCTGGTTTCCGACCTGAATGTGGCTGTATAAACCAGATATTCACACTACGTTAGGTCCTAGGACATAGACACACATCCAGACGTCCCACAATAGTAGTATTTCTCGACCTTAAGGCGGCATTTGACTCTGTTGATCGTGAGGTTCTATGGCAGTGTTTGTCACTGAAAGGAGTACGAAAGAAGTACATTAACCTTGTGAAGGCTCTCTACTCGGACACAACTGGTCGAGTGAAAGCTTATGGCGAACCGTCATCAGGATTGATTAACTCAAGTGGTGTTCGTCAGGGCTGTCCACTATGTCGCTTCGAAAAGCTTGTTTCACGTGCGTTTATCCGGGGACCCTGTGGCATCTTCGTCTGGTCTCGCTGGTGTTGGTGTCGCATTAAGCGCTAGAGCTGAGACAGCACTGTTCAATTGGATCCCCACTAACAGTCGGTTATGTGCTGTTAGATTAGAAAGTTCCATCAAAGCGAAAAGAAATCGGCGTGAAAAACGATGTCTTTTCGTCATCTCCGCCTATGCTCCGACAGATTGCAGCCCGTATGCAATCAAGAATGAGCTTTACGACCAGTTAACAGTTGTTCTACAGAAAGTGCGTTCGACAGATATTGTAGTACTAGCTGGAGACTTGAATGCTCAGGTCGAGCACAGAAGAGAATCGTTTAGGTGGCGAATGGGGACTTGTTGGTCGCAGGACAGATAACGGTGACCGTCTACTGCAACTGTGCACAGACCACAACCTGTTTCTGGCTAGCAATAACTTTCGGCACAGTCATCGCCGATGTTACAACTAAGTATCGAACCGAGCTAGCTTCTAGGCTAGATACCATTCCACCGAAAAGTATAGATGAGCATTGGTCGCAACTTCATGACGTCATGAAAATTGCTAGTAAAGTCCGCTTGCGGCTTCGCGAAACGTCCAGCTCATAAGCACAGGGTTTCTCCAGGCTCCTTACAACTCATCGAAGCCCGTCAGTCTACTCCGGGTGACCGTGAGTTTGACCATAAACGAAGGATGTTACGTAATGAAATCGGGCAAAGCTTGTGTAAGGACCGAGAAGCCTGGTGGTCAGAGTGTGCTAATGAGCCGGAAGCAGCAGCTGAACCTGGTAACTACCGGAAGCTCTTCCAACTCATCCGAGCCACTAGCAGCAAGAAGTATGGTGTGAGTGAAACAATCTGCGAGGATGACGGGATGCCAATCACCAACATCCATCGACGTCTTGGACGATGGGCAGAATTCTTCGAAGGGCAGTTCAACTGGCCTGCTGCTCCGGCAACATTGGTCAGATTGTCCTGCCCTCCATGGCCGGTGACGACTGATCCACCAAATGAGGCAGAAGTCCGCAAGGAACTCCAACTCTTGAAGCGTTACAAATCACCTGGCCCAGATGACTTACCTCCGGCTCTTTTTAAAGATAGTGGTGACTTTCTGGCTAAGGAACTGACTGTGTTGTTTACAAAGATCTGGCAATTAGAGAGTGTTGCAACATAATGGAATGAGTCGATACTCGTTCCTATCTCTAAGAAGGGTTCACGTCGTTTCTAAAACAACTATCGGGGAACAAGTCCACTTCCAATCGCGTTTAAACTGTTAGCTTCTGTCATGATTCTTAGATTGTTCAAAACTCGAGAAAAATTGACTTGAGAGGACAGGCTGGTTTTCGTTCTGGGCGAAAATGTACTGATCATATTTACACCCTCCTACAAATTTTAGAATACATCGATACTTATTACAGGCCAACAATCTGCTATAACTGTGACGGCAGATTAGAGGACGGCGAATTATCGATCTGACCAAAGACGCGCAAACACGTAAGAACGACCTAGGGTTCTGATTGGTCCCGCTTCCCTATCTAGCCCAGTCAGTTGAGTCCAGAACGCAAGTCTCAGCCTCGGATATGTGAATCGTTATATTTCAAACACACTCTGCTTATATACCAGTTAACCATACCACATCGTACCATAAAATAGAAAATAACATCGTACAATATTGACCAGTAGGAAAATGACACGTTAAATGAATATTGACCAATAGGATGATACCATTTCATGTCCAAGGATAGCATTAGGCTTAACAGAATAATCTTTGGGATATTTTCCTGAATATCCCAACACAATCATAGTGTTTCTTTACATTACGTCCACCTTCGATTCGTTGGATAGGGCTGTTCTCTGAGATTGTCTATTGAAGAAGGATGTGCCTGAGAAGATTATTAACATATGTAAAGTCCTACATACCAACACCTCAGACAGAGTAAGGGCATACAACCACCTTTCTCAATTGTTCCATTCAAGCAGTATGGTTAGACAGGGTTTCCCAATCTCACCATTCCTCTTCAACTTTGCCATCGATGACATTCTGGAAAGAACCCTGATGTATGTAATTAATGACGGTGTGGATATGTTACCTGGAGAAAGACTTCTCGACCTGGAATATGACGATGATACTGTATTACTGTGCGATAATGCCCAAGCCATACAATCCGTACTTAATCAGTGGGCAATTATTGTCCGTAGGTATGGTATGTGCTTTGCACCTTCGAAGTGCAAAGTACTTCTGCAAGACTGGCAGGATCCTAATCCTGTACTCACCCTGGATAGTGAGCAGATAGTAGTCGAGAAGTTCGCGTATCTGGGTAGCTGCATAAGTGCTGGTAGTGGGGTCAGTGATGAAACCAATCCATGTATAGTGAAAGCCAGAGCGGCTTATGCCAATCTGGGCCATCTTTGGCGCCTTCGTGATGTTAGTATGGCTGTAAAAGTTCGGACCTACAACGCGTCGGTGAGAGCAGTTCTGCTCTATGCTTGCGAAACCTGGCCTCTCTGAGTTGAGGATGTTAGACAACTCTCTGTGTTTGATCATTGTTGCCCCCGAAAGGTTACTGACATCCAGTGGCAACACCATGTTAGTAATGCAGAGGTCTGGCGTCGTCTGTTCTGGCACAGCGACGACAATTCAATTGGTGTCACTATCTTGAAACACCGACTTCGGTGGCTTAGACATGTCCTACGAATGTCGTCTCAGAGAGTTCCACGTCGTGCACTAGTTGACGACGCTGGGACTGGTTGGAATAAAGTGGAAAGGTGGTCAGTCTACGACATGGTGTCGTGACAAGAAAGAAGGATCTACAAGACTGGCTTCTGTTGGTCTTTTGCGACTCCCTGGTTGGGGTCCGAGAGATGATACAACGCAATGGTTAGAGTCATTATCACATGTGGCTCAGAATAGAAGCCAGTGGCGATCCTGCTGTAACCTTCTTTTACTTTCTTCATAAAAAGTGGTTGTATCTTCCTTAACTGAAAGATTTCTCCTGGTTGTACCTTTCCGTTTCCCCTATTATTATTATTATTATTATTATTATTATTATTATTATTATTATTATTATTATTTTCTTTTACGCTCCTCACTTTTCCTTTTCTATTCGAATTCTCATTGTTTTGTGTGGCGCATATATATTCGGTGCCCTCTTGTATCAATATTTATGTGTTCAAATAAATAAATAAAATAAAATGTAGAGTAGCTGGAGACCAGCTGAACTGCTCCTGTTCCGCCCATCGTTCTAAACGTCTGGGCTGAGAGCAGATATGAGTGTCGTATTTTTCTGAGATTGTCTCACTTAAGCTTGACTTGTTAATTCCAGTTTCTTTTATTAGTCTGAAAAGCTGTCTTGCATTACCTACAGCCACTGCCTTCTCCATCTCTTTTGCTTTCGTTGCCCGCCACTGCTCACGGTCGTTCATTAGACTTCTGGTTAACCTAGGTCTGATTTGCTTTCGCTCTTCATCGTGTTCAGAGCCTGATGGGATTCACTTGTTGACTTAGAATATGCCGATGACATTGTTCTATTGGTGAAGACGCTGACAAAATGCAGAGTCTTCTGACCACTCTAATCAACAATGCAAGCATGCTCGGCATGCGATTCTCCCCATCGAAATGTAAAATGTTACTTCAGGATCGGGTTGCATCGACACCTAAACGAATGATGGGGAGTAAAGTAGTTGAGCGTGTCGATCGCTTCACTTATCTTGGGAGTCGCATCATCTTTTGTAGTCTGGTATGTGACGAAATCTCAGCACGGATACAGAAGGCTCGACTAGCTTTTGCCAACTTGCGTCATTTATGGCGTAGGCGAGATATCCGTCTACTAACCAAAGGACGGGTTTACTACGCAGCAGTTCGTTCTGTCCTGTTTTATGGCAGTGAAACATGGCCGGTAAGAATTGAGGATATTCGTAGGTTACTAGTATTCGATCATAGTTGTCTTCGAAGAATTGCTCGTACATCCTGGGACTACGGAGTTGTTAGGAAACAGAAACTAGGTAAGGATGGCAAATCGATTGGCAAAGTAGTGAAACTTCATCAGTTGAGATGGCTGAGACACGTGTTACGTATGCCCAATCACCGACTGCTCCGCTGAGCGATGTTTTATGGCGTAGGAGTAGGTTGGAAAAAGCTAGGGTCGGCCAGACCGAAAGGTTGCACGAATCAATGAAATTGAGCGACACACCCGCCATTATCTTCAGTGAGTTACTATCTCACAACAGACTCAGTTGAATTTCATTGGTCACTGCTTCTCCCTAGAAGCGCTCGCGCGCGAGACTGGTAGGTCCCGTGTTCGAATCTCGTGAGGCGGGATCTTGCGTGTGCGCTGCTGAGAAGTCCCACAGTAGGACGAAACGGCCGTCCAGTGCTTCCAGGTTTTTCACCGTGGTCTTGCTTCAACTGACTCAAGACCTTAAGTATTCAGATTACTATAATATCCATAAAACCCCTTCTGATAAAAAATTAGTTGATGAAGCAAATTAATGGAAACAACCATGTATGACGAAATCGATACTCTAGTGACAGAACGGAAACACGATATTTTGTTCATAAAAATGGAACGGCTTAGGAGTTTAGTACATTAATAATCCTATATAAAGACGCTTGATTTCGGCGAGATCTAGGTATCTGTAATGAAATTCACAAGTCACAAACATAGATTTCAAATAAACAACTACAAGATGATTGTATGAAAAAATTTCTTAATGGCTGACCTAAGTGGCAACATAAGATACATCCTAGCATAAAAAAACAATACAAAACTAAACTCAATACAAAATAGGTTTAATAAACGACATAACAAACTTGTAAGGTGTTTGGACCAGCATCAGTAATTGATCCTGTGGCACTGACATGTAAACGCAACTGATCAAATGTTAATTCGCTCCTCGACCAATCTGGTGACAAATTACCTAGACAGCGTCTTGTAAATGTAACTGATCCCGTAGGAAACTTTTGAAGAACACGATGAAAATAGTGTAAGATGCAACGTAGCTTTTCAATTTTGACATGAAGTGTCCTAAAATTAAACCACAATATGATCGAAAGTAGTATTCAGTATTGATATGAACTCTTATCACAACTCAGATACTCATTACATAGCATAAATTAGACACTTTACTTCTCACGACAAGTCCTCAAATCAAAAGACGAACATGAGCGTAATTACATCTCAAATAAACAAAGTTGAATGGAAGTCAGTCAGTCAGCAACAACGTAGAACTTCGTACGTACGTACATCAGTTCAAGTTGCCACACCACATTAGCACAGAGATACAATTGTCGATTCAAATCCCGTAGTGGTAGAGGTAGTAAAATTATAAGCAGTAATCGGAAACATTAGGGTTTGAAGATGTTATTCAATGAGTATAATACAGTGAAATAAATTTAGAAAGAGGAAAAAAAGAGACATGAATAATTCAGAAGATTAGAATTTGGAAGAACTTAAAGAGTGGATGCATCTGCGCCACTGCAAACGATTTTGAGCCATGTCATCCAGGGTCTCTAACCATCGGTTTTTATCATCTCGCGGTCCCCCACCAGGTAATCTACACCTACCAAAATGCCTCAGTCCACTTGTCAGTGACTTAACGGATTTGTGCCACGTTTCGGTCTGGCCGACCCTAGCTTTTTCCAACCTACTCCTACGCCATAAAACATCGCTCAGCGGAGCAGTCGGTGATTGGGCATACGTAACACGTGTCTCAGCCATCTCAACTGATGAAGTTTCACTACTTTGCCAATCGATTTGCCATCCTTACCTAGTTTCTGTTTCCTAACAACTCCGTAGTCCCAGGATGTACGAGCAATTCTTCGAAGACAACTATGATCGAATACTAGTAACCTACGAATATCCTCAATTCTTACCGGCCATGTTTCACTGCCATAAAACAGGACAGAACGAACTGCTGCGTAGTAAACCCGTCCTTTGGTTAGTAGACGGATATCTCGCCTACGCCATAAATGACGCAAGTTGGCAAAAGCTAGTCGAGCCTTCTGTATCCGTGCTGAGATTTCGTCACATACCAGACTACAAAAGATGATGCGACTCCCAAGATAAGTGAAGCGATCGACACGCTCAACTACTTTACTCCCCATCATTCGTTTAGGTGTCGATGCAACCCGATCCTGAAGTAACATTTTACATTTCGATGGGGAGAATCGCATGCCGAGCATGCTTGCATTGTTGATTAGAGTGGTCAGAAGACTCTGCATTTTGTCAGCGTCTTCACCAATAGAACAATGTCATCGGCATATTCTAAGTCAACAAGTGAATCCCATCAGGCTCTGAACACGATGAAGAGCGAAAGCAAATCAGACCTAGGTTAACCAGAAGTCTAATGAACGACCGTGAGCAGTGGCGGGCAACGAAAGCAAAAGAGATGGAGAAGGCAGTGGCTGTAGGTAATGCAAGACAGCTTTTCAGACTAATAAAAGAAACTGGAATTAACAAGTCAAGCTTAAGTGAGACAATCTCAGAAAAATACGACACTCATATCTGCTCTCAGCCCAGACGTTTAGAACGATGGGCGGAACAGGAGCAGTTCAGCTGGTCTCCAGCTACTCTACATTTTATTTTATTTATTTATTTGAACACATAAATATTGATACAAGAGGGCACCGAATATATATGCGCCACACAAAACAATGAGAATTCGAATAGAAAAGGAAAAGTGAGGAGCGTAAAAGAAAATAATAATAATAATAATAATAATAATAATAATAATAATAATAATAATAATAATAATAATAATAATAATAATAATAATAATAGGGGAAACGGAAAGGTACAACCAGGAGAAATCTTTCAGTTAAGGAAGATACAACCACTTTTTATGAAGAAAGTAAAAGAAGGTTACAGCAGGATCGCCACTGGCTTCTATTCTGAGCCACATGTGATAATGACTCTAACCATTGCGTTGTATCATCTCTCGGACCCCAACCAGGGAGTCGCAAAAGACCAACAGAAGCCAGTCTTGTAGATCCTTCTTTCTTGTCACGACACCATGTCGTAGACTGACCACCTTTCCACTTTATTCCAACCAGTCCCAGCGTCGTCAACTAGTGCACGACGTGGAACTCTCTGAGACGACATTCGTAGGACATGTCTAAGCCACCGAAGTCGGTGTTTCAAGATAGTGACACCAATTGAATTGTCGTCGCTGTGCCAGAACAGACGACGCCAGACCTCTGCATTACTAACATGGTGTTGCCACTGGATGTCAGTAACCTTTCGGGGGCAACAATGATCAAACACAGAGAGTTGTCTAACATCCTCAACTCAGAGAGGCCAGGTTTCGCAAGCATAGAGCAGAACTGCTCTCACCGACGCGTTGTAGGTCCGAACTTTTACAGCCATACTAACATCACGAAGGCGCCAAAGATGGCCCAGATTGGCATAAGCCGCTCTGGCTTTCACTATACATGGATTGGTTTCATCACTGACCCCACTACCAGCACTTATGCAGCTACCCAGATACGCGAACTTCTCGACTACTATCTGCTCACTATCCAGGGTGAGTACAGGATTAGGATCCTGCCAGTCTTGCAGAAGTACTTTGCACTTCGAAGGTGCAAAGCACATACCATACCTACGGACAATAATTGCCCACTGATTAAGTACGGATTGTATGGCTTGGGCATTATCGCACAGTAATACAGTATCATCGTCATATTCCAGGTCGAGAAGTCTTTCTCCAGGTAACATATCCACACCGTCATTAATTACATACATCAGGGTTCTTTCCAGAATGTCATCGATGGCAAAGTTGAAGAGGAATGGTGAGATTGGGAAACCCTGTCTAACCATACTGCTTGAATGGAACAATTGAGAAAGGTGGTTGTATGCCCTTACTCTGTCTGAGGTGTTGGTATGTAGGACTTTACATATGTTAATAATCTTCTCAGGCACATCCTTCTTCAATAGACAATCTCAGAGAACAGCCCTATCCAACGAATCGAAGGTGGACGTAATGTAAAGAAACACTATGATTGTGTTGGGATATTCAGGAAAATATCCCAAAGATTATTCTGTTAAGCCTAATGCTATCCTTGGACATGAAATGGTATCATCCTATTGGTCAATATTCATTTAACGTGTCATTTTCCTACTGGTCAATATTGTACGATGTTATTTTCTATTTTATGGTACGATGTGGTATGGTTAACTGGTATATAAGCAGAGTGTGTTTGAAATATAACGATTCACATATCCGAGGCTGAGACTTGCGTTCTGGACTCAACTGACTGGGCTAGATAGGGAAGCGGGACCAATCAGAACCCTAGGTCGTTCTTACGTGTTTGCGCGTCTTTGGTCAGATCGATAATTCGCCGTCCTCTAATCTGCCGTCACAGTTATAGCAGATTGTTGGCCTGTAATAAGTATCGATGTATTCTAAAATTTGTAGGAGGGTGTAAATATGATCAGTACATTTTCGCCCAGAACGAAAACCAGCCTGTCCTCTCAAGTCAATTTTTCTCGAGTTTTGAACAATCTAAGAATCATGACAGAAGCTAACAGTTTAAACGCGATTGGAAGTGGACTTGTTCCCCGATAGTTGTTTTAGAAACGACGTGAACCCTTCTTAGAGATAGGAACGAGTATCGACTCATTCCATTATGTTGCAACACTCTCTAATTGCCAGATCTTTGTAAACAACACAGTCAGTTCCTTAGCCAGAAAGTCACCACTATCTTTAAAAAGAGCCGGAGGTAAGTCATCTGGGCCAGGTGATTTGTAACGCTTCAAGAGTTGGAGTTCCTTGCGGACTTCTGCCTCATTTGGTGGATCAGTCGTCACCGGCCATGGAGGGCAGGACAATCTGACCAATGTTGCCGGAGCAGCAGGCCAGTTGAACTGCCCTTCGAAGAATTCTGCCCATCGTCCAAGACGTCGATGGATGTTGGTGATTGGCATCCCGTCATCCTCGCAGATTGTTTCACTCACACCATACTTCTTGCTGCTAGTGGCTCGGATGAGTTGGAAGAGCTTCCGGTAGTTACCAGGTTCAGCTGCTGCTTCCGGCTCATTAGCACACTCTGACCACCAGGCTTCTCGGTCCTTACACAAGCTTTGCCCGATTTCATTACGTAACATCCTTCGTTTATGGTCAAACTCACGGTCACCCGGAGTAGACTGACGGGCTTCGATGAGTTGTAAGGAGCCTGGAGAAACCCTGTGCTTATGAGCTGGACGTTTCGCGAAGCCGCAAGCGGACTTTACTAGCAATTTTCATGACGTCATGAAGTTGCGACCAATGCTCATCTATACTTTTCGGTGGAATGGTATCTAGCCTAGAAGCTAGCTCGGTTCGATACTTAGTTGTAACATCGGCGATGACTGTGCCGAAAGTTATTGCTAGCCAGAAACAGGTTGTGGTCTGTGCACAGTTGCAGTAGACGGTCACCGTTATCTGTCCTGCGACCAACAAGTCCCCATTCGCCACCTAAACGATTCTCTTCTGTGCTCGACCTGAGCATTCAAGTCTCCAGCTAGTACTACAATATCTGTCGAACGCACTTTCTGTAGAACAACTGTTAACTGGTCGTAAAGCTCATTCTTGATTGCATACGGGCTGCAATCTGTCGGAGCATAGGCGGAGATGACGAAAAGACATCGTTTTTCACGCCGATTTCTTTTCGCTTTGATGGAACTTTCTAATCTAACAGCACATAACCGACTGTTAGTGGGGATCCAATTGAACAGTGCTGTCTCAGCTCTAGCGCTTAATGCGACACCAACACCAGCGAGACCAGACGAAGATGCCACAGGGTCCCCGGATAAACGCACGTGAAACAAGCTTTTCGAAGCGACATAGTGGACAGCCCTGACGAACACCACTTGAGTTAATCAATCCTGATGACGGTTCGCCATAAGCTTTCACTCGACCAGTTGTGTCCGAGTAGAGAGCCTTCACAAGGTTAATGTACTTCTTTCGTACTCCTTTCAGTGACAAACACTGCCATAGAACCTCACGATCAACAGAGTCAAATGCCGCCTTAAGGTCGAGAAATACTACTATTGTGGGACGTCTGGATGTGTGTCTATGTCCTAGGACCTAACGTAGTGTGAATATCTGGTTTATACAGCCACATTCAGGTCGGAAACCAGCCTAGTTTTCTGTAGTCTGCTTTTCACAGGCTTTATTTAGGCGTCGAAGTATTGTTGAAGCTAATATTTTAGACACTATATTGGTCAAAATGATTCCTCTGTGATTGTCACAAGAGGACTTTTGTCCATTCTTACAGACTGGCACAATCAGTGACTGAGACCAGTCAGATGTGATTACGTCCAGTTCCCAGGGCCTGTTTCTCTTCCTTGCTTAAGATTACATATAGCTTTTTTAACTTCGTAGAGTTAGAGGACTTACATCAACTTGACATTCAGGTCGACTAGAGGATCGTGGGGGACCGAAATATGGCTGAAGGCCAGTTGAACTGATCCCTAAAGTATTCTGCTTATCGATCTAATCTCCTGGATTGAGCGTGAATAATATGTCCATCTTTTTCCGAGATAGTTTCGCTAACAGTTGAATTCCTAATATCGGAAAGTTTGTTTATATATATATATATATATATATATATATATATATATATATAGTTTCACACGAAGATTTTAGGGTATCCGCTAGTGCACTACAAGAAGTACAGTCAGTCAGTCAGCTACAACGTCAGACCAGGCACATATATGCATCGGTCCAAGTTGCCATACCTCATTAACACAACAAGATGAACACCGGATTCATAAAAGTAGTTAATTCAGAGGTGGTAATATATAAAAGAAAGATTGCAATAAGGATATAGTACAGGAAGAAAGAATTAGTTCGTAGAAAGAAAGATATGAAGCGATTTTAATCTCTTAGTTTAAGGGAAGACAGAGAGTGTATACACCGACGCCATTGTGATTGATCCTGAGCCATGTCACCAAGAGTCTCCAACCATTGGTTATGATAATCACGCGGACCCCAACCAAGTAGTCTGCATCTACCAACATGGCTCAGACTAGAAGTTAGTGACTTCAGGCACTGATGCCACGTTTTGGTTTGGCCGCCCCTAACTTTCTTCCAACCATCTCCAACACCGGTTAGCATTGCACGTCGTGGTAATCGGAGTTCAGGCATACGTAACACGTGGCCCAACCATCTCATTCGATGAAGATTCACAACCTCATCAACTGATTTACCATCATTCCCTAATAGTCTGCGTCTAACCGCACTATTACTTACTCGGTGATCTCAGCAGATACGAGCAATATCTCTGAGGCATCTGTGGTCAAATACTAGTAGCTTACGAGTATCTTATACTCTTAATGGCCAGGTTTCGCTGCCGTAAATTAAAACAGAACGGACTGCCGCGCAGTATACTCGTCCCTCAATTGATAGATGGATATCTCGCCTTCGCCATAGGTGACGTATGTTGGCAAAAGCCAAGCGAGCTTTTCGAATCCGTGCTGAGAGTTCGTCAGACACCAACCCATTATGGCTGATCAGACTTCCGAAATAAGTGAAGTTGTCAACGCGTTCGACTACTTCACTCCCTATCCTTAGTTCAGGTGCTGACGCAGACCAGTCCTGAAGCAAAAACTTGCATTTAGAGGGGGAGAAGCGAATCTCAAACATTCTGGCATTGTTGCTTAGTGCTACCAAAAGACTGCATTTTATCAGCGTCTTCACCAAACAGGACAATGTCATCTGCGTATTCTAAGTCGATAAATACAAGGGTAACCAACAAGAATATAGTGACGAAAATGAAAGCAATCACGTTTGCTTTGTAGTGTCTTATTTTAGGTTTTACATAAGCATCTTAACTTCAGTTAGATTTTCTTACAAAATAGCATTGAGAACCGAATCCCTATAATAGGTTGCTAATAATTATTATTGCGATTTAACTGGTTTCATGAAAAGCAGATACAGTAAATCGTGAAAATGACTTAGGATTTAGTATAATGGATAAACTCACCTGCTTGTATTATATTTACTGTCGGCTTTTGCTGACAGTAAATGAGAGAAATTGATCTGAGGGAAATTAACATATTCTGCATCTTGACTGTGACAATTACGTCTAGGAAATGTACAAAACAAAGCATTTGCCAAAAGACTGGCTATCTGGAGTTGACTTAAAGTAAGTGCGCATTCTTTTCGGCATGATAGTAAAGGAATAGGCTAAAGTGAAAAGGTAGAAATGATAATCAAACAACGTTCAAATAAATAGTGACAACCACTGACAAAAAAATAAAAGTAGGACAATATATGTGCGCATCTACAACATGTGACTTTTGAGGTGTGAAATTTTGTTGACTAGATTTATTTTTCTGACCGTGTAGAAGGGAAATAAAGGTCGATGAAAGCTGACGTATGACATGATAAATAGTCCTGTCTGCAAAAAATGGCTACCCAAACTGAATGGCAAATTAAAGAACTAAGGACCAAATATAGCCGATAAGAAAGATAAAAAACATTTTCAGAGAACTAAAATACCACATCTTGTCATTTGTTTAAACACAAATATTGGTACAAGGAGGCACCAAATATATGTGCGCCACACAGCATTCGATTTGTGTAAGGGCTGGGATACTACCCAGATGCCCACACTTCAAACCTTTGACCCGAAGGTCTAATCTGAGACGGTGGGGCAACGTTAGGAGATGCAGTCCCACGTTAGCCGGTGACCAACAATAGGAGTATACATCATTTGTTCCCTGAAGATCCTGGCGTCCATGCGCACCATTGGTTTAGAATTAGGGCTCTCCAACTCCCCTAGGTGTACGCGAACCCGGTTAAAGCGCTGGACTTTCGTCTTTTCGGTTTTATAAACAACATCCCCGCCACGAGAAGACATCGAGTAAGACTATAGTGGCAGTGGCTGTATATGCGTGGCCGTGTGAGCATTTTGATAGATGGAGCTGAGCCTCTTCACCCTAGGCCATACCAGGGTACTTGGGAGCAAAACTGAGAGTCAGACGCATCCCGTTTTTCCCCAACTTGGAGGTGCTAATAGATTTGAAGGCCAACAAACAACAAGCACATGACCTACCCTTGGGACTTCTAACCGAAAAATTACCTGAGTACTTTAAATGTTAACGGTTAGCAGTGACTTTACACTAAGGAGTACGTGAAATATTGGCTCAATAATTAAAATGGAATTTGTCAAGCCTTAAATTGAATGCAAAAACATGAGTATAGTTCAAAACTTTTTAACATGAAGATGAGATACTAGAAACCCGTGTTTTATTTTACTATGGTAAGTAGGGGACCTTGAACCGGAGCATTATCACACTAAACCCCACTTTAGATATGTTTACCAAATGAAGTCCTAAAACATATCAAGACCAGAGATTTCAGTTGAGTGACTAAAAACTAATAGTCATTATTGCAGAAATAAAACACATCCAACCTCTGACCAAGATTAAATCTTTCTAAGGATTTTTCTACAACATACCAATCAATCTAGTACTTTCTTTTCAGAAAGAAAACTAGCAAAGACATTTTAATTTTCAAGAGTAAATTATAAACCATTAAAAAACAGCTAATTACTTTTGTAACAAAAATAGGCAAATTTAGTGCTAACGAACAAATTCCGGAAAGGGTGTTACCGAAGAAATTATCGTTTCCACCATCGGGGATCAGGTCCAACATACATAATTGTTCTAATGTTTTAAAATTCCAGTAGGATTTGAAACGATAGTTGTAGGAGAGAATAGCTTCCTAAAATAAATTAAGAAGAATGTGTGACTTAATCATTTCTCTTATATACCATACAAATAGCAAATCTGATTACATGAATGACAACATTGTTAAAATTAAAATGAACTAAGTTTTTTACCTTCAACTCGTCAGGAGATTTTATCTTATTTCTCAACGCCTTTTCAATCACGACCCATCTAGAAATAAGGCTATTAGCACCACCCTAAAACATAAGCCCACTGAACAATCTTACTTCATAAACCGGATAAACGCTTTCAGGAGAACATGGCATACGAACAAACAATCCGTTCCACTTATCCTGATAGTCATCAGGATATGGTATAGGTGGCTTTACAGGGTTACTGTCACACTGAAATGTTATCAAGTTCAAAAAACACGACTTACACGAAAGAACACCTTGTGTGTTCGTGAAGGTTGTAGAGGAGGTAAACATGGTGATGATGAAGTTAACTCATCTAAAGGATCTCCCTAGGATAAGTGGTAAAAAACAAATTTCAAGAATTTACTTTGAAATACTGGACACATTTTAACGACTCAATCATTCAAAGAACCTTTGATCTTGTAGGAATTGTGACAGGATATCTATGGCTTGAACAAGTATCACTTACGCTGATGTATTGTGTGCCGAAGTTGTGTAGAGGAACGTGTGGAAATCTGAATAGCAAGAGCGAGATTAAGGACATACGATGAGCTTACAACCGATAGCCAAGTACTCCTTTGTTTCCCATCCACTTCTTCGGAAGAGCTAGATTGTTTCAACGTCGCCAAGTCTATAATTTATGGGAGACCAAATGAGATTTTGGATAGCAAACCCAAGACTTCAAAACAGAAATAATTTATCTACATAGCCAAATCATATAGCTGATGTCAGTTTACGATGACAACCCTAATTTATAACCATAACATTAACGGTTAGTCCAAATCTTACTTCTCCCATTGATTCATAACTATACTTAGACTCTTTTAAGTAGTCATAGTTTCTCAACTCTATTTTTATGTCGCTTGAAGTGTAGTGAGCAACTTAGTCAGTTGACTTCCCGTTGAAGTAAAAATCCCGATGAGATGCGTATAAATTGTCAGCTCGATTACCGTCTAATTATTTGCAACTGTTCAGTTAAAGGTATTGATCCTACCAACTAAGCAATCAATAAGCTTCAATTAAAGGTCGTTTCTATCTTACCGTGTTGCTAATGTTACAAAGATTGTTTATAACTTATAGTCCCATCGCATTGAGAATAATCGAGATGGCAACATACACAAATGTCCGAAGACAATATGACATAACAGATTATTGCTACCTTGTAAACCTATTTTGGACTTGAGTCTAATTAAAAGGACAGTGGTATTTTTCCTCGCTGAGTGAATTCTTTTTTTTACCGTTTATTACGTATCAAGACTACTGTTTTCACTTTAATTGAATTTATTTCAGTTAAAGTATTCGATTAGAGTATCGTTTCTGTTTCTAAATTAGTTTGTCGTCGGTACTTTTGAGTACTTTGTTTTCTATTGCATCTGTTAGTACTTTTTGTACTAACGATCTACAGTTTTCCACTTTTTTGGTCATAGATCATTTTTGTCTGAGTATTATTGCATCCAGTTCTTTTTCTAAAAAAGGACCCCTGTTTAATGACTGGACATTGCAAAAAAACCGGTTGCCAACGTCCGGGCTGTCGTTATCGTGTTGAAAGCGGCATGCAGTGCGATGAGTGCAAAGGCTGGTACCACGAAGTTTGCACGAATTTAACGCCTGCAGCTTTCAAACGGTTCAGCAAAAACGGTTGTGTATGGCTTTGTCAACAGTGCTGTTCGGATGCAAACAGCTTGCTAACCGAGGCCATCTTACTGGTAAATGCTGATGCAAAAGTGTTTTGGCAAGCATGGTCGGGACACAACGAACAGTACTCGCTCTGTCGACACGCAAATTGATGTGAAGCAAGCTCAGGTGAGTACGAAAACAGGTGACTCACACCGACCAAAAGAGGAAAAACAGTCTTCAAAGAGGTCTGTATTAACCAAAAACTCAAGAAAAGAAGTTTCTTCTGTATCCCGTCTTCTAAATGGTATCTAGCAGGAAACGCCTGAAAGCCGAAATCGCATGGCTCGATCAGTTTCCAGCGGGAAACACGACCTGACCTCCCGAATCGTCGACAACCCTCCGGAATTTCACAGTATGTTTGACGAAACTGTGGTTGCTTCTCATAGCAACGTTGACGAATGGGTACAGGTTGTAAGGAAGAAACAACATAACGATATAAAAGGGAATCCTGCCCCATAAAAGTAGTCGAGAAATCGAAGGCTGATCAAAGTGACAGACCAGTTGTTTTTCATAGAATCAAGGAGAGTGAAAGCTCTGAACCAAAAACTCGTTTTGAGCATGACATTGTGCTGATAAAACAGCTACTTAATCAACTCATGCCTCAAAATATCCCCGGAGTCACCTTGCTAAAGGTGTACAGACTAGGTAGCCTAGCGAACTTGAAGCCTAATCAATCCAGACTGCTTAAAGTAGTATTCAAATCTTCGAATGAACGCGACTTAATTTTACAGAATGGACATAAATTAAAGGGTTTGGGAGTTTTTATCTGTAAGGACTTGCCGTTGGCAGACCGCGTAGAAAGACGGGAATCCGAAAAAGAACTACAACTGAGGTTTAGACGCTAGCGAAAATGACATTCAAATTTTCGGGTTGTAAGGCTTAGACAGAGAATGATGCCCAAGCCACTATGGGTGAAGCGCGAAGCCACTTGAATAGGCTTCGGATCTCTTACACTCTTACACAAAAGCGTAAAGGAGGGGGAAGTCGCTCTATTCATTAGGAATGCTATCCCATTTGCCATCGACAGTGTATCCCATGAGTGGGACGTGTGAATTAGTTAGTTGCCGCTTGAAATGCAAGGGACAAGAGCTGCTGATCGGTTTGGTCTATCGCAGTCCAAGCTGTGAGGTAAATGAGGTCCTGCTAAGCAGTCCAAATACTTGGTCACAAAGTGGTCGATATCTAATCCTAGGGGACTTTAATGCACCTATGGTAGACTGGGAAAATATGCGAACTGAGTCGTCAGAAAATTCCTTCGAGTAGGGACTACTTGATGCGGTTATCACATTTTCCCTAGTGCAGCATGTGAAAGAAGCGACTAGGTACGACCCAGACACTGAATCATCCTTACTAAAGCTTATATTGACTCACTATGAGGATGATGTTGCGAACCTCCATTACATGCCACCCATAAGTAAAAGTGATCACTCAGTTTCAACTTTCGACTTCCATATAACTGTCAATCACGAGCACGTGTTAGCTCAATCCAGACCTAACGTCTGGAAAGCAAGCATACCAGATATCATGCACTCAGCATCGTCAGTAGACTGGACAATAAACCCAGAGTCCTCAATTGAAATGGATTGGGACGCATTTCGAAATTTATACTTAAAAGTTACCACCTACCCCCCCCCACATCCCTAGGATCATACCAAGGTGGTCGAGAAACTCTCCACCATGGTTCGGTGGGGAGGTCCGCATCCTTCTTCATAAGAGAAGAAAAATGTGGGATAGATTTGGGTTACTGAGGACTGATGAGACAAAATCTCAGTATCGAAAAGCTCGGAATACCTGTGCCTCGACCCTCCGTAAGTCTAGAAAGTTGTACGAAGAAAACTTTTTAAGGAATCCATAGAATGTCCTAAAAGCTTGTATTCCTATATAAACCAAAGGACAAAAAGAAGAGGAAATATTCCTGTACTGTGGGGAGACAGTACTGCCTCATCATTAGTGGAGGACGACTTTGGTAAGGCTCAAGTGTTCTCGAACTACTTTAGCAATGTATATACCATATAAGCACCCTTCCCGTCAGTGCATACAGATCCCCCCACACATACACTGGATAGCGTGACCATTAAAGAACTCGATGTCTTTGGTCTGCTAAATAAGCTTGACACAGGTAAATCCACGGGGCCATATGAATTACATCCTAGGCTACTGAAGGAATTATTTAGCTTCGTTGAGAATCCTTTAAGTATATGCTTTTATGTATCCGTAACGCAAGGTCGTTTACCAAAAGACTGGAAGAACGCCATAGTAAGTCCTGTCTTCAAAACAGGTACGAAACATAAACCTGAGAATTACCGACCCGTTAGCCTAACTGGTGTGGTTGTTAAAATCTTAGAAAAGATTATTCGGAAGGAGCTGTTTAAGTACCTCGATGAAAACCGGATCCTTTCGGAAAAGCAGCACCGTTTCAGAATAGGTTATGTTTGTCTCACTAACTTATTAGTGGCTCGTGAAAGCTGGTGCGCTCTTAAGGACCAAAAGTTACCTGTAGACGTAGCTTACATTGATTTCAGCAAAGCTTTCGATAAAGTTCCGCACAACCGGCTGTTTTATGAGCTAAGAAATTTCGGAATTAGAGGCAATCTATTGGTGTGTATAAAAGACCTCCTAGTTGGGCGCCAACAAAGAGTACGGGTCAACACAAAGTTATCTAGCTGGGAAATTGTGCTTAGTCGAGTGCCCTAGGGTACAGCTTTGGGGCCAGTGCTATTCCTCTTGTATGTAAATGACCTTCCTCGTCTCCTATCATCATCGGTCTTGCAATATGCTGACGATGTCAATATATGGAGAACGATACGATGTAAGGGTGATAGCTTAGAACTCCAAAATGACCTGAAGAAATTATCTGGTTGGTCTCAAACCAGGCAGTTGCCGATAAATACTTCCAAGTGTGTTGTGATGCATATCGGTCATCAAGGAACAGATACATACACGATGAATAGCACTGAGGTACCTATCGCTCAGACACATAATGACTTAGGAGTCATCGTTACCCAAAACTTAAAGACTACTGCACACTGCCGTGCAATAGCCGCCGAAGGTTTTAGAACCTTATGGTCAATACGTAGGACTTTTAGTCATGTCGACGCTACAATGTTTTTGACTTTGTATACAGTATTCGTACGTCCTAAACTTGAGTACAGAATACAAGCGGCTAGCCCCTGCTTAAAAAAGACAGTGAGCGTTTGAAAAAGGTTCAGAAAACAGCAACTAAGCTGATGCCCGAAATAGCGAAGCTTCCGTATGATGCTCGACTGACCAAGCTAAACCTATTACCGTTGTCATATCGTAAAACTAGAACCGACTTGATTAGTTTTCAAATTGCTTAGTGATAAGTCCGCACCTAATATGCTCTCATTTTTTTGTCTTCCAAAACAGAGAATTTACGAGGATACTCCGAAAAAGTTCAAAAGCCCAGAACAAATTACTTGTCAGCTGACTATCGACTTTCCCATCGAATCATCAACGAGTGGAATTCACTACCTCAACACGTGGTTGAGGCTCCATTCCTCGACTCTTTCAAAAGAAAGTTGAATCAACTGAGAGACCACTATTGCCAGGACTAACACAGGCTATCAAGTCTCCTGTCTTTTTCAAACTAAAACTGAGTCTCGTGTATTTGACCATACCCTGCTGACTCTATAGCACTATGAGCAAACAGGAGACGCTTTCAGATGTCCTTAGGACAAGAACTAGGATGCATTTCAGGTGGCATGTCAATGCCAACACTGCACTTGGGATATGGCTATGAACGACTTCCCACACGATGACTTTAATCCATCACCAGAATTAATGTGTACAGCCCATCTCAGTAATCGCGACAAGTATTACAACCCCCATGAAATAAACGATCACAAAAGACGAAAAGAACTGTAAACACATACGAATTGTGCAACATGTATGTTTAAAAGTTTAGAAACAAACACTTAAACTAAAGGCACGGATAAACTCCACTCTCGTTCGCGATTTCGACCTTGAACCTGTCAGCCAACCAAAATGAGGCGGGAATTATTAAATGGTTCAAATGGTCGTGGACGGAATAGAAGCTTTCACTTAACAGGCTTCAGTGTCTAGTAGCAGGGGATCGCCAAATCCTCCAGGCAGGAACCTAGGTATGTTAACAATGAAAGATGAAAAGAAGTTAGTAAATCATAGTGAGATACTATCCTTAGTCCTTAAGAATAAATTCAGTTGCCTCTTAAAGGACTCCTGGGAAGTCGCTTGGACTAGCTCGGCCAGCAGCGAATTCCAGCATTTGACAACTCTTAAGGAGTAGAAGTTGTGTCTACAGTCCGTTCTGCTATTTTGGGTCTCCAGTTTTCGGGTGTTACCTCTTAGGTTAGTGTTGGAACTAGGCTTAAGTAGGTGTTTGAGAGGATGCCCAGAAGTGTTAAGGACACTGTAAGCCATTAGAAGGCCACCTCTTGGACGCCTATACTCTAATGGGTAAAGGTTAAGTGATTCGAGGCGCTCTTCGTAAGGTTTTAATTTGAGTCCTCGAACTGATTTCGTGGCTCGCCGTTGGTTACGCTCCAGAGTGTCCTTATCATTTTGGAGTGAGGGAGGAAATACTATGTTTCTGTACTCTAAATGGGGACGGATAAAACTATTGAAGATTATATGGAAATTTCTTTCATCAAACTGGCCAAAAATGCGCTTCAATGCTATCACTGCAAGGTTTGCTCGTAAGGCATTTTTGTCACAGTTAGCGTAAGACTTTAAATCTTAGGGCACCAGGACTCCTAAATCATTTTCGACTGGGGATACTACTAGAGAGGAATTTCATAAGTTGTAACTGCAGTCTGCGACATGTCGCAGATGGACTACTTTACACTTTGAAGTGTTAAAGGTAAGTCCGTTGTCATCTGCCTAAATTTTAAGTCGAGTCAGATCCTCCTGAAGTGCCTGAATATCGTCTTGGTTGCGTATCTCTCTCCAAAGTCTCACGTCACCGGCAATACGTAATAAGTCTGACGTTACCTATTGAGTAAGATCATTTATGTAGATCAAGAAGAGAAGAGGTCCTAGTACTGAGCCCTGGGAGACCCCACCAGGACATTCCATAGCCTGAGATAAAGGGAACTTAACCCTGACCTTAAAATGTCGATTTTTCAGGTATGAAGTGAGCCAATCGATTAGAGGTGGTCTGATACCTAATCGTTTGAGCTTATTGATAAGACATATATGGTTAACCCTATCAAAGGCTTTTGAGAAATCTAGGTAGATGTCATCAACCTTCCCCTTGTGATCAAGGATGCTTGTCCATCTGACCACCGCAGTCATCAGGTTGGTAATACAAGTGTGACCCTTCCTAAAACCATGCCGTTGGTGTGAGAATAAATTTAAGGACAGTAAATAGTCATTCATACCATCGCATATCAGGGACTCTATGATTTTTGAAGGTACTGAGAGAAGAGCCACCGGTCGGTAACTTGAAGTTTCGCTGCGTCAACGTCCTTTTAAAATTGGTGTGATGTGAGCCAGCCTCCAATTTTCCGGTAGTTTTCCTCGACTTAGCGAGTGCGAGAACATCACGCTAAGTGGCGTTGCCAGGATTGAGGCTGCTTCCCTCAGTATGGCGGAATGGACCACGTCCGGGCCAGGGGAATTGTCTATTATTAAGTGCTGCAGTTTCCGGAACAACAAGTCAGCTCTTAGGTTCACTTCGGAAAGTCCTGTGGAATCGCAAATGAAACTGTCATCAGTAAAGTTATTGTCGGTCGGGCGTGCCTCGTTCTCTATTGTTTTCGGTGAGTTATATAAAAAAATGTGAAGGTTTATAGGCCAAAAATTAAAATATAATCGAACTATGTTGCTAAGAGTGGTATTTAAGTCTCTCAATAAGAAGGACCTAACACTACAGAGTCAGGAGGTTCCACCGACTGTGGACCTTATAAAAAGACAAGAAGCTGAAAAATTATTAAAACTAAGATTATGTGCTGACGAGAAGGACACGAGGATTATAACATTTCTGGTGATGAGGCTCCGACAGTGAATGATGGCGAAGCCACTTAAATCGTCTTCAGATCTGTAACGAAAATACCTGTAATTTATTCAACAACCTATTGAATCTGGGTTTACAGACAGACTCTTCCAAGCCGTACATAATCGCTAATACAGAAACGTGGCTGACTCAATCTGCAGAAGGCAGGAAATTCCGATTTGAAATTTTCACATCGGTAACAGCATAAAGAAGCGTGAACGAGGAGGAGTAGATCTATTCATTAGAAACACTATCCCATTTACCGTTATTGATGAAATGTCCCATAAAAGTGGGACCTGCGAAATAGTGAGTTGCGGTTTGAAATAAAAAGAACAAGAGCTGCGGATGGAATCATTTCCTGCTTATAAGAGGGCAAAGGAAATCTGTTATAACCCAGTGAAGATTAAATTACAGGTAACTCCCGAGGACTACTAATGGGCTAATATTCTATAAATATTCTTATTTTATAACTATTCAACAATTACATTATGTATATTTATATTCCTCTTATTATAAGCTTTATTTTGACCTATATATTATTATTGTACGATTTACGGTTCTTAAGCCATGCTCAGTCTATTAATTACTGGCCCCTCGTTCACAGCCACTTTTTGGCTTATTTGTGTACACATGTTACTTTCTATTTTATGGTACGTTGTGGTCTGTCTCATTGATACATAAAAAGTGTACGTCTGAAATAAACGATCTGCTCTGATTCGATTCATATTACGGAAGCTGGTATTGTGTTCTGGACTCAAGTGGAAGGGCTCGGAGGACATACGACCAATAAGGACGCTTAACTGCCCACAACGTTTGTACGTCATTGGTTGGCATAGTGTGAAGATTCGAATAAGTCGTATTCGGATCGGTAGATAAATCATGTGATAGAAAAGAAAGACGTCAATTTCATAACCAAATCCTAAAACGTTTGTTTGGACAGTCTCATGTAATCGCTCGAGAAACCCTGGAAGACTTATTCAATGCTGTAAATTTTGATTATACTGACGCAGAGTAACTATCGAACTTGGCTATTAAAATGGAAAATTGTGCTATGGTCTTGGAACAGATTAATTATACTTCTGATCTAAATTCTTTAGTTACCTTGGAAAGAACAGTGAGACTCTTGTCTTAACCTATGCAAGCCCAGTGGGCGGACTGGGTGGATAAATTGACCGAAGATTATAGAGAGCCGACGTTTGAAGAGCTCACTCAATTTATCGCATCTCGTGCGAGAGTAGCTTGTAGTAGATTTGGACGGTTAGCGAATCGTTCAAGAAATAGACATAACTTAAAGACGAACTGTCACGTGCAATCAGAGCAGGGGAATAGTTCGACAGAGAAAACTAAATGCAGTATGTGTTCCTATGACCACGCTATTTATAAATGTCCACAGTTTTTAGCGCTTACAGTTCAAGATCGATGGTCTCACGCAAAAAGCAAGGGTATCTGCTTTATCTGTCTTAGACAAAGACATAAGGTTAATGAATGTAAGATGACAAGGTGCTGTAACGTGGATAGGTGTGAGAAGAGACATCACTCTCTGCTGCACATCGACTCGACAAGCAACGGGGTAAATGATAAGCCATCATGCCCGGAATTTAGGAAGAGAGTTGTTAGCCATACTAGTAAAGTACAGACGTTAGAGGAACCACCCGAATTTCAAGTGACCTCTCATTTATTTTATTTATTTATTTTAACACATAGATATTGGTACAAGGAGGCACCAAATACATATGCGCCACATAAATCTCATTAGATATGTGTGAGGGCTGTGATACTGCTCGGGTGCCCGAACCGAAGCAGGTGACCTCTCATCCTTATGGTGTCACGTCTTCGCCGTTTTATCCGGACTTTACCATGAACAAGACAGCCCAAACATTCTCTGATGGTTATATCGTGGATGCTGTCAAGAACGATTTTAATGTTGATGATCGTTTGATATCCGTTTGTACTTGTGATCCGGCAAAAAAGTTTGTTAAGCAGATAATTGAGTTATTACGTAGAGAATATTTTAATTTGAAGAAACGGATTACCGACTCGGAAAAAGTAAGGACTACCTTACCTAATGTATGTAAAAAGGGATCTTTGGTAGAAATGTCAACGAGTTACGATACCGCTCATCGAACTCTAGGTGTAGAATGTGATTTCAAAAGACATGTATTTAAGTTTTACTTTGATGCGCCGGTAAGGTCTTTGACAAGCAGAGGGATTCTATCCGTTGTTTCTCCTCGGCTCGATCCATTGGGTCTAATTGCTCCAGTCTGCCTTACTACATTAATAATACCGAAAACCGATATAGCACCTATATAGCCAACCTCTTTGCTATTTTACACCAGTATACGAAGGTTGGACAATGGAGTTATGTAAAGTCATCACATAATCCAGCTGATTGGACCTCGAGAGGTATACAAAAAGTGACCGATCTTGAATCTTGGTTCTAATGTCCTACTTTACTGCATGGCGAATTTTGTATAACAGTGACTGATTGTCCGAAACATACTCCTGACTATATTGAGTTTAGAAAAACTGCTGTGGTTAACTTGAGTAGTATAAAGTATAACATGTCACCTATTCTCTCATTATTCCGAGTGGTTGAAATTAGTCAGAGCTTTAACCTGGTTTAAAAGGTTCACAGTATTCCTGGTGGTACTTCGTTTACCGAGTCGTGAAGGATACATTCATCTAGGATATTTAAAGATGAAAGAGCTTGACATCGCCAAGCGTAAGATTTTATTGATGGTTCAGAGAGAAGTGTATGCACGATTACTTAGTGAATTTAAAAACAACAGTAAAGTAGTTAGTCATGATGATCTGAAAGGTTTATCACTGATAATGCTTGATGGGTTACTCTGCGTTGGAGGTCGACTAAGATACTCGGATTTCCCAAATGCTTTTAGACATCCAATAATTTTACCCAGTCGACACTTAGTGACGAAAGTGATAAGTAGGCATTGTCATAAAGAACAAGGACACATAGGAAA